ATTTTGCCTCAATTAGTGATTGCTGCAGAGAGGGGTGAACGGGAATGCCATATTGTTGTTCTAATGGATGAAGATGTGGTTGATTGGGATGAGGTATTATTGATTAGAATATTTCCGATTAGAATACTTATTACCAAGCATTTTTAAGTAACAGTCACTACTTCTTATTAAGAAGAGAGAAATTCCTTTTTAGAATTATTTTTTGTAATTTTAGGAGTATCCACCTCAAATTGGCGGCGAAGATGTTCCACAAGTTGTCTACAGGTTCTAATATTTTTAAAATACTTTCATTATTAATGCTACACTTCTTTATATACACTCCTTTATTCTAGTACTCCTTTATATAAATTCTTCAAATATGCTGAGAATCGTGATGTTGCAAAGCAAGTATTAAAAGACCGAGAAATGAAGAAAATTCGTCTTGGAATGGAAGGATATCCAACACACAAAGAAAGAATTAAAAGGCGTTTTAATCGGACAGAAGTTATGTACAATTATGTCCAGAGACCTTGTAAATTATTTTTAGAATAATTAAAATATTTTTTTCTATTTAGTTTTGCATTCATCTTGGGAAAAGGAAGAAGCTCGTTCACGACATGTTGATTTTGCTTGCCCTATTGTAAAAAGCAAATCAAATCCAAGTTTGGCGTCTGCTGCTTCAGACCCATTGCCTCAGGTTTTTTTCATTTTTTCTCTTCACTTTTTCTAAATCTATAACAAAAAGAAATCTGTGGCCCAATAATATAATAATAATAATTGTGGGTCGATAATTCGATTATTAATCCTACATTTTAAAAATATTTTCAGAAAATTGTTTTTATTTTTAGCCTGCTCCTTTACAAAATAACAATAATGGAAATAATGACCAACATTTTCATCATCATTATAACGAGCAACACAATCATCAACAAGTTCATATTCTTCATAATAGCCAACAACACGAACAAAGAAACCATGACAGAGTGCAGATAAATGAACAACATCAACCTTCTTCTTCATATCAGAATAATAATAATAATCAACCTAGTCAAGATGAACAACAAAAAGCTAATAATTTGCTTTTAAATGTAGCTGTGTCTAATATGCATCTGGGGGTTGGAGGACAGGTTTTAAAATAAATTAGGAAAATTAGAAATTTTTGGGTTATCGTATAGTAGGAAATAGGCAATTTTGTGACTAGTCCGAAAAAAATTTTTCATGCGTCGCTAAAAGAGTAGAATCCTAGCTCCTTGGATATTTGAAAATTTGTAAGATACTAAAGGCAGATAGTAAGAAATTTTGAGTGAGAAAAAAATGTTGGATAATTTACTATTACTCAAAATATTTTTAAAATAAATTTATTCACAGCGCCAATCTTTACGTTCACCTCCCGCACAACTTGTGCCATCAGATCTCTTGGAGCAGCAAAATACTGATGAGGGTAACAGTAGTCAGAATGAATAAAACATAAAAATAATAGAATAAACAATGTATTTGATTAAATTTTGACTATATACATTTATTTTTCTCTATTAAAATGCCAATTTTAAAAATTGTTTGAAAATAAATATTTGTGTAAGAAAATGATTATGAACAAGTATTTTTGTAAATTAAATCAAATTTAAATATCTTAATATTTAAAATGACTTTCCTTGATTCCTGAATTTTTTTAAAATTTTTTCATCAAATAAAGTCAAGAGGAAATAATATTTTTATTTTCGAATTTTCCGAAAAAAAAAAGAAAGTAAACAATGATAGACGTATAATAAACATACACGTGTACTTAAAACTAGACAAAAATTAGTTGAGGAAAATATGTATATATTTTGCCTTGCTTTTTATTTTTACAAATTTTGTGAAAATTTATACAAAAATATTTTAATTTTTAGATGTTATTTGGAAATATTATTTTCTTAATTTCAATTATTTTCTGCTCTTTTCTCTTATTCTGCTGTAAGGCGGATAAGCCAAAAGAAGATGTGCCAGATAAGAAGGTTAAAGCTTCAAAGGAGAGGGAGGCTACCGAAAAACCGAAAGGTCCAAAAGTGACAGATAAGGTTGGAATTTTGTTTTAAATTTTTTTTCAATTTTGACTGGCTATAGTAAACTTTTGGTAACGAAACCTAAAATCAATCGTAAATCGGTTTTGGACAGTTGATTTAAAATTGATTTATGGGACAAAATTGGACAATAACCGAAAACCCCAAAGCCATACTGATTTCCAAGACTAGAATTTTCGGACGAATTTTGGGTATTTTTAAATTTAATTTTTTAGGTCTTTTTCGAGATAGAAATTGGTGGTAAACCTGTTGGACGCATTGAAATCGGACTTTTTGGAAAGACTGTGCCCAAAACTGTTGAAAACTTTATTGAATTGTCTAAACGCAAGAAGGGGGTAAAAAAGTTTTAAAATTTTCTAAAAATTTATTTTAAAAATTTTAGGAAGGATTTACTGGAAGTATTTTCCATCGCGTTATTAAGGACTTTATGATCCAGGGAGGCGATTTTACTAGAGGAGATGGAACTGGTGGAAGGTCTATTTTTGGCGAAAAGTTTGCTGATGAAAATTTTAAATTGAAACATTATGGAGCTGGATGGGTTAGTTTTTTAATTTTTATATGGATTACGTCAGGGATAATGTCAAAATGGGATACGGCAAAATTTGGAATTCAAAATTTTTAAATATTTTCAAAATTATTTTCCTTTTTAGTTAAGCATGGCAAATTCTGGAAAGGATACAAATGGTTCTCAATTTTTTATTACTTGCAAAAAAACTTCATGGCTTGATGGAAAACACGTTGTTTTTGGAAAGGTTGATTTTTAATTTAAAATTTTCTAATTCAGAAAATTAAAAGGTTGTTTCTGGTATGGATGTTGTTCGCCGTATTGAAAGTACTCCAACTCTTTCTGGTGATAGGCCAGAAAAAGAAGTTGTTATTGCCTCCTGTGGACACATTCCAGTGGATAAAATGTTTTCGGTAGATAAAGAAGATGCAAAAGATGAATTGTAAAAGAAAAGAGAAAATTATTTTTTGACAAAATCTTTAGGGACTTATGTATTTTAAGTGGAAATGTATTTTAAGTTGGAATATTTCGACTTCCTTTTATTTCCTCTTGTTAATTTATATTTATTTTCCTTTTGGCTATTAAATTAATCTAATTATTCGAGTATATTTGTAGATTTAAAAGTTAAACGAAATTAATATCAGAATTTTGTGGGAATTTTAAATTTCCATAATTGAGTGAAGCACTCAAAATAGGTAGATAGATACAAAAACAGTACAAAACCAAACTCTTGTACCACAAAACTGTAGTCTAAGGATTAAGACTTAATGCCCACTTTCAACGTTTTGCAGTAGTTAATATGTCAACTTAAGAAAATATTTTAAATAACCCATTTTTATTAACAACCTTAATTCTCTTAAACAATTATTAAATGACACAGATGTTACTATTTTTAAAAGTCAATTCTCTTTCTTTTAAATTTTTAATAGAATTTCCGTTTTCTTTTAAAATCGAATACCTCTCCCCTTCTTTTTTTCAAAAGAATTCATTTCTATTCAAAGTTTAAAAAGGCAACCGGAAAATTAAATGTCATAAAAAACAAAAATAGGAATTGCTCACCCACTATTTATAAAAAAATATTTTTCTATAAATAGAAAAAAGAAAAATGTTTTTAAATGTTTACTAGAAAAAAAAATAATTTGTGTATAAAGTACATATCTAAAATCCAAATGTTTTAAAAAGGATAAAGAATGTGCTATACAAAAAAAATAAAATAGTTGGAGTGGGTAAGGGATGGTGTTGTTGTCAGAACAAAAAAATTTGTTTATAATTTTAAAAAATAAAAAGGATTCTATTAAAGTATACTTTAATTTTTTCGAAAAATAATTTTAGAAAAACAAAATTCGAAAATTACCAAAAAATTATTTTAAAAATAAGGGTATACTTTAAAAAATCAAAAAAATATTTTTTATATTTGTAGAATGTCAAGAGTAATTAAAATAGGTGTAGTGGATATTTAAGGATATTTATGTTTAGATAGATAGAGAGGAGGGGGCCGTGCCTTATATCAAAGAAAATATCATCTCCCAAGTTAGGCTTTTTTAAAAAGTTCTCCATGTTTAGATTGTATAAACCATTGCAAAAGTTGTTTTCGGATCAAGCCAATTTGGAAAACGATTTGGTGGAAGAACGGAGAAGCCAATACATCTAAAAAAAGATGTAAAAATAGGACAAAATTGTATTAAGAATTACTTGAGAGCGCGTGGAATCCCCTCACGAGGGTCAATCTCCGATTTGTCAAAACAGGCCAAAACACGTTTGACTTTAAGATGTTCCTCACAGTATTCAAGAAGATTGACAAAATGTTCACGCTTAAAAAGAATATTTATTTATTTAACGTCAAAGACACTTTGATTTTTCGGATTATTTGCTACTGGACATATACCCCAATCAAATTTAGACATCCCCCCAAAAAACAAACCGATAAAGTGATGTCAAACAATTTAGATGGAATGAATAGAGCAATTGAGTTATTGGCCAAATGACAACACCATCCCTCACCAACTCCTTTTACTATACGAGCAACAGCATCTCTATCTACATTTTCATCGTTAGGGCTGTCAGGAGCAACACGTGAGGCCGGGGCAGCCGGGACTGCAGCTGCAAAAAAAATGTTTTTTACAAAATTTTTAGATTTTTTAACTCGATAACTAACCTATTACTTAACGGCGTACTACTCATTATCGGTTTATTTGATAATATCGACATTTTATTTGTTAACTGATGAATTTTTTTGAATAAGATAATAAATTCACTAAAATTAAAAAAATAAAAATTTGATGATTTTAAACAAAAAAAGGTGATAAATGCTAAAAGTTAAGCCTCAGACAATAAAATCTGGTAAAGAAAACAAATAACCTATTAGTTAGAAAAACTCAAAAACTGATGACGTAAAATTTAATCATTTAACTACTATTTGTTCTCAGATTTACCCATTTATATTTTGAAATTTATTGACAATGAAAGATGAAAAAGAAGTGTTTGTAGTTGCTAGGGCAACGACTAAATAGCTTTTTTTGACAAAAAGGACTAAGAAAAATGATTATGGAATTTACTAAATATTTCCTCATCTCTGTTGAATACTCCCCAAAGTCAATAAAGCAGTAGAACGCAAAAAGAGATGAAAGAAAAAGTGGAGATGGATGTTTGCGTGTCGGTACTTAATCACATGACTGACTAACTAAAATGATAAGAGCGAGTACAAAGTATTTTTTTCGGAGGAACCTTCCCTCTAACAGCAGTTGTTGAAAGGAAAAAAAATTTTGTAAATAAAAATGCACGCAAGCATTGCATTCTTTCCAGTATTTTCGAAAGTTTTTATTGATTTTACTTGCTGACAAACAGAGCTGGGTCGCTCTATATCTCTAACGGCTGTCAAAAATGTGAAATTAGTGTCCAGACATAATGGTAAGGACAAAATGGTGCAATACAAAATGGTATTGTAGTAAAACGAGACAAATGATATACAGAAGTAGGGTTGGGGTTTTCGAATCGGGCCGACGTTCGAGTCGTTTTTTTCGGGCCTCGTTTTTATCGGGCTAGACCGATCGATCATTCGATCTGAGACGAATGGTACCGCTCTCTAGTCACAGAAATGATTATGACCAAGCGTCGGCCGTCGTTCCGCTTCGACATGCCTTGCTTCCTCCGCAGCGGCAAAAACTTTTCGGTTAGGGACGATTCCGCGCCGACGATTCCGCGCCGACGTATTTTGTATAGCTGGCGCGGAAACGTGCTAGCGCGGAACTGACCTGGCGCGGAACTGACCTGGCGCGGAAACGTCGGCGCGGAATCGTCGGCGCGGAAAGATACCCCACCGAAAACTTTTTTCCGCGTTAGTTGGAGAAAGATAAAAATTAATAATTTTTTCAAAATAAAAAGGACGTTTTGTAGAGAAAGTTGTATGTGAAACAGAAGTTTGAGAGTTCATTACAGTATTACTTTAGGAAGATGAATTAAACAAATTTTGTCCTGAAGCATTCAAAATCGCAAAAAAAATTATTAAATACATAAACTTATAAATTAAAATTATTAAATAAAAAATTAGTAGTATTGAATTGCCATCTAATTTGCATCGGTGCTGGAATTGTGCTAATGTTATGGTAATTGCTAATATTAATGTTTTAGAAATTTGTTGATTGTGATAACAGGAAATGTTTTACTATAAAAGCGTTGTCCTTAAACCTAATATACTCATCAGATTACTCACTCAGTCAACTTACTTCCTTGCTCGTGTCTTCAATTCAACATTGCTCAACGTGCTCAGCCATCTTCGTCTATGGAGGTGTTATCTAATTTGCTCCACGGCCTCGCAGAGGTATGTTTGCTTACTTTTTAAGCTTCCCTTAAAATATTTTTACATATTTAGGCAATTCAAATTGTCCAGCAACAGGTTGATCAAATCGTTGAACGGGAGCGGCGAGCAGAAGCTGAGCGGGAACGACGCGGAGAGGCAGAACCAGATGTGAATCCTACTCCATCTAGTAGCAGCAGTGAAGAGAGCAGAGAGGCGGCAACGGAGGCGGAGGCTGCAAGATCATTGTCATTGACCAGTGACAGTGATACCAATCAAACATCAGAAACCTCATCTGACGTAACTGTGCAAACCGCTTCCAGGACGGATTCTGACAGTACCCATGAACTGAGTGGAACTCGAGAAAACGCTGCTAAAGATCAGGAGGTAGGATAAGAATCTTTTTGTGTAGATTTGAATAAAAAAATTTTCAGTTGGATCCTTACGAGGTTGATCAATTGCTCGAAGCTATGAGAAGTCAAAGTAAACTTTCTGTCCCTGGTCAGTTATATTTGACTAAAATTAAATTCGTAATTTTTTCCTTTTCTTTTTAGAGTCAGATTTGGTTTCCACGCGTTCGGCTCGTGTTCGTTCGCCGCCACCGACTGGAGACGAGCAAAGTACTGCAGCTGTGACAAGGACAGTCAGCGCCCTCGAGTGGGATGATGTCTCAACCGCTAGGGTTGCTCCAAGGTGAGAGAGTCTTTTAATTATTAATACATAACTCCTAAAATGCATTAATTCTTTTAGCGAAGAAAACTTATTGGCTAGCAGTAATAGTCCTGCTTTGGTTGCTAATCCAGTCGGAACTGTGGTGCCTGAATTGCCTGCGAATAATGACGATATCCCAACGGCAATAGAAGCTGATAAATGAAGGAAGTATATATTCATAAACGATAATCTAAAAAGAATAACACCATTTATTGTAATAAAATCTTGTTGTAATAATGTATTATGTATTTTCCTGTCTTTCTTGAATGGGTCATTCGAGTAAATTATTTATTGGAGTGTTTTTGTTTGTTCTAAATAAAAAATATATTTTTTGTAATTGAATTTTTTTGATGAAATTAAAATTAAGAGTGCTTGTTAAAAATTGATAGTTTAAGGATTTAAGAATTTCTTTGAAAGTATTGTTGAGTGTAATTTATATAAAATTTTTGGGACACGCCCGAGTAGGCGCGGGCCAAGTAGGCGCGACCGAGTGGGCGCAGGCCAAGTAGGCGCAAGGCCAAGTAGGCGCACGGCCAAGTAGGCGCAAATCTTTTAGCGTAAAATATTCGGTAAATGTCCGGTTGGTGTCCTACATGTCCGCAAAGAGAATGCGCATTTTTCCTTCCTTTTCTTGCATTTTTTTCTGAAAGGAGTGGCGCCCATTTTTCTTTTGTGTATGGTAGTCCTTTGGCATGTCGAAGGAAAGAGGGAAAATAATAAAAATTAATTACTAATAGAGTACAAATATTTTATTTTATAAATGATCAGAGATGAAAAATTTGGGACAACATACTCAAATAGATTTCTAAAACATGGAGGAATCTTAATCCATTAGAAATCTTAATCTGTTCCAGAATGCTTCAATCTGCTGTTTAATTGCACCGTTGACTGGATTCAAAGAATTGATGATGATTTACTGTTTGGTATTGATATCCTAACTGATCTAAACCTAAAGTGAATTAATTCTGTTTGTAAATCAATCTAACATTATTAGTTATAATAATTTTATTAGTATTAAATTAAGTACTCTATTACAGTGCCGGAAAAAAAGATAGGACCAGACGCCCACATTTTCCTTTCCGCAAATTTTCTTCAGAATTTTAGACTTTTAAGAGAAAAAATTTAATATAAAATATTGATTAATCTATCCTCTTTCAAATGAGTACAAATATTACCTTTTTGATTATCAATTAATTTTACAAAACATCTCAAAACAAATACTACTCAATTTTGGGGTGGAAAAAAAGATAGGACCAGGCTAGAAATATCGACTTTTGTTCGGTCAAAAATTCTATAAAAATTTCAGTGAATATTTCCATCGATATTGAGTAGAAAAGAAAAAAGAACTGAGTCTGTACCTTATTTCTTCATCGAGATTTCAAATCCCATATATCAACGGAAAATCGGGGTACAGTACTTCAAAAAATATTTAAACCCCCTGGAGCTTTTATAAAAAATTTCTTTTGGGCCCATTAAAAAGCCCATAAAATTTGCTACAAAATGGTCCAAGTTTTTATTTTTCCAATAAAAACTCATAGAGATGGAGGTAAGGCAATTTTTTAAGTGATCATTTTTGGGGTATTTTGGGAAATTTTGAGCATTTTTAATGTAAAGTGGACTAGGATTAATCAGATATTTTTTTAGAAAAATTAATTTCCGGACTATTTTGTAGCAAATTTTATGGGCTTTCAGATAGGCATAAAATAAAATTTTTAATTTTGGATCTAGAGGGCTAAAACATTTTTTGAAGTACTGTACCCCGATTTTTCGTTGATTTTTGAGATTTGAGATCTCGATGACGAAATAAGTTACAGACTTTGTTCTTTTTAATTTTCTACTTAGTATCGATGGAAATGTTCATAGAAATTTTTATAGAATTTTTGACCGCACAAAAGTCGATATTTCTAGCCTGGTCCTATCTTTTTTTCCACCCCAAAATTGAGTAGTATTTGCTTAAAATTTTTTTAATAAAATTCTGTCGATAAAGTATACTGATATTTATACTCATTTTAAAGAGCACTTAATGGCCTAAAATTTTTGTGTTGAAACTTATTTTCTAAATGCCATTAAAAAAGAGATAAGCGAAAAAAACTAATTTAACAGCCTCTGGTCCTATCTTTTTTTCCGGCACTGTAGTAATTAATTTTTATTATTTTCCCTCTTTCCTTCGACATGCCAAAGGACTACCATACACAAAAGAAAAATGGGCGCCACTCCTTTCAGAAAAAAATGCAAGAAAAGGAAGGAAAAATGCGCATTCTCTTTGCGGACATGTAGGACACCAACCGGACATTTACCAAATATTCTAATTAAAAAATAAGTCAGCATGATATTCTTATGTTAACGAGTTAGGAGAAAGATTCTTGGTAAAAATTAGAAGAAAGGTACCTATTTTAGAAGAAAGACACCTTAAATATCGATACCCTGTTAGTATACGTTCGTACTGTATGTTCACTTAAACTAGTTAGTTCTTAAAGGCTAACTAGTTAGTACATGTTAATTATTCATAACATTCCCTTAAACTAGTTAGTCCTCCTTAAACTAGTTGAACTAGTTAGTATTCATAACAATGGTAAGCCACAGGAATTATCAAAGCAGCACGGCTTTCACTAATTAACAAACTTATTGTTAGCCAGTAATCCAAAACTTATCGACAGAAAAGATTTTTCTTAAATTTAATCAAAAAATAAAAACATCACCGAGCTTCGCTTAATAAATTTTTTGCCCTAAGCAGGGCAGTTTTGGAAAAAGTCCAGTGTCAAAGAAAGTTGCTTGATTATTCAGCTAACTAATTAACAAAATTATTTGAAGATTAACAAAGAAAATTCTGGGTAAAATTTAAGAAATTTGCCCGTGCGCCTACTTGGCCGTGCGCCTACTTGGCCTTGCGCCTACTTGGCCTGCGCCTACTCGGTCGCGCCTACTTGGCCCGCGCCTACTTGGGCCGTACCCAAAATTTTTGAATACTTTTATGTAGTAAAATTAAATTATTTTGTCGATACTTTTAATTTTTCGATATTATTTTCGTTTTATTAAATTTTTTGTAATCAATTTTTGTATCAATACACATTCCCCATTTTTTAAGGAAATATAAATTTTTGAAAACAATTTAAAATAATTACAATCTTTGCTATTTTTGTTATTAAGAAAATTTAAAGGATAAACGAATGGATTGCGGCTCAAAATTTATAGAGGTATTTTTTAGAAAAAAATTTAATCTAAAAAATTAAAAGGATTTAATTGAAAATAAATTGGAACATTTTTATTATGATGATGCAAAACTTCTTGCTGAGGCTTATCATAATAGAGGTTTTTTTGGGATGTTTTTACTAAAAAATGTTTTAATTATTTAGCTGACAATGAACGTTCACTTCTAGTTTTGGCACATTGCCTAACTCAAGCTAGAGGATATGAAAGTGCTTATCATTTACTTAGAACTGTGAGCAATCCAACTGCTGGCGCAGCATTAAATACAGCCAAATGCAGATATTTGTTTGCTCATTGTGCTTTTATGTTGAACAGGTTTTCTTTTATTATTTAAATTTTTGTGAACTTGTATGGCTTAAGTATCCTCATTTAATCACCACTTTTTCCAACCCATGTTAATCGAGGCAACAAACTAATTTTTGTTTTATCTCTAAATAACCAGAAACCGATCTTTTCTTTTTATCTTTTACTGGGTAATATATTCTATTTATTTTTTTAGAGTTCAAGAAGCAGAACAGACATTGAGAGGAACTTCAGTTTCTGATCAATTACAATTACATCCATGTTTTACGGGTACAGTTACATTGCCATATGCACATTCTCTTTTGGCTCGAATTTTATGGTTAAAATTTCTTTTATCAAAAATATAATTTTTTGTTCAGTGAAACTAATCGTGTTGAATCAGCACGTACTCATTGGGCACAAGCAATTCGGTTAAATCCATTACTTTGGTCTGCTGTCCGTTCATATTGTGATGTTGGAGGAGAAAAAATGGTCGAATTATTACAGGTTTTTTAGAAATAAATTTTTAAATAAATTTTATTTGTATTTTAAGCCTTCTTTGGATGAATTAGCAGAATGGAAATCTGCAAATAATATTATTGATGATTTAATTGAATCTAAAGAACAAGATAATATTGGAGAGCGTGGACAACGTTTGGCATCGAAAATAGCTAGCGGGAGAATTAAAAGCAGCTCTGCGTCGTCAAAAAATATTTTTCATTTCTTTTAAATTATTTAATTTTTATTTTTAAGTGTTAATTCTAAAACTTTGTCGTCAGCCGCACCATCTTCGCCTATTGGAAATCCAGCTGCCGCGCAAACGGCGGCAACAACAATAATCGAAAGGAGAAGGTTATGATATATTTTTTATTGTTTTTGGATATCGAAAGGATGGTTTTGAAATATATATAACAATCTTTGGGAATTTAGATTTTTAAAAATTTGGAAGTTTTCTGACCCTTCCAGATTTGCACATTTTATCCCAATCACATTTTACCCCATAAGACGAATTTTTGTTTCTAGAACACGGCTTCGTGCTGCTGACAACCGTCTCACAGCAGCAGCTGCAGCATCAATTGCCCTTCGTGCAAGTGAAAACTCTCCTCTTACACGTTCTTCAAAATTGGTTGATTCTACTTCACCTGGATCTGGTGGTGGTTTGCTATTGATTGAACAACAAAAACAACAAGATGTTAGTTGTTTTAGATTTTTCTTTCGAGTTAAAAAAACGTCACTTTCTATGAGTGATGTCCCTAAATCGTTAAATAAGGTAAATGTCCGGTTGGTGTCCTACATGTCCGCAAAGAGAATGCGCATTTTTCCTTCCTTTTCTTGCATTTTTTTCTGCAAGGAGTGGCGCCCATTTTTCCTTAGTGTATGGTAGGCTTTTGGCATGTCGAAGGAAAGAGGGAAAATAATAAAAATTAATAGAGTTCGAACTTTTCATAATGCCGGGCCCGGAACCCGGTTTTTTTTTCACAAAATCGCACCCGGACCGGTTTTTCCGGATAAAACCGGTTAGCCCGGAAAAACCGGATTTTCTCAAAAATACCCGGTTCCGGGCTACCGGGCCCGGAAAAAACCGGTCCGGGCCCGGCCCGGGTTCGAACTCTAAAAATTAATTACTAATAGAGTACAAATATATATTTTATTTTATAAATGATCAGAGATGAAAAATTTGGGACAACATTCTCAAATAGATTTCTAAAATATCTGGGGAATCTTAATCCATTCGAAATCTTAATCTGTTCCAGAATGCTTCAATCTGCTGTGTATTTGCACCGTTTACTGGATCATAAAAAATTGTTGATGATTTACTGTTTGGTGTTGATATCCTAACTGATCTAAACCGAAAGTGAATTAATTCTGTTTGTAAATCAATCTAACATTATTAGTTATAATAATTTTATTAGCATTAAATTAAGTACTCTATTAGTAATTAATTTTTATTATTTTCCCTCTTTCCTTCGACATGCCAAATGGCTACCATACACTAAGGAAAAATGGGCGCCACTCCTTGTAGAAAAAAATGCAAGAAAAGGAAGGAAAAATGCGCATTCTCTTTGCGGACATGTAGGACACCAACCGGACATTTACCGTTAAATAATTTTAAAATTAAAGGAAAAGGAGCAACTTTTACTTCAACAATTAAAACAACAAACTGTTGGAAAACGAATAACTCGAAGAACAGCAAATGCTACAGCAATAGCTGCTGTTTCTGCTACATCTCAAAAATTAAATCAGGACAACATTCAAATAAAATTTAATGAAAAATCAAAGGGAAACAAAATTTATTGTAAAAATTATTATTTTTAATTTTATAAAAATATTTAAAGATGAATTATTGGAATGGATAACACAATTGGCACGTGTTCAGGAATGTCTTTCTCGTTTTCGTTGTATTGAAGCTCTTTCATTATTAAATAAAATTGATCCACAATTTTTGCAAATGCCTTTATCTTTGGAACTTCGAGCTAGAATATTTTTTGAAAATGGAGAATATAGACGATGTTGTCAAGTAAAATATAAATTTATTTTAATATTATTTAAATTTTATTTCAAGATTTTTGATGAAATTCGACGTCTTTATCCCCGTCGTGTACAAGGAATGGAAATTTATAGCACAGCATTATGGCAAATGCATGACACTACAAAATTGTCAGCATTAGCTTCTGAAATGGCAGACGTGGCACGTGATCAACCAGAAACTTGGTGTATTGCAGGAAATTGTTTTAGCTTGGAAAAACAACATGAAACAGCAATTGGTTTGAAATTTACTCAAAATAAATAAATAAATTTTTTGAAGAATGTTTGGAACGTTCTATACGTTTAAATCATCGTTTTGATTATGCTTATTCAATTTTGGGACATGAATTGATAGATATGAATGATTTGGTACGTGCCGAACAAGCATTTCGTAAAGCTATTGTTTATGCGCCAAATGATTATAGAGCTTGGTATGGATTGGGATTAGTTCACTTTAAGGTGTGTTTTTTAAAAAAATTTTTGCATGGTAGAGAAGTTGCTAAAAATATTATTTTTGAAAATTATTAATTCTGAATAAAAACTCGTAGATAAACTACATATAAAGATGTCATTTTCAATTTTTTGACCAATCTCTTTGCCTATTTATAAAATATGTTAAACCTTTTTATTAACGATTGATTTGAAATGTTAATAAAAAAATAGAGAAAAACTAACTTTTTATCCACGAAAGGAATTTCCAAAGCTAGAATTTCTAATTAAGAATCTCTATTTATTTTCTATTTTTCTTGATAGGAAGAAAAAATTCAACTTGCTCGTGTCAATTTACAACGTGCCGTTCAAATAAATCCTACAAATACCGTTTTACTTTGTCAATTAGCTGTTATTGAACAATCACTTCATTGTACTGATTTGGTAAGTTTTTTTAGAATTCTTAATTATTTGTAAAAATAAAAAGGCTATGCAATATTTGGAACGTGCTCTAAAACAACAGCCAAATAATGTTGCTTGTCGTTTTCACAAGGCAAGACTTTTATTTGATACAGGATGTTATGAAGAAGCCAAAACAGAATTAGAAGAATTAAAAGTACTATCACCAGATGAGGCACATGTATTTTTCCTTTTGGGCCGAGTGAACAGAAAATTGGGAAATACACATTTGGCATTACTCAATTTTAGGTAAAATATTTCTTAAATAAATTTTAAAATGATTAGATGGTCTAGAAAGTTTTCTTTTGTTTCGGATCCATAAAGTTGTTGGTACCATAAGACTCGGAGCCATAAGAATCACGATACATTTCTGGTCGTATTTACCGCCATCGAGAGAGATTATTCTATTAAAAGTACAAAAGACTTATACGACCGTTTATTTTCTTACTAATATTTTCTGATTAGATTACCTTTTCATTCTCGAAAAATTAAAAAAAATTTAATTTTAGTATGGCAACTGAAATTGACCCACGTGGAGAGCAAAACCAATCAGTTTTAACTACAAATAAAGAGCCATATGATGATGAACCAATTTAAGTTTGCATGAAACTGAATTTGTGCAATATATTCAACTGACCTTTTTTGCCCTGAAAATTGACACAAATTTGAGTAATTTTTAAAATTAAATTTTGTGGGTTTTTGTTAAATTTAGATGGAATTGGGTGTGTCTCATTTTGTGATTTTTTTGCTCACTAAACGCTTTCGCCAAAAATTTTCCCTTAAAATTTTCCAATTTTTAATCCAATTATTTTTTATTTAATACAAAACTAAATGGATAGTTTAGAAAAAAAAGTTTTTTTTTAAATATTTTACAAAAACTGTTCATTTTGTTTTTTTAAATCTTCTGGTCCCTCTTATTCTTGTTTATTTTTAAACTGTTTTTTCTTAGCAATTTTCACCAAGGAATTTATAATAAATAAAAGGTTTTCTTTTTTATTTTTGTTCATTAACTTGATAACGCTCCTTTTTGCGTACATATAATTCCATACCAACAATGAGAATCTAAAACTTAATTTTTTAAAAATTTAAATTCAAAATTTACTGAAAGAAATAATCCTGTTGAGAGGATAACAAAAAGACCGGAAACATTTTGTAAATTCAATGAAATACGTTGTTGTTTTACTGAAGAGCCAACTCCGTGGCAGGAAGCACCTCTGATTAATTTTTAAATAATTATTCTTTCATTAATACAGTCGGATCTCTTTATCCATATCCGAACTATCCATGTGTTAGACCCTTTAGACTACTTCCTTCTTACCCCGAAGGTTTCCAAAATATAGGATAAGTAAGTAAATCGAGAGACTTTATTTTACACAATTCAAATAAAATTTTGTAAACTTACTTTGATCGCCACCATTTTGTCTTTTTCATTTCAATAACACCACGTTTTTGATATAAAAGTATTTGTCTACTAATTCTATCAGTCCATTCTGAATCTTAACAAAAAAAAATTTCTTTTTCAATTTACTCTTAGAAAAACCTTTTTGTAAAGCAATTCCATAACCTTTAGAACCTAAAACACCCCCAATTTGTGTTAAATTACAATTTTGTTGTACTTCATATTCTAATGAACTTGATTCCATTAAAAATGCATAACGTTCTCTCAAAACTTTTTCTACACCTTCGCGATTGTTACGAACAAAAACTTTTTTTGTTTCTTTCATTCTTGCCCACATTTTGGCATGAGCAGCAATTTTTGATTCCTTTTTTTAAATTTTTGTTTGAATTTTTATTTTCTTTACTTGAAAAAATTGCATTGTAGACCCTCCATTAATTGTTCCATATGAAATATCACTTTGATTAGCTAAATCATCAATATCCCTTATGGGGATGTGGGGGCGAGATACTGTCAAAACTGCTGCTAAATTGGCTGTATATGCACTAAAAATATTGGAAATATTTTTGAAAATTTAAATATTTAACTGATTTCCACTCATCCATCTATTTAATATTTTCCTTCCAAAACCTTCTTAATTTTAATTCAATACTCCTAATTCTTAATTAAATCGTTCCAATTATCTCTCCTTATTTATTTACCTAACAATAACAAGAGTAAACATCCACCATGAAGCACCTAACAATCTAAAAAATTAAAGAAAAAATTTTTTAAAAATAATTTACAATTCTCACCTAGTAGACACAGCTCTAGGTCCAAAATCACAACCTCCTTTTAACATTGTACTTAACACATACCTTTTAATTTAAATTTAAAAAATATTTCCTTTAATTATTTAAATACCATAAAGTATTACAAAAAGAATAATTATTAGATAATTCAACTTTTGTTGGAATATTTGTTCCAGAAGGGGAGGAATATTTTGCTGCAGGGTAAGGTTGGTGTGCTGTACAACAGGAGAAATTTAAATTCCATTCATTTGGTGTTGTATTTGCAACCGAAAAAAAATAAATAAAAACATTATTTTGAATTGTTTTAATTAAAGTCTGATTCTGAATTGTTTTTATTTGTTTTTATTCTGATTAAATTTTTATAAAATGCTGAAACAAAAACAAACAATATACATTCCAACAGTTAATCCACAAATTGAAAGTAAAACACAAAACCAAATTTCCAATGAAAGAGGATTAAGAAAAGAAAATATATCTGGTTGAAAATCTTCAGGAATTCGAAAGATAATACTTATACCAAGAGAAAGAAAAGGTTTAGTAAAATCAACCATTTCAGCACGACGGAAATTTGCACTTTAAAATTATTTGAAAATTATTTTTTAAACGTTAATTAAACGTTAATGGGGCAACAGCCATATCTGCTTCATTACGTATAATTTCACCTATCATTCCATCCCAAGAACCATTACCATTATCACTACCATATTTGTTGTCGTGAACAACGTGAATTGTGTAGGTGAATCTTAAAAGAAAGTTTTGGTATATGATTTGAATGTTTTCTGATTTGTTTTAAATTCTGATTTGTTTTAATTAAATTCTGATTTGTTTTAATTAAATTCTGATTTGTTTTTATTAAATTCTGATTTGTTTTAATTAAATTCTGATTTGTTTTAATTAAATTCTGATTTGTTTTAATTAAATTCTGATTTGTTTTAATTAAATTCTGATTTGTTTTTATTAAATTCTGATTTGTTTTTATTAAATTCTGATTTGTTTTAATTAAATTCTGATTTGTTTTAATTAAATTCTGATTTGTTTTAATTAAATTCTGATTTGTTTTAATTAAATTCTGATTTGTTTTAATTAAATTCTGATTTGTTTTAATTAAATTCTGATTTGTTTTAATTAAATTCTGATTTGTTTTAATTAAATTCTGATTTGTTTTAATTAAATTCTGATTTGTTTGAATTAAATTCTGATTTGTTCTTATTAAATTCTGATTTGTTTGAATTAAATTCTGATTTGTTTTTATTAAATTCTGATTTGTTTTTATTAAATTCTGATTTGTTTTTATTAAATTTTGATATTTATTTTACCCCAAATCATTAGCCAATTCTTTCAATAAATCAATACAAAATCCTTCAAATTGTAATTGTTTTTGTTCAAAATTATTATTTTCCTGACTTTTCACCATAACATAAGGCCTTTCCAAAATTGTAGTAACGCGAAAATGTGGTTTTAATTCATCAGAAACTTTAACTCTTCGTTGTTGTTGTGCTCTTGATTCTGCTCTTAAATCTATTTTTGGAATATCATTTCCATATTGCCAATAACCAATCTTTTATTTAAATTAAAATTATTATTTTCTAAATTTTTTAAAACCTTTTCAATAACCCCAGTATATCCAAGCATTAATATTTGAAAAGTAAAATTATTGTTTAAATTGTTATTAGAAGTTTTTTGTTCTCCACAAAGTCTGCTTTTAAGTGAACCGCTTAATCCGCGAGTAATTAAAGAATATTCTCTCAATAATTTATTTATTCCCTTTAAATTAATTTTTTAAAAATTATTATTATTTTTACATTTCCAGCACTAAATTTTCTATTATTTTGTCTAGTAGCCCCAGCACATCTAGCCATAGTTAAATTATTATTATTAAATAAAAGTGAAGAAATTTGTTGTTGTTGACGTTGATTAAAATATTTTTTTCTGTTACTATTTAAAATATTTAAAGTTTCATTTGACAAAGCTCTAGCCAATAAATATATTGAGTCAAATAAAAGAATTGCTTCTGACTAAAAGAAGAAATGTTTTTAAAGAAAATTCTGATTTTTTTGAAGTATTTAATTCCATTCTGATTGTTAGTTTAGGTTAAATTCACAATTTTTTAAATTCTGATTTTAAATTAATTAATTAAAACCATTCTAAGATTAATTTCTGCTTCATTAATTTTCATTTCGCCTTCAATAATTGTATTTTTGGCTAACCAATGTAAACGAACAAATTCTTCAAATTCTTTTTTATTGGGTAATGGTAATAATAATTCTGATTTTTGCTCATCATTCTCTTTATTTTTAAAAATATTTAAATATTTATTTTTTATTGGAAAGGGATTTGTTAAAAATTTATATTTAATTACTTAAAAATTTTAAAAATTAATTCTGGCTCCTATTTTTTAATTTAAAATAACCAGAAAAATCTGTTGGATCAAGACCAATAAATCTAGCATTATTATGTCTAAATAATTCCATATTCATATAACGTAAATCTAAAGAAGTAGTTAAAAACCAGTGATGATGTTCTACTAAACCAACTTTTAAAGCCTTTTTTAAAATAAAATTTGAAAGATTTTTTAAATTAAAATAAAACATACAGACAACAAAAAATTATGAGTATCTTTAGGGCTCATATCCAACAAAACACGGCTAAACTCGTTGCAATGTTGTTGAGGGGAATTGTTAGACCCACCATTTTGTTGGGCTATTTAAATATTTTAAAATTTTGTTTTCAGATTTTTTAAAACAGTTAAGGACAGAGTAAGAGGTGTAAGGGGGGAAAAGGGGTTGCGAAAAGCACATTATAAGTACAAGTGAAAGCAAAATTCCTAAGCAATTTTTATAACCTCACCCCAAGGGAAATATATTACTATTTAACCTTAACTTTAAAACCCCCCCCCCCCTCCTTACATAATTTAGCATTATCCTCCTCATTACATTCTTCCAAATATTTTACTTCCTTTGCTGCCTTTAAATAATCCCCATCCTCTACATAAACTAAATGAAAACGAATAGAAACAAAAGCTTCATGTTCAAGAAAAACAACTAGCCGACGAATTCCTTTTAATTAAAAAGATTTTCTTTTAAAATTCAATCCCTCCTCCTTTTACTTTCAGGTTCACTAAAAACAATAATTAAGCGTCCCCAACGCCAATGTCTAATTAAATCAATTATTGCTTCAAATAATTCTTTATGTGGAAACATATCAAAATGATTAATTAAATCCTCATTTTCTTCCCCATTATTTTGAGATAAAACATTATTCCCTCCCTTTAATTTAAAATTAAAAAGAAAATATTTTTTTAATTTCAAAAAAACTTCATCAAGTTTTGGATGTTCTAATGGATCAACCAAAGAGAAATAAGGCAAATTCAATTTATTAGCAGCCAAAACGCTTAATTGTTCAGATAAATGTCTTTCTCCTGGGCCTATAAGGGCTACAATGTTGTGCTCGTTAATTAAACGACAGGCTATAGAAAAATATTTTGAAAATAAATTTTTGAGGGATTTTTCAATTTCTACTCATTAAATTCAAAATTAAATTTATTAAAATAGAAGAACAATTATTTTTACCCTTCTCCAAAACTCCATAATGATCGTAAGGATCAGAAATTGTTTCAATTAAAGCAATTAATTTTCCAAATTTTTGTGTTTGAATATTTTCATTTCCAACTAAAAATTGTGTAGTAATTATTTCCTCCTTTTGACGCTTTCTTTCTTGTTGTAACCAATGTAAAGTATAATTAAGTGCTGCTATTAAATGGGCATCTTCTTTTTCTAATAGAACTACTCCTTTTTTGATTAAAAAAAATTTAAAAAAAATTTGTACACAGCTTTGTTAATTGATAGAGTTTTTGAAACGAGGGATTCTTATTTAAGGAAGATGCATGACTCGACCGAGGTAAAAGTTTAATCCCGGGCAGGCTTCGATCCTGCGACCTCTTGGCAGTTATTGCTAGGCGCTTTCGCTCACCACGTACCAACTATGCTTCCTTGACTTTCATTTTCTCTTTTAATAGATCTTAAACCCCCGCCAAGTGAGCCAGCTGGATCTTTCTCTTCCTTACACTAAAAAAGTTAATCTATATTATAATTATTTTTTGGTACAAAATTCTGTTAGTATATACAGATTCTAAATAACTATTAAATGCTCCTTTTTCTATTTTATTGAAAATTTTGTTTATAAAAAATACAAATTATTATCCATTACCTACCAATATTAAATTGTTTCTCCTCCTCATTTATTAAAGTATTTACAAAACGAAAAAGTAAAGAAAATAAAATAAATTCTAAAATTCCAACAATAATATCCCTACTTTTATACATTTTTTTGGAAAAAATATTTAAAATTTTTTAACAAATTGTTGATAGAAAAGAAAAGATTAAATGAAAAAAAGAAAGATTATTTTTGAAAAACAACACATATTTACTTATGTATTTCCCTTAAGAGAATATTTTTATAAATTTAATTTAAAATGAAAAGCTTTCTCTATTTTTTGACACAATCAAAAAAAGCTAACGAAGAGATAAAAAAATAAAATAATTTTAAATTAGTAAATAAAGAATTTCGTTATTTCTGGGAAAATAATCTCAGAAATTTTTACCGAAAATTTTAATTGAAAAATATTTAATAAATTATTTATTTATTTATTTATCATTTATTTACTATTCTCTATTTAAATTTTATTATTTTTATTTAATTTTTATTAAATTTACTTTAATTTAAGTAAATACATTTAAAATAAATTATTTATTTATTTATTTTATTCAATATTTGTACAATTTTATTTTTATGTTTTCCCCAAATATTTTGCCTAGATTCACTAAAATTAATCAAAAAATTTACTAAAAATCCTATTTACTAAATGATTCATAAAATTAAAAAGAAAAAATAGAATTTAGTAAAAATACTAATAAATATAAAAGTAATTAAATTCAAAAAACAAATTTAAAAATGCCTACATATGTACTTCTACAAAAATTACTTTTATGTTTTTACTATTTTTTTGTCAATTACAAATACATATGTACATTTTAGAATTTTCGTTTATAAAATTTAGTTTTATCCACATTTATTTAAATAAGTAAATATATATTTCCTCTATGAATCATATAAATAAAGCTAAAATTAATTAAATTTAATTAATTCTACTTGACATGATAATTCAAATCTATAATTTTTGATTAATCATTAATTAATGTGAATATATAAATATTTTTGTCAATTTCTAATCATTTTAAATATTTTTGTTTATTTAATATTTATTTTGAAAATTAAAGTCGTTTAGGCACAGAAATGTTTGTAATTTTAATTAAATAAATATATTTTTATTTTTAAGAGTAAAGTTAGCAAAAACGAATGAGGGCTATTTTCCCATTCATTACCACCATCAAAATGTATCTAGACATGGTATTATAGAGCTCAACTTCTACATCAAAGCTGGATATCATTTGTGATATGTAGGTAATTAAATAAAAAATTGATTCACATCCACCACCACTCTCTAAATATAAATCCTCAGAAATACATTCGTTTATAAATTGAGAGTAATTAATAAGTGTTTATTGTTTAGTTTATCATTTGTTATCCTAAATAAAAAATTTTAAAAAATAGTCGCTGTCGCGACTTTTTACAATAAAACAAACAGAAAATTAAATGTTTAAATATTTAAAAATTAAAGGAAATATTTAAAAATAACTATTTAGGCAAAAAGAAAATAACTATATTTAGGCAAAATATGAAGAAATTAAACAAAAAAAAGAATATTCCACAATGGAAAAAGAGGAATTGATATCCTTTGCAAATTTGCTTTGGATATACCATCATCATTTGTCCCCTGGCATAGAATTTACAGAATATAACTAAAATTAACTGGATTTTGAATAGAAATTATTTTTTATCCTTTGGAAAAGAATTATAATAAATATATTTTGATTTACATATATTCTGTTAAATGTAAAAGTTTAGAAAATTTTAATTAAAATAAAATTGCTCTTGTTGATTTTAATTTGTGATTTCTTAGTTAAAAGATTTCTTTCCGTTTCCGTTCAGAAAAGTTTTAATAATGAATTTAAAATATAATTTAGGTATACGATACTGCATAGTTATAATTATTTAGTTTCTACATAGCAGAGTTGCGTCGTAATTACGAATACGAATTACGGCGTTTTTTCAGTTACGAATTACGATTACAAAAAAATTTTGCCATTAAATTTTAGAATGAAGAGAAGAAATATTTGAAATATTTATATTTTTTCTCGCAGTTACTTTTGTTTATCGGTGGTTGAGTGGATCCATGTGTGTGAAATAAATTTTAACAGTTCATTTTTTCAAAAATAAATGTTTTTAAACTTTGATTTTGATTTTAGGTTTGTAAATTTATATTTTTAATATCTTAAAATTGAAAAAACTTTAAAATTTTTTAATTTAGTCATGAATTTTTTAAAAATTTTCGCCTGCGGCGCAGAAAATCTAAGTTTTGGCTCAGGATTAAGTGAGAGGGATTTCACATGATATCAAACTTTAATCTGGACAATGATTCCGCAGCATTGATTGAAGAGACATCGGAGGATTATTAGGATTATTAAGAATATTTAAAAGATTTTTTTAAAAAAGTAGGTATTTTCCCGTCCTTTAAATCAAATACATATATCTCTGGATCAAATTTAAAGACTGTCAGAACTCGAAACCCCATTTTTAAAAGACTAATTATCAGATTTTAGGTCAGCTTTAAAGAACGATTTTAACTAATTTGCCGTGGCGATGTTAAATCCTTTTTGGCCGTGATGACATTTTGATGAAACGATATTTTGATGGATGGCATTTTAACCATTTTTAGCCGTGGAGATATTTTAACGAAGCGATAATTTGTTCCGGTTGATTTCTGCTGTGAAACATTCTGTCTTTCGATAAAACGTTATTTCATTTTAAAAATTCTACACTTTATCTAAACGAATTACGACATCATTTCACAGAAAAATTAGGACAAAGGATGAACGTAAAAATCGATAGAAAGCGCTTTCTCTTTAATCGGCTCCGGTACAAAATATGGAATCGTTAAAATATGGAATGGTTAAAATCGCGAAAAGGCTAAAAAGGGGTTAAAATACCGAATCGTTAAAATATGGAAACGTTAAAATATCGAATCGGGTAAAAAAGGGTTAAAATATGGAATCGTTAAAATATGGAATGGTAAAAATGTCGACACGGCCAAAATCGGTCAAAATGTCGAATTCTTTTAAAAAAGGGTCAGATGAGTGCCATACATTGATTATTGATAATTTTATCAACTTATCAACTTATTGATGATAAGTTGATTGATAAGTCTCTTATGTCGTAGTCCGGCGCAATCTTTTCTGCCCGAGTTCAGTGTATTTTACGGAGTAAAACCGGACCGGATAAATTAAGCATAATCGACACCGGATCCGGTCCGGCATGATCGTACGGATCCGGAAAACATAACGCGATCCTGATATGGAAAAATTATAGTGGTGTGCATTAGTTTTTAGTTAAGACCTAAAGTTTGACCTTACCGTATACGGTATGGAATACCGAAAAACACCGATCAGCTTTTAAATTTTATCGGAAGGCATTCCGTACCGTACAACCGACACGGAATACCGAAAAATACCATCGGTATTACGGTACCGTCCGGATTCTAGTTTTGGCGCCATTTTTAAAAAATACGACATTTTGACCAATTTTGGCCGTGTCGACATTTTTACCATTCCATATTTTAACGATTCCATATTTTAACCCTTTTTTAGCCTATTCGATATTTTAACCATTCCATATTTTAACGATTCCATATTTTAACCCCTTTTTAGCCTATTCGCGATTTTAACCCCTTTTTACCCGATTCGAGATTTTAACCCTTTTTTAGCCTATTCCATATTTTAACGATTCGATATTTTGTCCGGACACGCTTTAATCTTTGAATGTCAGAGAAAGCATACACAAACTATTGACAGCCTCTACAACGACTGGCATAAATTTTATATTGTTCTTTAGTCTAGCTAGCGCTTTTTGATTCTGAAAATATTTCCATAGAAACAAACCTTTGTATATATTTAGTTTAGAATTATCCAAAGTTTTTGCGAGCGTTTTTACATTAGATGTTTAAAAATCGATAAATTTCGAAATAATCCTTTACTTAATTATTTTTTAATTTAATCCCTCTCTCGAATGTGGTTTGCTTGACTTCCTTCACTATTAAATTTAAAAAATCGATGTTAGAGAAACTTTTTTGGTTTCCAGGTTGCTACATACATACATAACTTTCCCTCTTCATTTCACGAACATACTTAAATATTAACATAATTATAGCTTTGCATTTTGCGCAAAACTTATTAATTTTAAGGTTTTTGTATGATTTGTTTTGTTATTTTTACAATTTTAACAAGTTTACTAGGCTGTTTATTTGTTTCGATGATTCATCTTTTTTTGCGAAAGTGAAATATATGTAGTTCTATTTAATGTTTACTAGTCACTTTCTTCTCTGTTTTTTCTTCTCTGTAATTTCCAACATTTTATTATCCCTCTAAAAAGCTAAACTTTCTATTAAAAAAATATTTTTTTTTCAGTTTAATCAAACGTTTATTTTTTCTGAATTATTTGACTTCGAAAATGGGAAAACAAACAATTAATTCCACAACTCGCCAACCTCTTAATGGGGGACTTGGAGGTGGCCGTACTCATCAAAGAATCCGTATTGGATTTTCGGATTTGGAGCCGTTATGGAATGCTGAAGATGATAAATACAAAGTTTTTTGTCGCTCAGTTCATGTCTCAAAAGCAGCTTTGTATGTTAGCTATGTTCAGTTGGTTGCGGCATTTATGGGCTCTATTCTCTTTGCTTACAACTATATGATGGTCAGTTTTTAAATGAATAAACAAAATTTTAAAGTCTTTCTGTCTTGGTCCTATAATAGGATATTGTTATGGGTGGACTGTTTACAAATATTTGATTTTAATTAGTGACCGACAAAATAAGTTCTGGGCCCGAAACCGATTTTTGATTTCACGCTCGTACAGGACCGGATTTTTCCGGATTAATCCGATTTTAGTTCGGAAATCTAAAAACCCCGGATTTGGGACTTGGACTCCGGAAAATCCGGCCAGAGTCCGGTCCGGCGCCGGTCACTAATTTAATTTATCCTTTTTCTCATTTTTAATTATTTTTTAGATTGCTAGCGTACAAACACCTTCAGCTGATTCTTGGGTGGGATCAGTTAACAATCGCTATATGTGTATGTTTTTAAATATTTTATATGATTTTTATTTTTAAAATAGCTCAATTAATGATGGCCGTTACTTTGCACGTTTTGCTTCTTGTTGTGCTCATTCACGGAATTAAAACTGAGCGGAAGTCTTTGCTTATGCCATATATTGTTTACGCTGCAATTACTGTGCTTACTGGACTTGTTGGGGTAAATTTTTTAATTTTTAGTAGTTCATATTGAAGAATAAGGTTATTGACGCTTTCTGGACTTTTTAGTCTCCCGAATTTTATGTCCAATTTTTCGCCTTAATAATTTAGTAAATCACTTCTATGGTTTTTAAAGCTTCGTTCTACATATTTTAATTAACAAAATATAAGATTTTCTTTTTAGATTGTCAATGACATTTTCTACCTTGACTCGCATATAATGCAAGATGGAGAAACAAATTCTATCGTTAGAAGGTTTGTTTATTTGTTTGACTTCTAATTTTTTTTTAATTTTAGTCAACTCCGTCGTCATTTTCTCGCAACAATAGTTCAAGCTTGGTTCCTTTCCATCATTTGGCGTTGTTATGGATACCTTGGTGATAAGAAGGTAGCTCGTCAAATTCGTGATCAAATGTGCAGCACCGCTAGTGCATTCCGATATCCCGAGAATTTGATGTGCAGTGGATATGCTCTTATGCAACAACCACCTCCATATGCTGTTAGTAAATTTTTATTATTTTTTGATATTTAAAACAATTTAGGACACAGTAATGAGCCCTTCTGCAACAATTCCCCCACCTGTTTATATTGGACCGATTGGTAGTGGAATTGAAAAGCCTGTCGCTAAATCACCTAGCCAGACTACCACAACAACCACTGAACTTGCGACTGAAGCTAAAGAGGAAGAGGAAAAGTAATTGAGTAGAAATGAGTTGAAATGAGATGTAAATGATAAAAAGAATGTTTAATTTAAAGTAAAATTTGATCAGGTCTTTTTAAATTTATCCTCCAAATGTCTGGGAGGACTTTTATTGAATGTTTTTATTAGGATTGTTATTGAATAGAGAATCTCCAATTTTTTCGATCCAAGTTTTGGCTTTGTTCGAGGACTTTCTCTTTTCCTTAACAATCCTAATTTCGATTTTGACTGATCATTTTTCCTTCGTTTGTATTTAAGACACCCATATTCCCAATCCATATAATCAAAAATTATCTTTTTCTATTTTAGCTTATAAATACACAATCTAAGAAAATTTATTTTTATTGAATAAAAATTTAAAAATTATATGGAAAATATTTAAAATTTGTATCTAAAAATAATTTTTTTGGATTGTCAAAAAAGCACAATTTTCTTTTTTACTTTAAGCTTTCTTTAAATGATATCGATATCTTACATTCGCTGATTTATACCCCCTACTATATATCTTTAACAATTGCATACATATACAAAATTTTGAATAAATTTGTAAAGATAATTCTTTTTTTATACGAAATATATTTTGATTACATGTAAAAAATTATTTTTTAAATGTGTTTTCTGAATTTAAATATTAGTTTAACTAATTAGAGGGGTAATCTACCTATATTAATTTTAACATTTGTCTTTACCAGACGTGGTCACGGATACTGATCTTGGTATCCGTATCCGCATACTTTCAGCGGATACAAGCGGATATCCGCAGGCATTTTGATATTATTTGTATCCGTATCCATGGGCAGGTCTTGTCTTTACTCGAAATTAGTTTATGAAAGGTGGTACCTATTACCTTTATGTTTTTATTTATCAATACATTGATTTGTGTTTTATTCATTTTTACTCATAATTTTACTTTTCAAAAATTTCTTACCTTATACTTCCCAATTTATTTAGAATATAAAAAACAAAATTCCAAATGATTTCTAGAATTGGATGGTTCAATCTTAGTGAGTTTAATTTTATCTACTTTTAAACAATTTATGTTTTAGGGTCTAAATTTAATTTTATACCGCTCCTTGGTCATTCATTAAGAACTCAAGCGACGGCAGGGGCTACTCCAGCTACCAAGTCTGAACCTCCTAGACCAACTCCTGTAACAACTTCAGAAGTAAAGCCGCCATTGAATATGAAAACACAAGGTTTTGAATTGTAAATGTTTAAATTTAGTTTTTAGTTGGAGACTCGGTTACTTGGAATATAAAGGGGAATGGCATTGCTGTTGTAAAGATTGATTGTCCAGGCGAAAAGGTTTTTAAAAAAGAGAATTTTAAGTTTTAAATTAATTAAAAGGTGAATTCTTTGAATGAAGCTGTCTCAAAAGATCTAACAGCTGCTTTCAATGCCATAGAGCAAAATCCGTCTGTTCGTGGCGTTGTTCTAATTTCTGGCAAACCAAATGTAATTTTTGTGATTTCGATAATTTTATACTTAATTTTACAGAATTTTATCGCCGGTGCAGACATTCGAATGTTAGAGAAATGTAAATCGGTTTCAGAAGCTGCGAAGATTTCAAGCGATGCTAAAGTCCAATTTGACAAATTAGAAAATAGCAAAAAGCCGGTTTTTTGATAACTTTTAAATTCATCAATAAATTATTAAAAGATTGTTGCTGCCATTATGGGTCCTTGTATGGGTGGAGGTCTTGAATTAGCAATGGCTTGTCATTATCGAATAGCTGTGGACTCGCCAAAAACTCAATTGGCATTGCCTGAAGTTATGTTGGGTCTATTGCCAGGCGCTGGGGGTACACAACGTCTTCCCAAGCTTGTTGACATCCAAACAGCTTTGCAAATGATGCTCACAGGTTTTTTGATCTTAAAATGCTCTTCTCTAAAACAATTCTAAGGCAAAGTTCTTCGTCCAAATAAAGCCAAAAAACTTGGTTTAGTCGACCATTTGGTCCAGCCAATTGGACCTGGCCTTACCGATCCGTTAACTGGAACTCATCGTTATTTGGAAGAGGTTGCCATCCAAACATGTGAACAACTAGCTGATGGTTCTCTTAAAGTTACTAAAAGCAAGCCTTTTGCTCAACAGGTTTTTACAAATATTTTTTCAATTTCTTTGAAAAATTTTCAGTTGACAAATCTTTTACTTACAAGTCGTCCACTTATCGATGCTTTACTAGTTCGAAAGGCCAAAGAAACGGTGATGAAGCAAACGCATGGGAATTACCCTGCGCCTTTGAAGATTTTGGATGTTGTTCGAAATGGGTTGATTGATGGGCCACAAGTTGGTTATGAACAGGAGACTCAGGTTATTTATGCAGGGAACCACGTATCTTTCATAAAAAAAGTTTTAGGCGTTTGGCGAACTTTCACAAACCAAACAATCGGCAGCTTTAGTTGGTCTCTATTGGGGTCGAACTGAATGCCAAAAAGACAAATATGGAGATGCAAAGAAATGCGAGTATGTTTATCGATTTTAAAGTATTTTTTATTTTGCTTATTTGTAGACGGTTGGGAGTGATTGGAGCTGGTCTCATGGGTGCCGGAATTGCAAATGTTAGCATTGACCAGGGAATTGAAACGGTTATAAATAACATTTTTCTTTTAATTTATTAAAATTTTTAGGTTCTTATAGATACAAATCAAGGAGCTTTAGATCGAGGCCTCAAACAAATTACTACACAGATGGAAGGTCAACTTAAAAAGAAAAAGTTTACTTCAGCTGAACATACACGTTATTTGTCGTCACTGAAACCTGTTTTGAATGATTATAGCCATCTTAAAAATTCCGATGTCGTTATTGAAGCTGTTTTTGAGGATCTTGGATTAAAACATAAAATTATTCAGAAGGTCATTTTAAATAGAAATTAAATAAGAATTTTATTAGATTGAGGAAAATGTCCCAGAGCATTGTGTTATTGCTACAAATACTTCGGCTCTTCCTATAAAGGATATTGCTTCTGCTAGCAAGCGACCTGAAAGAATCATTGGCATGCACTATGTATATATTTTTCAAATTATTTTTTTAATAAGGATAAATAATTTTATTAGGTGAGTAAACTATTTTAAACATTTTTTTAGTTTTCGCCCGTTGACAAAATGCAGCTTTTGGAAATAATTACTTCAGAAAAGACATCTAAAGAAACTTTGGCGGTCGCGGCAAAACTGGGACTTGCTCAGAAAAAGTTGATTGTCGTTGTTAAGGTTCTGTTTATTTAAGAATGATTTTTAAATTATTTTTTATAGGATTGCCCCGGCTTTTTCGTTGTTCGTTGTATAAGTCCAATGTTGAGTGAAGTTATGCGTCTTCTTCAGGAAGGTTTAACTCCAACAGAGGTATTTATAAGTATCTTTTTGAAAATGAGAAATTTATTAAGGCTGACAAAATTACCAATCAATTTGGATTTCCTGTTGGGATGGCTACTTTAGCTGATGAAGTATTTTTTAATCGTCGATTTTTTATAAAAAATATTTTTAAAGGTAGGCCTTGATGTTGGTGATCACGTTGCTTCATTTTTAAGTAAAGCACTCGGACCTCGTGTCCAAGGAGGATCTTCACAAATGTTACAAGATATGGTCTAAGCTGGATTTAAAGGCAAAAAGAGTGGAGCCGGTTAGTTTCCTCCTCTAAAATAATTATTTTATATATTTTAAGGTATTTATGACTATAATCCCCAATCAACTAATCCACTTGTAAAATTTGGAATTGGGAAAGCACCAAAGAAAGTAGTAAATGAAAAGGCAGTTGAAATACTTAAACGTTATTCTTTAACTCCGCCAACCGGTGCCTCTTCTGTTGAAGATCAACAATTACGTGTTGTTTGTCGTTTTGTGAATGAAGCAATAATTTGTCTTGAAGAGGGAATAATTTCGGCACCGGTTAATTTTTTTAATGGGCTCGCACCTTTTCTCTATTTTCCTTTTACACAAATACTCCCAAACACCGAAACTTTGACTGGTCATAACTTGGCCTGAAGTAATTCTGCAATAAACGGACATCACTTCGCAATAGGAACTCGAGGGTCCTCTATCGAATGGTACCAAAAATATTCTAAATTCGCATTCACAGTAAACAATGGTCCCTTGTAAGTTTAATTATAGGTTCCGTTTCTCTTAATATTTTTAAATTTCTTGTATAATGTTCTATTAATTTTATTAATTTAGTCTGATGGAGATATTGCCAGCGTTTTTGGTGTCGGCTTTCCGCCATTTTGGGGCGGCCCATTTAGATTTGTTGACCTTTACGGTGCTGACAAATTAGTGAAGAAGATGGAAAAATATGCAAGTATTTATCCAAGTGTTCAATTCCAACCATGCCAATTACTTTTAGGTTTGTTTAAAAATAATTTTAAAATTATTTTTAATTTTTAGATCACGCAAAAACGGGCAAAAAGTTTTACGAAAAGCGACAATAAAATAAATAGTAGCAGCGAAAGGTCTACAAATTTTTAGTTTTTAAATGACTCCTATTTGTGTGGGTATTGCTTTGGCTCAAAGAATTAGAAGTATTTTGTTTTATAAGTAATTGTTCCTCCTATATTCACAGACTGCTTTCATGTTAATATGACACAAAAATTAAATATATAGTTGGCATTTTTGTTAAAATATTAATAAAATATTTTTTTTGGAATTTAAAGAAAAGATTAGTAAATTTAATCAGTTTAATAAATTTAAAAAATATTTTATTGATATATTTTAAATTTTATTTGTTAGTTAAGTTTACCTCTGATTTAGTTTCTAGGGTTGCCAAAATGTATTTGAAAATTTTTTAGGAAAGATTAAATTATTTTCAAATTTTGGGCTATCCCTATTCTCTACAATATTTTGTTAGATATTCTCTGAAACTTTGAATAAATTGAAATATATTTTATTAAATATTTTGTTTTTTTGTTTTAATTGTCAAAAAATATTTTCTAATTAAATATTCTTTTACTAATTTAATTCTTTTTTTGATTATTTTTTTGATTCCAATGCGTCTAGAAAAGTGTTGGTTTTGTTCTTCAACAATTTGGCCAGGTCATGGTATTCAATTTGCACGAAATGATGGAACGGTTTGGTTTTTATTATTATATTTTAAATGTCTTCCTCCACATTTCTCTTTGAATGAGGGGTTGTAAATTCCGAATTTTAATATTCTGGGATGTCTAAAACCACTTTTGAACATTAAGGTACATTCAATAAATTGATCTATAATATCTAGTGTGATTATCAATCAAATTCCTTTTTATTTTAAGTTCCCTATTTTTTAAATTTATTTAAATTAGGTCTTCAAATTTTGTCGTTCCAAATGCAACAAATTATTCAAAAAGAAAAAGAATCCTCGCAAATTGAAATGGACAAAAGCTTCGAGGCGATTAAGAGGAAAGGTTTTTGTTTTTAATTTTATTTTTGTTTAAATTTTATTTAAAGGAATTGGTTAATGATGCCGTCCAAGCACTTGAACAAAAAAGAAATGAGCCTGTAAAATATGACAGAAATTTGTGGAATGAAGCAGGTTTTTTGGAAGTTTTTTTTGAAAATTTTTAAAATTAATTTTTAGTTGAGGCAATGAAACAAATCCACGAAATTAGACATCGTCGTTATGGACAATTAATTAAAAATAAATTGAAGCCTGGTCAATTACGTCAAAAACAGGCAATGATTAAAAAAGCAAAGACTAGAATGCATTTAATTAGGTTTGTTTAAAAATTGTTTTTTAAAAGGGGAATTGAAACTGAATTTGTATGATAAGAATATTATTCGAGGAGGCACCCTTTCCTAACTTTGTTGAAATTTTTTAGAATATTGAAAACACCTAAAAATGGTTTTTAAACAATTGTTCTTTCTTGGGTAACAGGGATCGCATCGACAGAAAAATAAAATTCCCGATTTTCGGGAATCGGGAATTTTGTCGGTGCGATCCCTACTGGTTCCGAAATACATTTCCTGGCAAATAGTTAACCTAATTTGTTCATTAAAAAAATTTTTTTCAAATTAATAAAAGTTTTGTATATTTTAGATCACCATTTGCCAATGACGTAAAAGACGAAGATGAGCAGATGGATATGGAATATAAAGAAGAAAGTGATATAGAACAAGGGGATGTTATTGAAATTAAAGAGGAAAATGTTGAAGATGAGAAAGTTACAAAAAAGAAAAAGAAGAAATTAAATAAAAATAAAGAAGTGCCAGAGACACAAACAATGATGGTGGTTGAAACAATTGAAGATGATTAATGTGGGGAATATTTAAAATATTATTATTGGATTTTAATTGTTTTTAATTTTTGTTTTGATAAATAAAAAGGAATATTTTTAGAAAAATATTAACAAAACTTGATATTCCTTGCATTAGACCCCGGCAACTGAAAAATCAACTAGGTGCCCTTCTTGAAAAAAGGAATTAAAATAAATTTAAATTTCGATAAATTTAGGTGTACAGTTTGTTATCGTTTGACTTATTTTTTAAAAATAAATACATCTGCTTTTTATATAAAATGAATTGTTTAAATATTTGTTTATGTAAATAATAGAAACGAAAACAGCCCCCCCCCTTAATTTGACAGGAGTCAAAACTAATGTTTAATTTGTAATTGAGAAACCTTTAATAGAGGGCTATTCATTTTGAAGTATTTTCCTCACATTCACACATGTTTTTTGGTATATTTGTTTAAGTAAACTTGAAATAAAAAAACTTACTGTCCTTTTGACCTTTTATAAAAACACATGATAATTTTTACTATAAGCCTTTTCGTAAGAATTTATTAAAAGTATCTCTCTTTTGAATTGTTTCAAGACTACTGTAGTTCCTTTATTATTTCTTTTGGAGGAAAATGAGTCGAGAAGAAAATATTTAGGCGCAAACAAAGTCGGGCGTGAGCTTATAATTTGGCCGTAGTAAATTTAGAACTTTAAAACTTTGGGGTTTGAATGTTGATCTAAATGGTCAATGGTTCTGACTTTGAAATTTATTTAGATACCTCTAATTGTAAATTTGGCTGAGTAAAATTCATAAATATTGCTTTAACTTTAGCAGAGTTCATTTCGTGGAGCCTAATGTTAATTCGCGCCTAAACGCCCCCAGAAAAAGGGGCGGGGACAAAAATTTCTTTTTCTTAATTTGCCAGAATGTTGTTAAGGCAAAGAAAATTGTAAGAGGAATTCAAGAAATGAGTGAATGAATGGGGCATGCTTTCTATAAAGAAAATATTGGAAGAAATGTTTGAAGACAGTTACTACATTATTTAGTTTCTTGAAGGGCATTTTTGGCTGTCGAGAATATTTTGTGTTTGGTTGCGTGCCATTTTCTTTTTTAAACTACCAATAAAATGAAAAGAGAAAATTTTTATATGTTTGCATGTTTATAAAAGAGAGTTAAATAATTTTCTTTAACAAATATATAACACGCGATTAAAATTTTTGATTAAAAATATTTTAAATCAATTTTAAAAGTACAGTTGACACTCTTTTGTTTGGAATTATTAAACTAATACATATGTTAGATATTATATTCGGTGATAAAATATTCCAAAAAACTAACAGTTTATCAGTCCCTTTTACAGGAGTCTCCGTATATGCTCTAATAATTACCATGAGTATTGTTTCGACCTCTCGCTGAAGGGAGTAATTAATAGAACGGGGGTAATTATTTGAGAGAGGGTACTTAATAGAGCACATACGGTATTCCATTCGATTCCAATAAAGCCGTTCTAGTTTTTTGCGATTCCGCTTTACGAGAGCTGGTTCCCAAGGTGGGACATCACTTAAGGGCAATTTACAGTTTTCAAATTTTTTATAGCCTTAGTATTCCTCAAGTGATTAAATTTTAATAAACAAAAAACTTAAACAACACGCAATTAATTAGAAAAATAATAAATTATAAACAAGGCAAAAATACAAAAATTATTTAATTAATTAAAGTCTGTTTTAGAGAAAGTATGTACTAATAAATAATTTTATATTTTTGTGTCACTTGATTTTATCACGCAATTTTAATAATTTGTAAAATTATTCTTAAAATTAAAAAGCTTTAAGATATCTTTTGTCCTCCATAAAACCCCCAATAACTTTACCTTCATTTTATGTTCACCAATTATATCTAGGGAGGGGGGGGGTCCCTTTAAAAATCTTAACGAATATATTCTCCATCTATTGAGTATTTTACTTGGATTTTGTTATAAATGTTAAATGTTTATAGGAAATATTTTACAGAATTTTCGGGAAATTTCCCTTTACCTAGGCTTTTAAGTGATGCCTGATTGTAGTAAATTTTTAATTTAAATTTTAGTAATTTCTTCATTGACAACTACTAAAATATTAATATTTATTTAAAGTTTTTACTTAAGAAGTTTCTCATGTACGCGACCAAACGGAGACAACGAAATTTTAAACGGTAAAATTTTTTTGAATAATTTTCTTAAATAATTTTAAAAGAATAAAAAGGAGTTTTTAAATATTAATAATTTTACTAAAAATGAAGGGATGATAAAAATAAAAATTTTGTTTGAAAATATATATAAAAGGTTTTCCCAAAAAAATAAAAAAAGACAAGGAAGAAGTCACGAAAAATGCCGTGCCCAATTGCTAGTTGATTAGAAATATATTTTTATTTTTCGAGATCTCCTTCTTTCCCTTTGTTTTCCTTTAAATTCTTCGTGTCCTGCGTGCCAACCACCACTTTTTTTGTAAGGAAAATATTCCAAAAATTAACATTTCTATTTTTATTTATTTGTTTGTTAATTAGCCAAGCAAAACAATGATTAAAGAAATAATTAAAAAGAGGTTTTTTGTTTTTAATTATTAAATACTCACTTAATTTTCATGAAAATTGAAAATTTTTATTTATAAAATATTTATTTATTTTTATTTTTCTTCATTCTCTCTATTAAATATTACTCCTCTCATTTTTACAGTAAAATTAATTGCTCTCGCGCAAACTAAATCGTTGAATTAATGCAGTGAAAGAAATTACCTTAAAATTTTTTGTTTTTTAAATAATTAATATATAAATCTGTGAAAGATCATCCGGAAATTTTGAAAAAAATTTAATTAACTGTAAAGAATGTAAATATTTTCGAGAAATATTTTTCTGATTTTTAATAAATTTTTAGCTGACAAATAAATAAATTAAATATAAGTAGAATAATGATGAGCTTAACCTTATTATGTTAAATTATATTAATATTTTTTAAATTACATTATCAAAACTATTCTCAGTTTGTTAAATGGATAGATTTGTTCTAAATAATATATTTTCAATTTATCTAATTAATTTACTTTTTTATAAAAGTTTTTTTATTTTTATTAAATACCCAACCATCTGTTTTAAATTTTTATCGGCAATAAAACAAAAAATAAAATTCTCGGATTAATAATAACTTGTAGTAATAAAACACAAGATATTTCAATGAACATATGTTGCGCATTTCTTATTCCCATATTTTTATTCATCCTTTTCCAAGTATTTCGAAGGATTCTTTTCTTATTTAATAATCCAAACAAATTTACTATTTTCTTCTCTTTATTTAAGGACAGATTCGAGAAAATAAATAAATAATTAATTAAGAACAGTAAATAAATAAATAAATTTATTCAGCCAATTCTAAAGATGCGCGCGCGAATTGTCAATGAGTTTCTCTATTTATTTATATATACTTTTTTGGGATTTGAAAAGATTTTCCTCAAGGTCATAATTTAATATTTACAAAAATTTTAATAATAAAAAGAATTTAAAAATATGTTGGTTAATTTATTGTAACTTACTTAGTAGTCCATTTAGGATATTACTCAATTTACTCAATTATAGGGTAGTCGATTCTGGACCGAGGATTTTTCGGTTAGGTTCTTCGGTTCGGTTCGGATATCCGAAGAATTTTCAGGAACCGACAACCCTACTCAATTAATATATTTAAATATTTCCAGACCCAAATATAGTGCTTCAACCAAAAAATTTTCTTAAAATTTTTTTAACTTTTTTCATTTTTTTGTTGTGCAATAAAATATATAATTGTTGGGGGCAGATGGAGGGATTTTTGAATGATGGAAAGATTATATGTATATTATTAAAATGGGGTGCTAAAATATTGCGCCAAAATATTATTTCTTTTCAAATATTTTTTCGTAGAGATTAGGGGGATTAACATGTTATTGAGAGTGAAAGGTATTATTAAGTCAAAAAATAATTTTTGGTTAATAATAAAACAAACCTTTCGTTAGAAATTTGGAAATTCTGCTAAAAGAGTTATTTTTAAAAGCAATTCCCATCTTCGAGACAGATTTAGAAGTATTTTGTCGCAATTTAAAAGTTACAAAAAAAGAGATAAAATTATATAAAATTAGATTTTTGAGACTTTTGAGAATTTTTAAAATTATTATTTTAAGTATAAGAACAACAGAAAACAAAAATAATAATGAAATAATACCTCCCCAATCGCAACCCCACCTCCAACACCCCCAACCCCAACAACCTTTATTAAATTATTTATTAAATAATAATAATTTAACAACAAAAATAAATAATAATTTAAATAATTCTTCTTCAAATCCATCAAAAAGACACAGAGAACGTTTAAATGGGGAATTAGAAACTGTTTGGATATTTTAAATTAAATTAATTTTAAATTTATTTTAAAAAGGTTGCTTCTCTTTTACCTTATGACGAGTCTACAATACAAAGGTTTTTAAGGGGTTTTTTGTCAGAAAATTATAATTAACTTAAAAAATAAATTAATAAAATCAAAATTTTAACTAAAAATTAAAAACAAGTAAGACTGAAATAAAGGAAAGATTAAAATTTTGTATTTTTAATTAATTTATTTTTTAATAGACTGGATAAATTGTCTGTTCTTCGTTTAGCTGTTTCTTACCTCCAAATTAAAGCTCATTTTCAAGGTTTTAAATTTTTCCAAAAATTTTAAAGAAAATTTTTACTTAAAAGTTTGTTCCCAATTAGCATTATTACAACCAAATGGACGGTGTTTTTCTCATCCATATTTTAAAACAACAACAAATAATAACAACAACAATAATTCCTCATTCTTTTCTGTTCCAAGTTTATTTAATTCTTTCCATCAAATTCCAATTATTGACACAAATGAACCTTTTTATTCATCTTTAGCACAAAAAGTAATTTAAATTTATCTTTTCCGGAAGATGTCTCTCTTATGTTTATGTACATTGTTGTGTACTCTCTCGTTTTTTGTCTAACCAAAGTTCCTTTAAATTATTTTAAAGAAGGGAGAGAATTAAACAAGTTACCGTATACCTCTTCTCTTTTTAATGCTTCTCCCTATTTCCGGATAAGTGCAGAGAAATAGTTAGAGACTGTGGGACACATTCATGTTTTTAAGAGAGACAATTATTTAAAAAAATTTAATTTAAAATAATTTTTAAAGGCATTAGGTGCTTTTTTACTTATTTTACATTTGGATGGAGATATTTTTTATGTAACAGAAAGTATAGAAATTTATTTAGGGTTTCAACAGGTAAATAATTAATTTTATTTTTAATTAAAAATTTGTGTTTTATTTATAGTCAGATATTTTGCATCAATCACTTTTTGAAATGTAATTGTTAATTTTAGATATTTGTTAATTTTTTGATAAAAATAAAAAAATATTTCTAAAGGATTCATTCAGAAGATCGAGAAGAACTTCGGTCTTTACTCCAACGATTACAGCAATTATCATCTGAAGAAAATAATGAAAGTAATTGAAATAGTAAATAAAAATAAACATCCCCCCCCCCCCAATTCCAAAATTTTTTTCAATGCAAAAGTTTTGAGGAAGTTTAGTAGATTAGGTAATTAATGTAAATTAATAGCCTCCAGTTCTGAAAAATTTAAATTTTTTTATGTTCCTAGTCTGAATTTTTATACAAACATTCCCAGCACTTTCTTTTTGAGAATTCATAGAAATGGGGTTTTTGAAAGGGTTTTTACTCTTCAAAAATTTTTTAAAAGGATTCATTTAGAAGGAATATTTAATAAAAATAATTTTAAAAACAGATTTGGCTACACAATGGGATATTCCAATTGTTTTGCGTTTTAGATGTTTATTGGATAATACTTGTGGATTTGTTGTAATATTTATTTTAAAGAAATCTTTTTAAAAAAAATAATTTTGTCTTTCAAAAGCGTGTAGAATTAAAAACAAAAATTTTAAAAATTCATTCCCATCAAAACAACGGTCTTTCTTCTTTTATTTCCCCCCAATTTCCCCAACAAAATGGTAGAGGACGGCGACAACAACAACAAACAACTTCGAGATTAGAGGAATTAAATGGAATTGAGGGATCATATTCTCCTTTAATTAATTCATTTAAACGTTGGGGGTGGGCATTAATTGCTATTTGTATGTATGTATTTAATTAATTAAAATATTTTTTGAAATTCTTTGGGTTAAATATCTGGTTTTGTTTTTATCTAGACAGAATTCTGAACTGGAGAAAGAAAAAATGATTCTATGTACATATATCAAGGATCTAGCCGACATAAAAATTCAATTTCCGATTTTCGGGAATCGGGTCGGCTAGATCCCTGATGTAAATGAAAAGAGTGGCGAGATGATATTTTTCCTTACTTTTTTTTTTGACCGAATCGGAATGGTCGATTTTCCCCTATTACTTGATGTTTGCTGTAAGGATTTCTGAAATTTTCGGTTCAGATATCGGATCCGGATCAGACGTGGGCGAAACGTTTCGTTTCGTTTCGTTGTTTCGTTAGTTTCGTTATGTTTTTTCCTGTTTCGTCTCGTTTCGTGACGAAACACTTTTTAATTTGTTTCGTTTCGTTTTGTTAACGAAACACCTGTGTTTCGTTAACGAAACATTACCTATTTTTTAAACCAAAATATAACCCAGAAGCTGAAAAAATTTGTCCATCGGTGATGAAAATTCAAAAAATTTTTGCCTGCGGCGCTGAAAAAGAAGAAATCTGGCTTCTTGTCCTTCAAAATTTTCACAATTTTCGCCTGCGGCGCAGAAAATGGAAAAAATCTATCTTAAGGACCTATAAAATTCTAAAAATTTTCGTCTGCGATGAGAATGAGAAAGGACCCCGGCGATGAGAAAGGACCCCCCTCGTAAACCTACATACTGATGACCTATTGACCCTGAAGGCATACAAATTTTTGATCAGCACCATTTTTGCTTTTATCCCTTTGCAAGGTTAATCAGTCATCTGTGGGATTAACGGAGCTAATGAGGGGTACAGGGTTGACCCCATTTTTAATTATCTTTGGAGCCCGTACTGGGAGTATTCGCAGATTAATCTTTTTGCATATTTTGAGGGAAGGACTTAATAATCCAAAAGTTTTGTCGTCAATTAGTCATTCGGTAATGCGACAATTTCGTCCAATCCCGATCTCGTGCCGGGATCTGTATCACCATTACACAATCCAGATCCCGGTTTTTCTATAAATCCCGATACCGCTGAACTCTAGATTTAGGTGAGATTAAGAGAAAAATTGGCTAATGGGACCACAATTTATGGTCCACATAATTTTACGATCACTTATATGTCATTATTGGCCAATTAACATGCTTAAAATTGTTTAGTTAATAAAATACTCCAGATTTTTGAGATTTTTTTCGAAATTAAAATGTTTCGTTTTGTTTCGTTTCGTTTCGTTAAATTTTGACTGTTTCGTTTCGTTTTGTTAACGAAACGTTTTTTAAAAATTTTTGTTTCGTTTCGTTTCGTCCGAAAAAAATTTAGAGTTTCGCCCAGGTCTGATCCGGATGTCCGAAGATTTCCCAAAATCCGCCAACCTCACTCCACATTAAATAAAAATTAAAACAAAAATTAATTATATTTATTACAATTTTAGTCCATTTGTTCCACCTCTTCAAATGAATGTTCGTTTAGATGATCCAATCCTTAAATCAAAACATTCATTAGATATGGGAATACAATCTTTAGATTCTCGGTTTTAAAATTTTCTTTAATTTTAATATATTTTATTTTTTTAAAGTCTTAAACAAATATTAGAATTAAATAATGAAAATAATAATTGTTTAATTCCTTCTACATCTAATTTTGAAAACAATTCAGAAGATTTACTTTCACGTTCTTTTTATTATTTTATACATCCTGGTGATGTTAAATATTTTTCTGATGCACATGAAATGGGTAAATTAAAATAATTTTTAAAAGGGGCTTTGTATATACCTAGGCGGAATAGTAAAATTATTTTGTTAAAGGTGATCGACTCTATAATCTGGGTGTTTGGGGTGCGTTGGTTATTTTCTGGTTTAAACTGGTTTCCGTTCCATCCAAGAAATAGTTTTTTATTTAATCTATTTTTAAGATGGGCTTTATAGTATATCCAATTGGGCTGGGACGGTATGAAAAAATGGGGCATGAGAACCTGGCACTTTTTCCTCTCAAGAATGAACGAACCTGGTAAAGAACCAGGTAACCCTATCCGGTTTTTTACATACTGCCCCTGGAGTCGAAGACCCGGCTAAATTAGAAACTCAGTTTAAAAAATTTTGTTGGTGGTCTATAAATTGATTTAATTTTTTATGGTTTTACTTAATTAGCAATAAACTCCAAATTTTTAAAAACAAAATTTTATTTTTCTAAATTTAAATATTTTTAGTTATAAAATCTTGTTCTTCTGGTTTAATGATTTATAGATTAATTAGTGTAAAATCTAAAAATATTTATTATGTTCAAACAAGTTTTCGACTATTTTTTAAAGTAAAAATTTTTTGTAATTAATTAAATAATTATTTTTTTAAAATTTTTAAAGAGTAGTAAACCAGACAGTATTGGGGCAAATCATCGAATTTTAACGTAAAAATTAAAAAAAATTTTATTTTAAATAATTATTTAATTAATAGGGAAGTAGATGGTGAATCTCTTTTGGAAAAAAGAAATAATATTAAATCAAAGTAGTTTTTTCTAATTAAAAATTTTAATTAAAAAATATTTTTCAAAAGATTCCTTTCATTTGATGACACATTACTTCAATCACCTAGAATTTTCCAACAACCAATTAATTTATCTGTTCCACCCATTCCAACAACAACATTAAATAATAATTCTCCAAAACTTGCAAAAAATATTTTATTAATTAAAGAAAATAATAAAAATAAAAGGTTGGAATGATTTGAAATTTAAAATTATTTGGTAATTTGTAGAGGAACTTTGAAGGAAGAAAATTTTTCCCAAAATTTGAGACCGAAAAAATCCAAGAAATTTTTAAGTCGAAGATCATAAGTCTTTGACGTCTCTACTAATTTACCTTAAAATTTCAACTCTCGTTAGAGCACGAAAAACCCAAAATGCATTGGTTGACTTTTCTACAATCAATGAATCTAGCTTTAGAAGTTCTGAGGGGATTGATATCCTTATTGAATTGAGGATATTATAGCTACTAACGAGAGTTGATTATATAGAGGTTTTATGATTTTAATTTAAATTTATTTAAGTAATTCGATAGAGGGAATTTCTAATTATGAAAAACTTAAAAAGAAATTAACAACAACAACAAGTAAAAAGTATAAGAAACACAATAAAGATAAAAATGAAGAATCCAAAATTGTTAAAAAATTAATTTCGAAAGAAGTTGAAAAAAGTGGGGAAGAAGAGGGTATTTTGTGGTTTTTTTTTTGTTGATTTAATTTTGAAAATATTTTGTAGAATCTTCTTCATTTTTAAATGAAAATGTGAACAAAGCAATTATTTATAGAGAAGATTTAAATGTTAATTTAGTAGAAGATAATAGTAATAATAATGTTAATCAACATTTGGATGTAAATATTTTTTTCTTTTATGTATTTAAATTAAGGAAATATTTTTTGATAAGGAAGTTTAGGCGCCATTCATTTTGAAGTTTTATAAGTGTTTTTCAATTATTCCCACCTAGGTTTGTAGGATTCTGAGAACCAAAAATCCCAAAAATTTTAAACAAAAATTCCCTAATATTCAGACTTTTACCAGTCCAACAACCCTCTTTTAATTAATTAATTAATTTAGATACCTACAACAACAACAACAAATATTTACTATAATAATAATTTAAATGAAGATGTTTCTTCAGCAATGTTGTCAACATTTCCTTACTATTACTATTATTGTTGTATTTCTCCAAATCAACAACAAAATTTATTTGGTTCTTTAATTATGGATTTAACTAATAATGAAGGAGGAGGAGAATATTTAAATAATAATTGTATTATACCTGGTATTTTATTTAAATAAATTTAAAATAAAAGAATATTTTTAAAAAAGATTATTGGACATCTGCAGTTATGGCAGCAGTTGTTGATATTAATAATGAAGATAATAATAATGAAATGTTAAACAATCAAGCTATTCCTTTACCTTTATTACAACCTCCCTTAGATTCTGATTTGGCTTCTTCAATTTTTCATTGGCCACAAATTTTCCCTCAAAATAGTAAAGATTTTGAAATAAAAATTATTCGTGTCAGAGAATAGAAATTACTTTAAATGTGTGGAAACTAGTTTTAGCCAGTGCTTATAAGCTCGTACCAAAATTCGAACTTTTGTAGGTTTCCTACGAGTACGAGCAAAACTGAAATTTATAAGCACTGGTTTCAGCTTCAATGATCATAAATTTGGTCAAGAATACTTTAAAAGACTTTCTCTTGTTTTTATATTAAGCTAAACTAAAATTATTTATAAAAAAACAAATTCCTCCTCCTCTCTATTCAGACTCTCCAACATCTTCGGGAACAACAACAACATCAATACTTCCTCATTTATATCCTCCTTTACCTCAACAACAACAACCAAATACATATACTTCTACAAACATTAATAATCAAGCACAAAAAAGTATTTTAAAAAATATTTTTAATCGAAAAAGAAATTTTATTTTTCAGATTTAACTAATCCAGTTTTCCCTCCTCAATATAACAATATTTCATCTATCCTCCCATCTACTTCAATATTACCACCAGAAACACAACAACAAAAATCCAAAACAAATTTACTAATTAACAACCAACAAACATTTAACCCAACAACAAGCCAAACAAGTTTTGAACACTTCCCAACATTCCCAACAAACTTATTAGAACAACAAAAACATTTTAAACAACAAAATGTTTTCCCCCAAAATTATTATAACCAACATGTTTTTAATTCAATCCAAACACAAAAACAACAACAAACAACAGAAAACAATCCAAACATTTATTTAAATCAAAACATTACAACTTTACAACAACAACAACAACAAAATGTTTCTTCAACATTTCCTCCCTCTTCTTGTAAATTTAAATTTGTTTTTTTATTTTTTTGTTTTGTTTAGTTAATAGCTCAACAACAACAACAAATACTTCAAGTTTTCGTTTTCTTTCTGAAGTTGCACAAACATTATTTGGACAATAAATAAATTTATTTATTTTTAAGAAGAAAATTTTAATTTTATTTTCAAAGATCTCATTAAATATTTTTTTATTTTTAAAAATTATTTATGTACTAAATACTTTTTGTTGTAATATAGAGTTAACAATAAAATATCAATTTAATTTATTTTTTAATTAATTTTTTCCTTTCTATCACTCAGAGGTTGCCTTCTTTTACGTTCCTCCATTATATCCGAAGCATCAGAAAATTCGTAGGGGATTGTACTCCATCGTTTTAAATATTCTAAATTTTAATTTTAAATAATAAAAATTAATTATTTATTTTTACTTTTCTTTTGTTTATCTTCTTTAATTTCTGGTTGTTCTAATAATTGTTTAACAGTTTTTGATTTTGATGGAAGTAATTGGGCAACAGCAGACAACATTCTTTTAATTTAATTTTTTTTAAAAATATTTAATTAATTACCTAGGTGTTCTTAAATCACAAGATACTCTACAACGTTCAATTAAATTCTTTTTAGATTCTTCTGCCCCTTTTTTACCTTTTTCGTCTTTTCGAAGCATTTGACTTTAATTTAAAAAAATATTTTCTAAAAAATATTTTTATTTATTTTAACCGAGCTTTTTTCTTCAATAATTGTTGAGCATCTGGATAATCTTTGATTACATCATTTAAGTCTTCTTTTGATAAAACAAATAATGTTGAGTATCCCTTTGAACGAATATTTGCTGTTCTACGATTATTTCCGCCAATTGCCAATAAACTATTTTTGAATTATTTTTTATTAATTTCTCGATTTGTTTTCAACTTATGTTTTACTAAGTTTTTATAAATTAGGTAACTGTTTTCGATTTTTTTTAATAAAATACCAATCTTTGGTAAGGTTACTACGAGAATAAATGAGCTTGTGTTAACAGGTATTTGGATTCCATTGATTTTTTCCGTTCGGGGATTACCTTCGCCAGGTAAAGAATTTCCCCGTTAATTAATTTTTTTAAATTTCTTAATTAAAATTTTTTTTCAATTATTTTTTTCTTCATTTTTAATTATTTACCTAATTTCTCCAAAAACACTTCCTTCAGTTAATGTAGCAAAAACAATTTCATTATTTTCTCCCCCAACAACTTCCAATATTCCATTATTTACAATATACATTTCTTTCCCAACATCCCCTTTTCTACAAATAACATCTCCGGGCAAAAATATTACTGGACGAAGACGTAAAACCAAATCTCTCATAAATGCTCTATCTGCATCCTTTTTTAAATTATTTTTTTTTATTTTAAATTAATTAATCTCTACACAAATCTATCCCTTAGGAACGGAAATATTCTTTAGGGAAAATTAAGTAATATTAAATAATAATGTAGTACTATGTACAATTTTTAAGGCAGCTTTACTAACAGATAATTGGGAGAATCAAAGAAAAACTAACTGTAATCCACAAATATTTATTTTTCGAAAAGTTAATTAAGAAATTAACTTACTTGAAATAATTTAACTTTACTTAAAGTATTATAATGAACAGATAAAGCTAAATCTGTTTGTAATTTTAACGGCAATTTTTCCACCAAACGTTTTTCTTCTAATGTTCGTTGTTGTTCCCATGTATATAAAAACCAGGCACGTACTCTAGCTGTTAAATGTTCTGGTAATCCCAAACGTTTACATTCACTTAGGGCCTTTAAATTTTTAAATTAAAAATATTTTTTGTGCATAGGCGCTGAAAGGTTCATATTTAAACCTTTTGAATTCAAGTTTCAATTAAAAATTTGAAACCAAAAGGTTTAAAAAAATAATAATTACTCTATCCATAGTAGTTCTAAATTCTTCATTATTTTTATTAGCATTAGAAACAATATCTCTTATTTGTCCCAATAATAACGCAAAAACAAAGACACCCATCATCCAAGAAAATGTCATATAAATATATTCTATAACATTTGTTGGGGCTGGATTATTTCCTGTAGAAGTTGCTACAGCAGCAGTAAAATAAAAACAACGAATATAAGCATTCCCTTCATTATTATAAACCCATTTATTTAAATACCTTTTTTTAATTAAAATTAATTATTTTTAATAAATTTTTATTAGCAAGGGATGATGGAAATTTTAAAAGTTGCTCACATCAGTCTCTTGTAGGGGAAAAGTATGAGTTATCCCAAAAAAGGATTTTTTGGCACGGACGGACTCGGTCAGATAAACACGGACGGACTTGGCAAAGGGAAAATTTAATCCTTTTTGATTGTGAGAGAAATGAAAATTAATTTATGACTATTTGTGACCCCCTATTATGCGGGCACCCTAATCTTTACAAGTGCCGATTTTTTAAACCAACAACAATCCTCATACTTTCATATAAAAAATATTTTCGGAGTGGGCATGGGAGAAGGACATCTCATTTTAACTTTATTTTTTACTATAATTGAATAAATTAAAAAAATTTAAATAAAATTCGTTAACAGACCATTTTCCTTTATAATTATAAGGTATTTGTCCAAACCCTTGCCAAGCACTCAAAACATAATAAACACAAGAATTACAATGTATTATATAAATCATATAACAAAAAGTTTTTGCAATTCTAATAGCATATGGATTAGAAAATGAACTGTCTAATAATTCAAAAAATTCCCAAAAAGAAGGTAATTTAAGTAAACGAAATATTCTCCAAGCACAAATTGGGCCTGTCCAGATATACAAAATATCCAATGGAAGTAGTGAAAATAAATCAAGTTTAAATACGCCTTTTTAAATTAAAATTATTTTGGAATAGATTTTTTGATTATAAATCGGGCTATTAATTTTTTATTAATAGGTACCGAATCAGATCGGTATCCGAGATAGGAGGTCTCCCATAATGAGGTTTCGTTTAGGTAGCTCTCCCGTCAAAAACCCATTCTGCAGTAAACATTATGTTTATATCGAGGTTTTTCCACTATATTATTGACACCCTCTCCGATACTCGTTTTCTCTTCACGTTTTCTCATTTTTCTAACTTTTATTTCAAAACCGTTTAGGGAGCTTTCAAAAAATACCTGAAAACCCCGTAATAGTTTAGAAACTAGTTGAATGTATAAATTATCCAAATTTGTAACTACTTACCACTAGTTAAATAATGATGTAACATTTCAGGAGGACTTTTAACATTAATACCATCTCTCATAAAAGTTAATCTGGATTTAATTAAAGTTAAATCAACCAAATAAATTAAATCACAAATATAATCACCAAATAACCAATAACGAAGATTTGAACGAGTCTTTTAATTTAATTTAAAAAATATTTTTTAATAAAAATTTTACTTGATATGGGTAAGAACATCTTAAAGGAATTACAAAAGAATTATATAAAAAAGCAATTAAAACAAAAGATAGCCAACTAACATATAATTTACCTTTTAAATGAATAAATTTTTTTGAAAATTTATTTTAAATTAATTACTAAATGGGTCAATGTTGGAGGGAAGTAGACGTGAAGGGACGTCAACAATTTCATCTGATTCCACTTCCTTTTTAAGAAAACAATTATTTTTTAAATTTACCCTTCTGGACAAATTTAAGGACAGCTAATCGAAATTTAAACTCTTTTGGTTATCCTACCTTTAGTATATATTAGAAGGATAATTAGAAGTTTGGAATGAATATGGGGAAGGGGAGGGGGAAGGAGAGGGAGGAAATATTTTAAATATCCTACTTGATGTAATCCAATCAAAGACATTAAAGATGCCTGATCAGGCCTCCTTTCCCCACTTTTTCTTCTCTTTTCATCCTTATCTTCATCTTCGTCTTCTTCAGCCTGTTCATCTGTCGGGGTTGGCTCTCTACAAAGTTCTTCACGTACAGCAGAAGTTCTCCTCCTCAAATCTTTTGCAAATTCATGCAATTTCTCTCGAATAATAAAAGACATTTGAGAACTATTATCAGATAAATTTTGACTTTGAGAAATAAAAATTATTTTTTAATTATAAAATAATTTCTTTAAAAACCTAGAAAATGAAAATGGAGAACTTGAAGACAATAAAGCTGGGGAAGGAGAAGGAGAATGAAGAAATGGAGAAGGAATTGGTGGTGATTCTAGCAATAAATTATTTTTTTCTTCAAAAGAAATTGAATCTGCTTGTTCTACAATTATTTTGGTAGTTTCTATATTTTTATGTGAAGGTGAAGGAAGAGGGGATTGTGAGGAGCTATAAAAATATATTAATTAATTAAAATTATTTTTCACTAATTTTTACAATAAATTAGAAAATTAGTTTTTTCTAATTAAAAAAAATTAAATAATTCTTAAATCTAATTTAATTAACATCCAAAAAATACCCGAACCCACAACCCCCATGAAAGCAAAAAAAAACCACAAAGACCGCCTCATAACCAAATTTAATTAAAAAACTTACTTTTTCTCTCCATTTTCAACATTAACCGTCTTATCTTCATTAATTTTTTCTTCTTTATTTTCTTCCAATTTTTCTTTTTCTTCCCTCAAATTATTTAAATCCTCTTTATTTATTTCTTTCATTTTATTTTCTTCAAAAATTGTTAATGGAGGGGAGGAGGATATATTTCCTCCAGTAATTTCCCCAGGTAATGTGTTTATACTTCTACTTGTAGATGGAGGTAATTGTTGATTAAATACTGATTGAGGACGTTGATGGGGAAGACTGGCAGTTGAAAGTGGTGGAGATATTGAACGAACTTTGTTATTTAATTTTTAAAAAACATTTTTTTGTAACATTTTGCTGCTACCCCTTATCCCCCAATTCCCCTTTTATTTATTAAAAATAAATTTAAATAAAAATTGTAAGGCACAAAATCTAATAGTTTATAGGTAATTTAAAATAATAAATCCAGTAAATATACTGAATGTTTTTCGGTAACTAAGGTAATCTCTACTTTAACAAAAAAATAATTTATAATGCCCAAAAGGAAAATAAATATAAACAATACAGCCTTTAATTATTAAAAAAATTAGGTATATTTTTTTGAAGAAATTCAAAAGAATTGTCCTTCGGGAAGTAAAAAACTTGTATCTTTTTTATTCAACTAATAACCTTTTCGAAGTTCTAAAACCTTCTTAATTTATTTAAAATTCTATTAAACTACCAGTATTTGGCGGAATTGATGCCAATGAATCGGAAGAAGAGTAATTATTTAATGAAAGGACGTCTGTATTTATTTGGTTCTTTTTAATTAAAAAAATAATTATTTTATTCCTATTTAATTTAAAAAACTACCACTAAATTAGATATATTCCCAATTCTTTGTTGTGTTCTAACTTTAAATCCATTACGGCTATTGGAACTTTTTTTGAAATTTGGGAGAGAATTTCGATACATTTTTTAAAAGTTTTATTTAAATAAATATGAAGAAGCGATGACTTTTTAAATAAAGCTCATCAATATATATTTATATAATTATTTTGTTGTCAAGGATACAAAAATGAATAATTATTTTTTTAATTTTTAATATTATTTTATACTAAGTTTAAAAATAAAAATCATCAAAAATTATCGCCTTTAAGCCAAAATTAGCATTTATTTATTACCTACTACCATAATTCTTCCACTAATAAAAAAATCACTTCAACTTTCCCATTAAAATATCTGAATACATTTACTTATGCTCTAGCATATACCCTCAAATCTTCAACCGATTAGGCACTGAAAATGAAGATTTTTCCCTATAATTTAAAACATTTTTCATTTAAAATTTAAAAAATTTTATTTCAAATAAATAAAAATTTTGACAGAACTAATGTTCTAAATATTTAAATTTATTTTTTATTGTTTAACAATTCTTTTCTTCAAATTCTTCTTTATTTGCTTTTTTCTTTTTATTTTAATGTGCAAGCGGTTCTTTATGATTATGAGTTTCCTCAAAAGCTTCTCCAGCCATTTCTTTGCCTTCTTCGTCTTTAGAATTTACAGACTCCCCAGATTGATCATAACTTTAATTTATCTTTTAATTTAAAAAGAGAAATGATTTATTTATCTACCCATGTGCCATTCTGAAACGAGCTTCTTCCGATTGCCTTTCAAACTCTGCCTCCATTGCAGCCCTTTCAGCAGCACTTTCATAACTTTAATTTTATTTAATATTATTTTAAATTTAAATATCTCTCTTACATTTCTGATGTTTGTTCCGTAAAGGTAATATTGCAGTTTGTTTTTTATTTGGATAATCATAATTTTTGATTCCCGAAAACGTCGGAACTATTTTATAATTTAGTAAAAGCCTAGGATAACAGCCCTTTTTGGAAAAATACTCCAACAGTGTAAGTGAAATAAATCGTTAAATCCAATTTTGTAAATACACTTGTAGATACACTCCCTTTTTAATGCATGACTTTTCAGCCCCAAAGGTGCACTTACAAGTGAGATCAGCAGCAAAATACGAAATAAATTAATTAGAGGTTTATTTAAAAACAGATTTAAATATTCAGGTAAACAATCTGCAATATTACCAGAAACAGTATTTTGGCCAGGTACACTTTCTTCTTTTTGTTCGGACATTTTTTGTAATATTTTAATAAATTCTCTTTAAAAATAAATTTCAGATAAATTTATGTACATAAGAAAATAAAGTTAAAATGGAGTTAAACAAAATTAAATTAGAGATTTACTTTAATATTTAAAAACTAAAGGGTCTCAGAAAGCCGAAGGCTTTCCCAGATAATTTTAGGAGGATTCATTCCCCCTAGTTTTGAGATATTCACAAGTTTCTTTTATCTAAAAGGTTCCTAAGTTCTACTTTAAATTTTAAAATACTGAAAATGAAAAGCTTGTTTGGTTGCTGAAAGGAGAGGAAAAATTTTGGAAAAAATTCAAAATTTTTTTGTTAAATTAAAGAAAAAGAAATTACTAAAAATAAAAAGAATAAACTTAAATTTAAAATGAAACACTATGAATTGACAGAAGAATGTTTATAATATTTAAGCAAAATATATTTTTAGTCATTCACAGAGCCACGAGTTGTTTACAAATAAAAATAACCCTCTAAAGTATTTTGTTGTTTTCGATTTATTTTTTTATAAAAAATGGACGGATGAAAAGAGAAAGGAATTTTTTTATTTTTCCAAAGTGTGAAAAAATAAAAAAATGAATTAAATAAATTGGAAAAAATTAAGAAAAATATGTATTTTAATTTTCTTAATTAATTACACCCCTTTAATTTCCTCTTTCACACCTCCTCCCACGTCTTTTATTACCCCCTCCAGGGTACCTATTTCGAAACAATAAATTTTATTAAAAATTTAATAAAAACATTCACAAATTAAAAAGAATTTAAATATATCTGATTGAGTATTTAAATATCAAAATGGCCAAGAAAAGTAAATTTAAAAGAAAGTCCTTAACAACCCTTAAACAATCCCTAAATTTCTTAAAATTTAACATTTTTAAACGGATGGAGAAGGGCTTGGACTAACAATAGAATTATTTTTTATTTTATTATTTCTTTTACTAATTCCACTCAAAATTGTTCTTTGATCGATATAATTAATATAACGACGAGCTCTGTGTAACTAGAAAATTTTAAAGAATTTAAGAGAAAATAAAATTTTAAAAATACCAAGAAAAAACTGAGAGAAATTCCAAAAAAGGAACGGACAGATTGTGACCACCTTTTTATTTAAATTATTTTTTTAATTTAAAAATTAATTTAATAAATTTACTTTTTAGGTAAAAAGTCTCTTAAAAATATTGAAAGTAGAATTGACCCAAAATTAAAAATAACAGAAGAAAATACACAATATTCTACACGACGCCATCTTTTAAAAAATTAAAATTATTTTATTTTAACATTTTTTAAATTTACCTCCAAAGACGGTGCATGTGTGGACGGAAAAACCTTTTTTAAATAAAATTATTAATTTTTATTAAAAGTTTTCGAAGTTAAAAAATTATTACGAGAATTAAATCATTAAAAAGAGAAAATTTTAAGTGAAGACATTAATGTTTCAGAAAATATAAAAATAATTTTTAAAGTAATTTCTATGATTTTTGAATTAGTTTTGGAATTTTTAAACAAAAAATCTTACATATAAAACCCCAATCCAAGATGAGAATTAAATAAAATAGCATTGCTTATTGCAATATAATTTGTTGGAAATAATCTTTAAAAATAAATAATTATTTTTCTTAATTTATTTTAAAAACCTTTTGAGAATTAAAGGATTAAATAAATTTAAAGTAAATAATGAATGGCTAATAGCACCTTTAAATAATTAAAATTAAATTTAAATAAAACTTCTTTTTTAATTCACCCACCACTCATTGGAATATAATGCCGTAAAATTAATTTTTGTGAAGGTGAAGGGAAAAATTGTTTAAATATTTTTGCACATTTAAATAAAATTCCATCAGAAGTTGGAGTAGGAGATGGATTTTCTATCATCCTTTTTTTAATTAAAAAAATATTTAAATAATTAAATTTAAAAAAAGTATTTAATTAATTATTTAAAAAAATAAAATAAAAAGAAATTATTTATTTTTATTATTTTAATTTAATAAATTAACGATAAATAAAATTAAAAATTGGGTTAAAAATACAAATAATTTTTGAGAAAAATTTTAAATTTAATTCAAAAAATTAAAGTACAAAGGAAAAATAAACGAAAATTGATTGTTAAAAATAATTAATAAAATAATTCTTTTATAAAAACAGGTTTATAATGTTATTTATACGCAATTAATTAATTTTCCTTTTTCTTTAAAATAATTTTAATCCAAAAATAATTTTAAAAAAATAAATTAAAATATTTATTTTTAAATAAAAATTGAGATTAAAAGAAATAAAGAAAATAATTAAAAAAGGAAAAAACAACTGTCAAACAAATTTTTTTTTTATTGAATTTATGTTTATTTGTGGCTTCTAAAGCAAAATTAATAAAAAAAATTGTCTAATTTATTTTTAAAAATACCCCAAAAATAATTAAAAGGTCAATATAAATATTTCAACAAAAATTTAATTAATTAACAAAATGTATTCCCTTCAAAAGAATTAATTCAGCAGTATGAGAACCGCCTACTAAAGCACCCTCAACAATATCAAAAGTGGATAACAATTTTGGCTCACCTTCAATTAAAACACGTAATTGCATATTTGTTGATGCACGGGCAGAAAGCCTTTAAAAAAATATTTTTAAAAATATTTTTTTTTCAAATTAAATTACCAAATATTTCGCCTTTCATCTTCTTCATCCATTTCCATTACCAATAATTCTGAATAAAAAAAATTTTTAATAACTTAATATATTTAAATATACCAGAATCCAACAATTGATCACCCCCTCCATTATTTGGTGAAGAATAAATTGTTTTACTTAAAAAAATAAAATTAATTTAAAAAATTTTCGATTAATTTTACTTAATTTCACGGGAAAGCACAGTTCCATCCCAATGAATTAAAGAAGACTCAGAAAGTGAAAAACAATTATTTGCATATAATGGATGAAATTTAATCTAAAAATATTTTTAAATTTCAAACAAGCAAACAAAAAACCTCAGTCACTGGTTCTTGTGAAACCCTAAATGCAATAGGAAGGGGTTCATTATTTTGGCGAAGGTCAATAAAAGAGACAACACCATCATGAGTTCCTATACCAACCTAAGAAAGTTAAACTAGGTATTTTCAAAAAATTTTTGACATAAAGAAAGTTGACATTTTTAATTAAAAATTTCCAAAAAATTTCTATCAAAAACTTACCACGTGTAACTGAGTTGGATGCGTAGCAATAGCAGTAATAGAATTGTTTAATCCAGTCACTGGACGAGAATTTAAAGGCTCAATACCTTTTAAGAAAATTTTTTGTTTAAAAAAATATACAAATATACCAAAGTCAGGACTCTGAGGTCTTTTTCTTACATCCCATAAGTGAATCTGTCCTGTCGAATGCGCGCTAAGCATTAAAAAATTGTCACATGTACGTAAATGAGTGACACCTGAGAAGTAAAATTTTTAAGAGAAAAATTCAGAAGAATTGATGGTCTGAATTAGTTTATTCCACCGACAAATAATGGAAGGAAAAAGAAGGGAATTCTAGATTTTCAGCAATAAAATTAATTTTATTATTCAAAAAAACATTGTGTAACAAACCCATTAAATCATCAGCAAAAGGACGGACTGCATGAGTTGAACGACTTGCTGGTTGAATTCGAACAATTTGGCCAGTTTCTGAGCCAGAAAATATATCGTTATCCATTAGGCAAATAGTCTTTGAAGATGCTTGCCTTTAAAAAGGAATTTTTTGAATTTTAAATAAAGAGACAAAACGAAAAGTAGTTTTTGGGAAATTAAAGAATTATCTCACAAATTAAAGAAAATCTCATAATTACCCCCAAAATATTCAAAAATTCCTTTTATTAATCCAAAAATTCATCAAAAAATTTTAAAAAACGAACTTGTGAACATTTTTATAAACAGCCACAGTTGTCATTAACTCCTCTTTATTTTGGTCATTTACTTGTTGTTCACCAATTTCACTGTCAGTATTCTCATCCCCATTCCCTTCATTTGATGCACAATTAATTATTCTAACATCTCCATTACTCATTGAAGCCAAAAATTGTTGTGAATTTACAACCCTTTTTTAAAAAATATTCATTTTTTGAATTCAAAAAAATTTTCCTTACAAAATATCATTAACGTCAACTCCATTTCCGACAGAAATTCTTTCTTTACAGGCAAAACTTTTGTCATTTTTAATTCCCTCATTTTTATTTACATTCCAAAGAGTTAAATATCCGTTTTGTTGACCTAGTAATTTAATCTTTAAATAATTTCTTTTTAAATTTTACCAATTGAACACCACGAGCCAGTAACCAAACGACCAGTAAACTCTGCCTGATCAGCGAGGAAACGAACCTTTAAAATTTTTTTGGAAAAATATTTTGATAAAAAATTTAAATTAAGAGGGACCAAGGCCTTGTAGAAAACAACAGGAATATACAAAGAAAAGCTTTAATCCCCTTAATATATTTAATAATAACTTTAGATATTTTGTGTCCAGCAAATCGGCGCTGTGATGAGGCAACAGCTCCACCAAGCATTGTTGTAGTCGAACTTAATGCAGTTGTATTTGTCAAATTGGCCGGGACATGATCAGATGGACGGCGATACATTGTTTTCAAGTAGTAATTTCTAAAGCTAAACTTAATTTCTAAAAAAAATTGTTTAAAAAATTTAAAGAGATAATATAGCTAAATATTTTAAGGATTTTAAAAAATTGAAAGAAAAAATTAATAATATTCTTTGTTGTCTTTATATCAAACATTTAATAATAATTGTAACAAAATAGTCAAAAGAATAATAATCATAATAAATTTCAAAAACCCAGAATTAACTTTAAATTAAAAAAAAATAAATTTATTTAAAGATCAATGTTGTTGATTAGCTGGCTCAGTCTTGCATACCACGTTTTGTACCCCATTTGAAGATAAAGGCGAGTTTAAAGTAAAGCTCATCAATCCCTTATGTGCAGGTAATGATTGAGACGAGGATGGCGTATTGTTAACTATTTATAATTAAAAATAGATTGAAAAATTAGTTTTTTAAGCACTAGGGGAAAAGATAGCCAAAAATCAAAAAATAATTCTTAGACCTTCCAAAAAATGTTTTAAAGAACATACGATTTTTTTCTATTATTTGCTGCAGACGATGTTGTTGCAATTGATCTACAATATTTGTAGAACTACACCTTTCACTACTTTCCATCTTTTTACGTTTTCTTGTCTCGAATCCTCTATTTGCCTTTCTAGGGGAATAATCAGAATCATTAGAACTAATTTCTTCATCTTCGTTATCTTCGCTTTCATCAGTTTTGTCCTCACTTCCACTTTCATTTCCTATTTTTTGAAAATTTTTAAATTTTATATGGAAATTTATTGATTATCTGTGTTCTCAAAATTATCAAATGTAATTTTTTAATTAAAAATTCAAAAGTTATACACGAATCTCTTGATAAATTTAATTTATTTAAACAATTTATTACCTTCTTTTCTAATTTGTTTATCACTTCTAATTTGTCCCTTATCATTTTTATAGTCAATATATTTGGCCAATCCAATTAAACTTAGGTCAATAATTACATTTTGCATTTTTATAGGCTCTAAAATTTGTTTAACTGGCACTTGCTTTCTCTGAAAATTTTAAATAAAATATTGAAAATACTATAAAACAAATAAACCTTCAAATGTGTTCTATGCCTTTGGATAAGTGTACATTGACTTGGACATTTTAATAATTGGTCAAGAGGATCACCATTTAAATCAAATGGTGGAGTTTCTGTAAAAAAACAAAAGAATTTTACTTTTAAAATATTATTCTAGTAAAAAGCCGTTAAAATTTTTCGAAAGTCGTCTTGAAATTATAAGCTAAATTATCTCAAAAATCAACCAAATTTTTGAAATAAAAAAATTAAAAACCTTCACGTCCCCGCTTCTTTTTCTTTTTATTTTGTTGATTATTTTTAGTGTTGTCAACTTTTTGTTTATTTTTTGTGTTAGTTGGCGGATTAGAAGATTTTACAAATTGTCCAACAGGCACAGTTTTTGCCCAATTTAAATTAGAAGAATTCATTTCAGTAATTAATTGGGTAATAGAAAGTTTTAATTGGTTGGCAATAAAATGTTGAAGAGCTTCCTAAATTATTTAAGTTAAAATTCAAAAAAAATCCAAAACAACAGTAGTTTCAGAATTGTTAAAATTTCTGATGTAAAAACTATCATGTTTAACATTTTTCGGCATCCCATGTGAATTAATTAAATGCTTTAAAAAATAAAAATTTAAAAATTAAAAAAATTTTTTTTCAAAACCTGTACAATAGAAGGTAAAGAAAGGAAAAGAACTCGAGGTTGTGTAACACAATGGCTACAAATTTGGCAATAAAAAGCTTCCAAAGGGCCAGAAGTATGGCGTTTTAAATGGACATTTTGAATTATAGAAGCAGCTAAAATTAAATTTTAAAAATTATTTTTCAACAAAAAATAATTTTTAAAAAATAAGAAGTTTACATCTGTCAGTAAAAATAATACCAGGGAAGACGCCAAAGCAAACTGGACAAGTATTTTGAGAACTTGTAGTAATATCCATAAAAACTAAAATAATTTTTAAAAATTCCAAAGTTACTATATCTAAAGAAACTTACAAACTCTAACTCCATTCTTCAATTCTTTGTGTGGAATATCAAGAGGTTTGAAACTAAAAATAAAATTTGAAATTATGTAAATAAAAAGAATTAAAATCGAGGAGAAATTAGAACAAAAATTAGCAAAAAATGGTCATATATTTATAAAAAAAAATTTTTACTATAACTACAATAATTTCAGTAAAAGAATAATTAAAATTTGACAAAAATTTAAATTATTTCTCTAGTTCCATTAAAAATAAAGATTTTACAAAAACAAACCTAGAATTTTCATTAATTTGTGGTCGTATTATATTTAATTGACGAGGCATTGGATAACCTTCAAGCGGACGTGTTGTAGAAATTGTAGCTGTAGCAGAAGCAATTGGCAAACGTGGAGGTGGACGAGTATTTACAGCAAAAGGCTGTGTTGGTGCAATAATGCGTTGTTGGACTTGACTTGAAGTATTGACAGAAGTATTTGGTCTATTTAACATTTTAAATGGATGTTATGAAATATTTAATATTTTAATTAAAAACCTGTAAATCTGCTCGTTCCGTCCTTGAATCGGTAGAATATTACGAAGTGAACAACCCAAAATAGCTCTAGTCCCATTAAAATTATTTGTTGGTGCAAATTGTCTAATATTTTGTTGTTGTAAAAATTGTTGTTGAGAAAAGAATGAAGATGGTTGTTGTTGGTGGTGGTGATTGTTATTAGTAATTTTGTTGTTCTCCGAAGTATTTTTCTGTAATATTTATTTTTTAAATAATTAAGTTAAAAAAAGGGTTTTTTTAATTTGAAGTAGAAAAAATTTCCATAAAATGTTTTTAATAATCATTAGCCAAGGTTAGAACCCTCATAGAGAGAATTTTTGGTAAATAAAAATTTAGAAAAATAAAAATTGACTTTTTAATCCGTAATTATTCAAGAATTTCAAACCTTTACAAGAGCACAAAATAATTCTTCCAATTCAATCATTTTATTTTCTATATTACATATTCGTTCTCCAATTTGTGTAACACTTGATAAACAATAAATATCATCACAGTCTGGACGTTTATGAGGTTCATAGAAGCGCTAAACAAAATTTTTTGTTTTGCAATAAAATTAAAAATAAAACCTTTTTAGTAACCGGATCAATTTGACCTGAAATTTAAAGAAATGGAAGAACGGAAAAAAATTGCGAGTTCAAAAAAAATTTAAAAACAATTATGATTTAAATTAAAGGTATATGTATTTTGGCTATAAAAAAGCCAAAATATTTCATTTTTACCCAAAGTAAATAAAATAAACTTACATATAGAATGTTGTCCATCTGTACGTTCCTTATCTGCCGTATGTCCTTTACGAACAATTTGTTTTTCTTTGTTTACGTTAGTAGACATCTGACTAAAAATATTTTTGAAAATAAAAAGAGAATAAAATACCCAGCATTTCTCTTTCTTAACTTGTTAGAATATGGAGTTTTATCCTTCTCTTTATTACTAAAAATTCAAAAATTAATTTTTTAAAAAATTTTCAAAAAAAACCTCTCAACATCTTTATTCTTCTTACTCAACCACCTCATTGCAGAACTTTTAGAACAAATTCCTATAGCCAATTCTGCAGCAGAAATTTTTGGATTTTCTTTAAATTTCTTCTCCAAAAGTTCGTGATTTACTCGATTAGTTTTTCCATCACTAAATCTTTTAAATAATTTTCTTGCTTCATCTTCAGTAAGTACAGTCTTTCCAAACATTTCATTAACATATCGAGTAGCTTTGCTTGCATTGAGTTGATACGGATTAAATCGATTACGCAAAATTTTAAGAATTTCATCTTGAGTGGGGGAGCCTGAATTTTTTGAAATAAGGTTAGTGATGAGTATAAATGAAAAGAAAATCTCTCAACCCCCCCCCTCCCCTCCCTTCTAAAAACAAAACTAACCATCATCAAATATTTTGTTTTGTAAAATATCCATCATAAGTTTTTGTACTTCTTCTTCAATTCCTTTATTATCCACTATAATACAGCAATCACTAGCTGAGTCGTCTGTCATTGATTTATCGTCATTTAAAGAATTGATCGAATTATTGAATGTTGTCAAATCATTGTCAGAATTTTTAAGTGAAATACTCATATTCAACTGAAATGTAAAATGTAGGGAAATTTAAAATTAACTAATTTTGTATTTTAAATAATATTTATAAAATAGATTAAGCAGTTGCAAATTTTTACGTTAAAATAAAAATTTAAAAAGTTAAAATATGACTAAGCCTGAAAAAGCACTCGAAAAGTCTAGAGTCAAGACTCGGCTACATTTGAAAATGTTCTTTAGACCGTAGAACAAACCAAGTATGGTTTCATTCGAAAGAGCTCGTTTGTTCAGTGGGCCGAACCGAGGGGGCCGAACTAAGGGAGGACCGAACTGGGGCGCAGCCACAGACAAATAGAAAAGGCAGTGTTTGTTGGTCACTGAGACAATAGGCCACGAGACATTTGAATCTAAACCTTAGATTTTTCAATGATTCCTTCTTTTGGTTGAGTTCGGACTTTTTTCATCAAACAAATAAACTAGAAATCTTTTATTCTTAACAAATTATCAATAACAAATTATTTATTTTTAAACAACAAATTAATTTATGTAATCAAACAGAACAATTATCACATTAATTTTATCTACGTCTTATTTATCTATTGCTGCTATTTGAGGTATTAGGTACGCTGACTCCCATATATTGTTTAGGTCGTTGATTCTAAATTTGTTTAAAAAAATCATTAAAAATTTTATTTTTTTTTCAAACCTCCCATTCCATTTGAATACCCCAACTTAGTCTGCGTGCCCTCAGCATTTCAAAAAATGCGTGCTCAATTCCAACATAATCAGGCCGTTTATAGTAATCCAACGAGCGTAAATAAATCAAAATTGTTGAAAATGCAACAGGGCATCCCTTAAAAACAAAAAAATTTTAAAAAGGAAATTCTTTTTAGTTTGTACTTACAAACATATAATGAGAATCCATTAATTGTTCTTTAAGTATCTTTGTTAGAATTCGAGTCTTGCCCTGCCATGGAAGGCGCGCTATAGCTAATTCCACCAACATATAGAGAATTGACCACAAATCGTCGTGTCTCCCGTGCTCATTTCTTTTATGCGCTAGAAATTTGAATTTTTAACAAGTTTTTTAATTTATCAGACTAACCATTTAAGCTACAATAAGCTGGAGTACCTCGAAATGGGACGTCTGGTCTAGGCCTGCGCAAACTCATTTCTCCTCGAGTTTTTATTGATCTTGCAAGTCCAAAGTCAAAGAGATACAACCGTTTGTGGTTAACTTCATCAATTGCAAAATTGCTTGGCTTTATATCGCGGTGCACAAAATATGTGGAATGCATAAAAGCAACAGCCTATAACCAAAAATAATTTTTTTCAAAAATGAATTCATTTATTTTTACATACCCGGACTGCCTGTATTCCAATCTTCAGTATCGTGCCGATTGAGAATCGTCCGTTGAGTTGTTGCTTTTGTAATTCGTTCAATGAAGGGCCAAGAAGTCCCATTATGAGGACACGAAATCCGCCTTCTTTTGCTGCAAATAGAACAATTTAATTTAGAAAAAAGGACAAAAAAATATTACTTTGACAACTCCCATATTGTTGAAATTGGGCAGCGTAAGGAGAAAACTGCAAACGTTTGAGGATGTGTGCCTCGAGAGGGAGAAGCTGATCAGATCTGTCTATGTTGGTACGCTCGACTTTCATTGCATAATCCTTTCCTTCTTTTGAGACTACTCGATAAACAACACCACAACCTCCTAGAAATGAAGGAAATGAGAAAACAATTAAAAAGGGTTATTTTTATTACCCGCTCCAAGTCGACTCGTGACCTTATAGTTGCCAATTGCTTCTCCAACCACCAAATTAACAGCATTACCGTCTGAAGTGGCTTTTTCGACTGTTGGAACACGACCCCCCAAACTTTTAGCTGTTTGTTGTATTTCATTCCTTCTAGTCTCGTCGGCCTTCACAGCTTCGAATTTGTGTTGTCCTTTGACGGGAGGTTGGTCGGAAGAAATGGCAATAGCTGTCTTCACACCCTTCTCCGTGATGTCCTTTGCCTGGTTACTCTTCTTTTTCTTTTTGCCGTATGGTGAAAGGACGTATGTCGTAACTGGAACGAGCAGCTGCAGATGGTACCATTTATTTGGTTTTTGCTCTTTTTGATCGAAAGACTTGGATTTGATGTACTTCTTGTTTGGAGTCGACTTCTTTTTTTCTTCACGTGTAGGAGATTTCTGGTTGCTTTCCCTCTTTCTGCCGCTTTTTTTCCTTCCCTCAGTTGTTCCCTTCTTCTTCCTGGCAGCTTCCTTCTTCGAGTCTGACTTCTTACCCCTAAGACATTGTACCAAAATCGTTGTTGAGCAGGAAATGAAGATAAGCAGAGCGGCAATGATTGTAGACTGCATTCGAATGATTTGGACGAAAAAGGTTTCCACTTTTTCTCACTTGCTTTTATAGTAAACCAACATTTATGTAGTAGATCCCTACCTCATTTAAAAATGTTCCCTAAATCATTTTACAATAACTGTCCATATAATTAACTAACAAAGATATCTTTACTTCCAATTAAATTTAACTATTTTCACTCATCAAGTTTTCAATTACATTCAAATCAAGTCAAGAATTGATTATTAAATATTTATTACATTTACGAAAATTGGATAAGGATAAAAAGAAAATATAAATCTATAATACATATAGCAACTATGGAAAACCTGCCGAATCATGATAGAACCGAAAGCAACCAGGGACGAGCGTAAGAGCCGAAAATTTTGAAATTTTGCAGGCAGAAGCCAGATTTCCTCATTTTTAGCGCCGCTAATAAGTGTATTTTTAGGGGTATTTTTGCGTTATTTTCAGGAAAAATTTACGTAAAACGCAAGAAATGCCATAAATCAACAAAAACTGCAATTCGCCCGTTCCTGGTACAGATACCGTAAATTTTGAAATAAAGCCTCCAATTGAATTAGAACCTAACATTAAAGCCCGGGGGTGTGTATTTCAAAATTGAGGTAATTTATTAACAAATATCATTGTAAATGATCGAACTAAAAATCTAAAAAAATTTTATAGAAGTTTTTACATTCATTTTCATTGCGATTTTACATTCTTTGACCCGTACTGCAATAATTCTGAGCATTTAAAATTGGTTTGCGGTTCATATAATTTACAAATAATAACACGTTTTTGAATTCTTCCAAAAATTAATGGTGGAATGAATATTCTAAAAATTGAGAAAAAAATTTTTAGTCGATAAATCCAGTTTCTTCTCCTTACCCTTTTTCATTTACATTTGTTGGCCTTCCCAATTTTAAATGCCTAATTAATTGCCTCAATTGAAGATAATCTTTAATTTCCATATTTAATGGATAATCAAGTAACGAATATGCGAGTGCTCTTAAATGTGCTTGAAAATTTTGTCTAAATTTTATATCTGGGAATTGAATTGTTGAATCAATCCATTCAATATTACGTTCAACAACCTCAAAAAATTTTTTTAATAAAATTTTATTAAAAATTTACAGCTTGTTTTTCTTCGACTAGACTAGATTCATTTACTCCATCAAAATAAAAATTAATGTAAAGAATTGTTTTTTCAGCATTAATTGACACAAATTGATTCTTAAAAAAATAAATTTTTGAAAATTAAAAAAAATATTTTCACCGAAATAGCAAATTGTTCTCTACGAAAAATAAAATTTTGACGAAGAAATTGTTCAAAACAATAAACTAAAAATTATTTAAAAAAATAATTATTTGTACATAATTACCAGGATTAAATTTATTTTCTCCAATTGAAACAATCATTTCGGGATCATCAAATATTAAATCCAAAAACTGTTGGCCTTCAATATAAAAAAGGAAAACAACCGGGATTTCAACCTGAAAAAATAATTTATTTAAATGGGAAGAAACGTTTAATCTTTAAGAGTTATTCTCACCTTCATATTATTTTTCTTTTGTCCATCAGAATCTAAATTAGCAGATCCACTCATTGCAAAATAAGGCATATGTTCAAAACTAGAACCTTGTTGATTATCTTTAAATTTAAAGGTAAATTAACTATGAATTCCCTTAAAAATTCCCAATTATTTTTCTCCCATTTTTACAATAAATTAACCTACCAATAATAATTAATCCAACAGCTCCCTCTCTTTGTACAAGCAATGCTTTATCCTCAAACATACAATCACCTCTAAGAATAACTGCAATCTTTCCACGTAATTCATTACCATTAAACAATTGAGAACTATTACATGCTTTGAATGGATCAACTAAAACAATCTCGCCGATAACCTAATTTTAGAATATTTTGTTATTTCCAAAATTTTCTTAAAATTTAAACACCTTTTCCCTATTAGTAAAATTCATTCCAAAAGTTGCAGGAGCAGCTGTCCAAGCTGGCAACCCAAAATGTGGAGCAGAAACAATTTGAACTGAGCGTTCATCCCTCATCACTTTAATTTAATTTTAAAATTTTATTGAAATTTCTAAAAAGTACAGGCAGTTTCTAACGACGCTTCTTTCCAAAATTTGCCCATTTCTCGAATAAAACGCAAACCAAGAAATGCTAATTTGACATTTTCTGCCTTTAAAAATTTTAATTAAATTTAAATGCTGAAAATTAATAAAATTAAAGATTCTGGTTGTTCTTAAAAATAACCCATTCAAAATAAAAACTACTCCTAGAATTAATACAAATTAATTGAATTTATTGGTAGTATATTTTAAATTCAAAGGAATACCTTTTTAATTTAAATTTTTATTTAAAATTTAAAGTTATAAAATGGAAAAAAAATAAAAGACAAAAAATAGACAATATAGAACCCGGCAAAATATTTAAGTTCTAAAAATTCGAAAGAAATAAAAGAGGATATGAGCAAAAAAGCGATATGTATTGAATTATAAAAAATTCAAAAGTATATTATGAAAATTGAGAATAAACGGTAGAGTAAAAAATTAAGTGATAAAAATATATATTTAGAGATTTAAAATGGAATACAGTCAAACATCTCTCTAATTTGAAAATAAATTGTTTGGAAATAAAATGAACTTATCAAAAAAGTACATACTTTAAGACTTTCAAACATTTAACAGTTATCCAAAAAATTCTTTCAGAAGGTAATGTAACTTGTATAAGTAAAACTATCTGAAGAAAATCAGTTTTAAATTTTGATTTTCGAATAAAGTAAGCGTTAGTGAGAGAGAAATGACTGTATGTTTTAAATTAAAAAATAGCCAAGATTTTGATACATTTAATTCCTTTCCTCTTATTTAGATTTGTTGTTGTCTTCATTTTTTAAATTCATCTTTTCAGCTTGAGTTTTATTTAAAATATCTTCACTGTTTATGCTTATAATACCTATCCTTCTCAAAATAAATTTCAAAAACAGAGGTACAAGTTTGTAGAAAAGCATTGCTCCAATTGATAAAGTAAAGGCACAAATCAAAACCGAAGCCCAGAGCACAAATCCAATCAAAACCTTTTTTATTTAGAAAAAATAATGAAGTCAATCTCTAATCCACTTATTCAAAACAGATAATTAAATTGTATTTAATTTTTTAGTTAAATGTCAGATTCAGTCATTTCTTTAATTTTAAAAGTGGTGAATAAGTGGAAGACTTGAGAAATTAACAGAAAAAATTTGGATTAAAAATAATTACCATATGAATATATTCAGCTTTAGAAGTACTACTATGATTCTCTAACAAAGAAGAAAATATTGTAGAAAATGAAAAGGGTGAATATATCTGTGGCGGTTTTGTAGAGAAGAAAGAAATTAATGAATCCAATGCTACAACTGCGCCGCTGGTGATGGTTATGGAACGCTGGAATATTTAAAAACATTTATTACAAAATTTTTTGGAGAATAAAAAAAATAAAATTAGAAAAATAAATAATTCCTAAAAATACAAAATTTTAATTCCTCCCATCACCAGCTTTGCATAAACAAAAAAGAATAATCAAATAATTTAAATCATGCAACAAAACAAAAAAATGTAACAAAATTGTGAAAAAATAAATTTAAAACCCAAAAAAATTAACTACCTGAGAAGAAGTATGAATAAGCTGAATACGTCCATCAGGCTGAAATTCCATTCGAATACCCATACGTGTAAGTTGTTCCACATGTGTAGGATCAATTGGATTAAACGTTGTCGGACGAAGACGTCTATTAAAGAATTATTTTTAAAAATGGGGATTTTAGTGGATAATTTTAGTGGATATAATGACAGAATATTTAAAAAATGAGTAGGCCAAAATTTCTCAAATTTTATGTTGTCTGTTAACTCTCCATTTAAATAATGTTGATCAATAATTTAAAAATAAAACAAACATTTCTTCATTTCCAAAAATTGACAAAAATTCATCATCGACAGACTTTTTAATTCCTTCCAAAATTATGTCCATTGTTCCAAGTATTCGATTAACATCCTAAAAATATTCTTTTAAAAATATTTTTTTAAATATTCTTTTACTTCTCTCAATTTCCCTCCATATTCAACAAGTCCATCAGGCGTTCTTCTCCAAAATGGAAGTTTTGTCTCTTCTTCTTCTTCTTCAATATTAGTTACAGATTCTTTTTGTTCACCTTCTTTCTTTTCACATTTTTCTTCCCTTTCTTCTCTTTGAATTAATGTTGTTGGACAAACTGCAAAAAATTGTTGACTATTTGTTTTTGAAGAATCATGATGTTCAACTATCTCATCTGGGTCAATTAGCATTCGACGAGGAAGCTAAAAAATACAAATTATTTTAACAAAAAATATTATCTTTTACCCTATCATTTGGATCAGTCCCTGTCATTTCAGCAATGGATAAAGGTAAAAAATGTGCTTCTGTTGTAAGAACATAATTATCAGGATGAAAAGGTAAATCATTTGGTTCAGAAAATATCATATATAAATATTTGAAAGTTTCTGCCAACACAAATGACTCCATTCTAAAAAAAATAATGGAATTGAATTAAAAATTTGTTTTTAAAGTTAATGTAAAGAAAATCTAAGGAAAATATGTATTTACAATAATTAGTAAGAAAAAGTTCGTATTTTTCGTTATTTTTGAAATGTAAAAATAAAATGTACATACATTTCAAAATTAACTAAAATCCAATCATCAATTTATAAATACACATTTTAAAAACAAAAATTAACAAACTGGTCTTCGTGTTCCATTGTCCTAACATCCTTTACCGAAGCAAACCCACAAGGTACTCGGACATTCTGTTCCAAACTTTGCATAATTTCTTTTGCAACTTCCAAATAGTGAGGATCTTTTGTTGCACGATAAAGAAAATATGTACTTTCAATAAATTCAGGGCGGAGAGGATGTTGGGCCCAATGAACCTTTAAAAAATAAAGAAAATAATTTTAAAAACAAAATTTTAAAAAACCTGTAAATCATGAGTGAATGCATCAGGAAGAAATTTGTGTTTCTAAAATTTAGAGTAAAGTTTAGTTTTATACAATCCAAAAAAACCTTAACAACATTATATAACATTTGATGCATTTCTATAGCCCCACGTAAATCTCCTTTCAAAACCTGAATTCCTGGCCAAAACGCTAATAATGCATCCATATACGAGCGAGAAGCAATTTGTGGTCTGTGCATTTGAACATCAACAAATATAGGGCCTTTGTTTAGATGACGCATTATTGCATCATAATGCTGAAAAGAAAATTAAAAAAATAGACATCCTATCATTAAGGTTGCACAAAATATTTTTATTGACTAAATGGATTAAGAAATTAGATAATAAGGATTTAGAAACGTTTAGAATGGACTATGATTATAAAAAATACTGCCCAGCGTTAGAAAGATATAAAAATAAGATTTGTGCAACCCTAATTAAAATTTATATATTATATTCTACTTTATTAAATCGATATAGATAGTCGTCGTCACCGAGTAATATGTATGCTTTAAGTGTGCTGTAAAAAATAAATTTTATTAACTCAACAAAAAAATTTTTAACAAAAAATTAAAACATACTATTCATAATATGAATCAATTCCTGCACCAATTCCTGATTCAGGACGAACCCAATCACCTAAAAATTTTATAGACAAATGATTTAATAATAATATAAACCTGAATTAACATTTAGCACAGTTCCCATCAAATCACTTCCACGATGTCTCTGTGCCCAAAGAAAATCCATTGCTTTTCTGGCCTTTTCTTCGTAAACTGGCCGACCGCTGAGACGGCTTAATGCAGCCCATTCTAAAATCTAGAGAAAAAAAAATTAAAAATAATGGCAACAAAATAGTTACCATTGTTCCACCACAGGCAGTGCAAGTATCATGTTGGCGTTTTAAACTTGGCAAAAGTCCCTTCTTTAAATTTACCTATAAACAAAAAAATATAATATAATTAAAGGAAAAAAGAAAAAAAACCCGAGAATAAGGCACTCCACTTGTTGAATTGAAAGCAGGTAAAAGACGGTCAGCTAAATCTGTGGCCATCTTTAAAAGTTGATCTGAATACCATTCCATTCTTTGTTTATCTTCACGTTGTTTAACCAATAAACTCATTAAATGAGCTAATACAAATATTTCCTTTTCATTTTAATAATTTAAAGGAAACCTGATATCAATCCACCAACCATTCTAATATTTGTTTCAAAAACAGAAACTGTCAAATCAGAATCAAAACTAATTTGTTCAATTGCTAATTTCACTGCCCTTTCAAATTCATCAAATTCGCCTAGAACAACAAGAGTATCAAGTGTATCAACAAGTGTTAGGGAGAAGTTTCCAAGTGCATCATCAACATCTAAAGGATTTTTAAAAATTTTTTATTTAGGAATAGAGAAGTTAAATGAATGTGAAAACAAATGGAAGCTTTTGAATTGACGTCAGAGCGTTCCATTTATTTTTTAAATTTCTCATTTCATTTAATTCCAAAAATTAACTAAACTTAAGATTTTGTAAAAACATCTGGGACTAATGTAAGGATTGGATTATTAACCTTATCTACCAGTTTTCTTTAGCAGAAATTTACGTTAGAATCGGAAAATTAAAACCATATACTCCCTTATAAATTAAAAATCAACCTCCTCTACTCGGTGTCACTCCACGCTGTCTTCCTTTGCAGCTCAAAGGCATCAACTCATCGTGAGGGAATGCATTCTCCATGTAACTCCTATACCCGTGCATAAACATTTCGTGTGCTTTATCCCTAATAAAAATTTAAAGATAATCAATTAATTTAGAAAATAATTTAAAAAAGAAACCTAAGTAAAGTTTTATTGAAGACTGCATTCTCATCAAATAAATCACCAATTGTTTCATTTTCAATTTCATTTACTTGAAGAGAAGCATTTGTATCAAAAAAGTAGCAGCAAAAATTAATTAATAAAATTAAGCATGCAACCGATTGATCTTTTAATTTTTTATTAATTTGCATGCCAAAATCTCTAGAAAAAATTAAATTTTAATGTTAAATAAAAATTAAGAAAAAAATATATGTAGGGAAGTAAATATTTTATAATGAAAAATGAATAAAAGTATTCTTTTTATTGGCAACTTTTTTTCAATTTTATACACGTAGTGTATAATTTAATAAATTTAAAGTTAGACAATATTTATTTATTGGTTTATTTGTTCATAATCAATATTTTTTAGGAAAATTTATTTTTAATATTAAAAGTTTAATAAATATTTATTATAAATAAAATTATTTTTGTGCTATAAAAGTGGAACTGGTTCTATTAATTTTATTAAAAAAATAAAAACATGCTTGTAACACTTCAAATGAAACAATAAAAAATAATGCTAAAATTTGTCAATTTCAAAAACCCGCTGAAAAAAAACGTGTTTTTCTTTTGGCCTTAAGTTCTGGGACCATTAGTTAATATTATTGAATTTTTGAAAATGGGCTATAACAATCCAAGAATCATATATGATAACGGATATTAAGTATGTTGAGTTCCTTAATTTCAAACCCCAAAAAATGTTTCGTAACCCAAAGCAAAATTAAAAATAAAATTACTTATTGATATAACAACAAATTTTTCCTGAAAACACGTTTTCCGATGATTTACATATTTAGGAAAACCCCAAAAATTAAAAAAAAAATATTTGTAAATATCCATTAGGTAAAAAATCTTTCTCCATCTAACTCCCAGAATAGATCAAGTAGTGTATGTAGTTCTAAAAATTATTTAGTTTAAATTATTTAGTTCTCGGTTGATGATGTTGTTGTTGTTGGGAATGTTGTATTTGATGTGATAGCATATTTGTTGTCATCTGATTTGATGGTAATGTAACTGTTGGATTGCCTCTAAATATTAATTATGTAAATACTCTTTAGTAATATGTTTAAATTGAATTTTGATGAAGAAAATTGAAAAAAAACTCAAAAATAAAAGTTGAATTCAAGTAAAATCGATTATTTAAAATACTCTTTTCAAAAAATTTTCAATACAAAAATAACCCTAATTGTGCTGCAGCCATCAAAGCAGCCTGATAGAGCAACTCTGGTGGTAAACTTTGAAGTTGTTGTTGTTGAGCTGCTGTTAATTGATTTGCTGATTGTGGATTTGAAGGAGAATGGAGGAGTTCATTATTTCCAACAGAAGCAGCTGCAGCAAGCGCAGTTTGAATATTAACAGATAATGCAGCATTGGGAATGCGTTGCTGTTGTTGTTGTTGAGCAGCAATGGCAGAAGCCAATTGCTTAAAATATTAAAAAATAAAATTTTCAATTTAATTTACAGATTGTAATTGCTCGAATTGCTGTTGTTGTTGTAAAAGTGCTGCATAATTCGGAGATGGACTAGGTTGCAAATTTTGTTGAAAATTTTGTAGATTAGGTGTTGATTGTTGTAGAATTGTTTGACTTGTTGGAGTAGAAGAACCTGGAAAATTTTGACCCAATAATTTTGCAACAGCATTTTGTAACTTAAATTTAAAATAAATTTTTCTAACAAAAAATAATTTAAACTTCTTGTTGTTGTTGAATAGCGATAGTTTGTTGTTGTGTAGGTTGACCATAAGGAATGGAAGGAGTAAATTGCTGCTGTTGCTGAGTAACACGAGATAGTTGCTAAAAATATTTAATAAAAATATTTAAATGACACTCCTTTGAGGTTCAACGCTCGAATTTACTATTTCGGTTCCGCATTTCAGTCATGGCCAAGTATGACCTTGTTATTCAACAATCAAAATAATCATTCAAAAAATCTTTATAAACGAATTTTTAAAATTTGGCTAACAACCGGATCACTAAACGAGAGGCTAGAACCGGATCCTAGAATTACAGACTTGTTGTTGTTGCTGAACTGCTGACGCCAATAAAGAAGTTGCCAATCTTTGTTGTTCATCAGCAATACCAACTCCACCCGATGCTGTTGAAGTCGAAACAGCTGATAGGAGTAACTGTTCTAATGAAGGTTGGCGCTGTTGTTGAGAACCAGATACTTAAAAATCGGATTTATATTGATATGTAGTGGGTGAATTGTGGGGATATCCTTTGAACACTTATTTAATTTAAGACAATTTTATATTATTGTAAGATTAAAAATTCTATAAAATGATTAGAAATGTTTAAAAAATTAAACAAGAAGTCGAGGGCGAACTCGAAGTTTGACCATGCGGAGTTCCTGTAGGACCAGCAGAAGCAATCAATGAATTTAAATATTGCTATAATTTAATTTAAAAATGGAAATAAATTGTTAAAAAAATTACTTGAAGTTGTTTAAGTTGAAAATAAGCATCAGTTTGTTGTTGTTGTTGTTGAGCCGCAGCTGCTGCTGCCGCGGCGGCTGCCAATCTTTGTTGTTCTTCAGCAGCTGCCGCCAAAATCTGACGTTGACGTTCTGCCTAGAACAAAAAGACATTTAAGATCTTCAAAAAATTACCTCCTCTTTATGCCTTTTACGTTCAATCTCTTTTTGATGGAGTGCTTTTAACTTATTTAGTACGTCATGTCGCTCATGATTTAAATTGTTAAATTTACTTAAATAAAAGCAGAAATTATTTTAAAATATTTGAAAGATTATTTACCGCTCCCAATGAAGTTGTTCACTTTTTGCTTGTGCCAATTCATTTCGTGCATTTTGAAGCGTCGCTTGTGCATCCATTTTCTGCTTTTTCAATGCATTTTGTTGAGCTAGCTCGGCTTCAGCACGTTGATTACGTAGTCGAATAAATTGTATTAGACAACGAGTTCTACTAACTGGATCATCGAATGGACTAGATAATTCGCCTAAATAGGTTAAAATAATTCTTGTTGGTTTAAACTTTCTGGATTATTTCTTAAATATTATTCCAAATACTCATGTAAACATTCCTCCTCTCGGGGCTATCGCAAAGAACTGAAGACCGTAGTAAATCTCTCTTACTCCCGCTTAAAATTAGTTGGACATTTTTTAGCGAAAGCCAAACCTCTCTCCTTTCCCCCAAATATTTTAAACAAAAAATTCCCAGAAATTTTCATTTATTGCTTATAGAATCCCCAAATTTAAATCAAGATTATTTATAAAAACCTGAAATATCACCAATTTCAGAATTAACTTCACTTTCTTTCTTCTCAACTTCGATACCCAAAGACATTGTATTTTCAGTTGTTGCTGAAATTTCTGGTTCTTCAACTTCCATTTTTTCTATTTTTACTGTTGGATTTGGCATTTCCCAAAAATAATTTTAAAAATATATAATTCAAACAAAAAATTAAATTATAAATATACATATATAACTTTAATTGAACAAAAGTTAGAAATTTTTATAAGAATAAAAAAAAATTAATTATACATTTGTAAAAATATTATATAAAAATATAAAGAAAAAATTACAATATTCACAATTAACTAATAAATATAGTAAAGCCTAGGGACCGACAAATAAGCTTCAGCCTAATAGCCTAATTCCAACAAATAAATTCCAATCAAATTAAATAATATTTATTTTCCAATTAAATTAAATCCAACAATTAATAAAGTAAAAGCGCCAACAAAGAAATAGAGTAAGCCAAAGAAAGGAACCAACAGAGTAGAGCTGATTAGAAAGCTAATGTGGGTTTTGGAGGGAAGATTATATAGGCCAGGAAAATAGGCGGGTGAACAAAGTTAAAAGTAAACACATTCCAAAAGTGGGTAAAAAATAGAAATGAATGAATGGCGGCTGGTACAAAAAAAGGTTAATTTAAAAATAGATGCGCTTAAAGAAACAAAAGAAAGCTAATTTAAAAATTAGAAATAGAAAAAATTTCTTAAACAGAAAAGAATTTCCTAGACAGCAGGTGCGGTTAAAAATAATTTAGATTTAGAAAAAACAAAGATTGGAATTTAAAGAAAAATAAATTTTAGAAAAAATAAACTTAAAGAAATTAAATTCTAATTGTCGCCTTTCGCGACAATAAACCAGACCTGTGCATGGATACGGATATGGATACAAATGAGTTCAAAATGCCTGCGAATATCCGCCTGTATCCGCCGTAAATATCCGGATATGGATACGAAAATCCGTGTCCATGCACAGGTCTGTAATAAACACAGGCCCACATACAGAATTTCCCTTTAAATGTTTGACTATATTCCAATTTCTTCCTAAATTTTAATTCCAATCTCTAGGACCCCCTCTCTCCCTCAACTACTGGCCTGTTTACAAATTCTAACAAGAAAATAATTTTATAAAAAAAAACCCCAAAAGAGGTGAAGGCCTCGGCTTAAAAATATTTATTTAAATAACCCATTTAACTCGTACTTGGTTTTTCGTTAATTTTCTCTTCTTTTTTATCTTCTCTTACCCCCAATTCTCCACGTGCCTCCCTCCAATGCAAAGCCCCAGACCGACGTCCCTGATTTTGTGCTTCGCTTCCATCACGTAATTGCGCATCAGGAGAAAGAAATTCAAGAAGTTCAGTCAATAGTTGATTTCGAAGCTGAACACGGCGTTCATCTGTGACGAGACTAGCTAGACGGGCATTCATTTTCTAAAAATCATTCAATTTATTAAAAATAAAATCTCGGTCCCTTACTCTTATAAAATTTCTCAGAACAGGTTCTCTAACTTTTGTACGACGTTGAATGGTTTCTTTATAATCATAATGATATCTCCACGTGACATCTTAAAAACAGAGCATAATAAAAGAATAAAAATTGATAACCTTGCATATGGTCAATGGCAAAGGCAAATACGTAAGCGTGCTTTTTACCCCATCCCTATAAAATTAATAATTAAGGAATTACAAACTTAAAGTTTCGAATCTATCCAAGGAAATTAATTTAGCTATGTTAATTGTAAATACATTTTATATGTATTTTATGAAGATTTTTGGAAAAAAAACTAAAGAATTTAAAATTTCCGTTAAAAGGAGAATCAAAAAATTCATAAAAATACCTTGTCATAAATTAAAGGTGTATCAATCACATTCTCGCAAGGATCACAATGTAGCCAACGCTTAAGTTGATCGGACCAAACCTCAACCCAAACATGGTCTAGATTATCGATTACAGAGCTTTAAATTTAAAAGAAAAATAAATTTCTACAAATAAATATACCGAGTTTGAAGTCCAAGTGCTCGGCAGCACAGTGCAAAACAATTTGCATATTCCCCACAACGTCCTCTTCTAAAATTAAAAAAAATTTTAAAGGATAAAATTCTAAAAACCTAGTTTCCAATAATTTTGCAGGATTATTATAACGTGGAAAACGTAATTCCTCTTTACAGTTTTCACAATTATAGAGCTCAACTGTAGTAACCTCATCTTGAGCCTCATCTTCAGTTGGAAAACCAACCCCAGCTAAATATAATATTTAACTCATTTTAATAAAAACAACCTCTTTTTCCTTCAATTCCACACTTTTCACATTTTGGAGAATTAACCCATTTAAAAAACGAATGGAACCAATTGAGAAGTTCTTTTGCCAAAAGGTAATGATTTACTTCGTTTTCAAAAGTAGCCTTTTGCCGCAATTCGTCTACTGGGATAATTGAAAGAGCTAGTGTTTGATTGAGCTCATCCTCATAAATCGCCATCTATTCAATTCAGAAAAATTAAAAAATATTTATTAGAAACAAAACTCTTTCGCTTGAATAAACAAATTGCCCCAACCATTCTCTCTCTGCGGCATTTGCTACATGTTCACCAGTTTTAGTTATTTTGGAAAGCCCATCATTAATTAATTTTAGAAGACCATTTGGATCGGCTCCCTGGATCCGTCCAATCTCTACTCGATTTAATAGGCAGAGAAAAGTAGGCATTGCACGAATAGAATATTGTTGAGCGACGCCTAAATAGATAGTCTAAAGGTTAGAAAAAAAGTGGTGATAATAAAAAAAGTAAGATTAAAAAATTAATTTGGTAAAATTCAAGCTTGCCCCCTTCTTTTCCCTTCCTCAATTTGTACAAAATGAGCAAACTTTCTTTTTTTCTCAATTTCACTCTATTTTGTGTAGGGCCATAAATTTTTTAAAATTATTTCTGAACCTTGACATCTGTCGACATTAATTTTAAGAAACATAGCTTGAGCAAAATCATTAGAAAAACGCTCAAAAATTGGAGCTATTGTTCGGCAAGGCCCACACCTAAAATAAAAATTAGAATAAAATTTCTAAATTCTTTTACCATTCAGCAAAAAAGTCACAAACAATTAATTTATTTTCTCCAGCTTCTGTCATTGATTGTTCGAATTCATTATCACTGTTGATGTGTTTGACTACCATAATTATTCTGAAAATTGAAAATCTACAAAAAAGTAAGAAAAATTCGGTGAAAAAATAAAAAAACAAAAGCTGCAACGTTACAAGGGAGGGAAAATTTAAAACTCAAATTTCACCGATCACTAGACTCTAATGGGTAATTAAATGCATTATGCCAAAAAAATTTTCTAAGCAAATTTTTAAATTATTTTTTAATAATCGGATGAAAATTAGTAATTTCACTTCCTTCAAATATTGTTTTTAATGCCGAATAAATGGACGGAGGATAGTGGTAAGCATTTTATCGCTGGCGGGCTTGCTGGTAAGTATTTTTATTAAAAATTTATTAAGTAAAATTTTTAAAAAAAATTTAAAGGAATAATTGAAGTTTGTATTGCCCATCCTTTTGATTGTATGAAAACTCGAGTTCAAATTGGTCAGTATAATAGAATTATAGAATGTCTTAAATCCACAATTAAGAATGAAGGATTTTCAGGTTTTTCTTTTAAAAATGAATTGTTTATTTAATTTAAATTTTTAGGGTTTTATAAAGGTCTTTGGCCCCCTTTAATTATAGAAACACCTAAAAGGGCAATTAAATTTACAAGTTTCGACTTTTTCCGACGTGCATTTTGTGCAGCAGATCAATATTTACCTGAATGGACTGTTGGGTTTTAATTTTTTATTTAAAATAATTTTTCTCTTTTTTTATCTACGAGTCTTATCTACTAGTCAGTTTTGAATAGGAAAGAACTTACTGAAAAATCTTTCTGTTTCATCATTAATAAGCACGAAACATAAATTATAGATAAAACCACGAAAATGATTAAACTCCTTTTTTTATAATTTTCTATAGGCTTTATATTCTATAATTTTTTTTCCTTTCCATAATTTCACAAACTCATTTTTAAGGATTTCTTTAAATAATTTTTCTTTTTATTTTAGAGATTCTCGCTAGCTGGTCTTTTTACAGGATTAACAGAAGCTTTGCTAGTTTGTCCATTTGAAGTTGTCAAAGTTAGATTACAATCAGAATTAAATATTCCTCGTTCTATGGTTTCTATTCTTTCTTTATTAAAAAAATTTTTTTTCAAAGCAAAAAAGTTGGAATTCTATAGCTCTTCAAATAATTCGTGAACGTGGTTTTGGAACTAATGGGCTTTACTTAGGAATAGGTCCAAATCTTTGGCGGCATGGAGTTTGGAATAGTTGTTATTTTGGAATTTATCATAATTTGAGGTTTTCTTTAAAATTAAAATTAAAAATTTTTTTTTAATTTAAGGTCTTTTCTTTCCAACCCTTTTTCTACCGAAAATGATCAAAAAATTGGCTTATTCTTTCGTTTTTCAATTGCTTCTTTTTCTGCAATTATTGCGAATTTGGCAAATATTCCTTTTGACGTTGCTAAAAGTAGAATACAAGGTTATTGAATTTTTTGATATCAACACTAGAAAGGAAAAAAATAAATTTGAAAAATCTTTTTATTAACAATGAGAGGCAAATTTTTCTTAAAATAATTTTTGGAATATTTTTCTAGACTTTTCTTTAATTTTTTTCTGGCAAATTATTATCATTTTGCCTTTTTGTTTATTTTAGTTCCTATAAATAAAAAATAAATATTTTTCTTTTATAAAAAATATTTAAAGGACCTCAACCTTCAAAAGACCGTTATTATTTTACTACATGGCAAACAATTAGCCTTGTACAACAACATCAGGGGTTCTTGTCAATTTATAGGTTTTTTTCAAATATTTTTTATTTAAAATTTTATTTTTAGAAGTTTATCTCCGCTAGCCTTTATTTTTGGTTTAGGAGGTGGTTTGATGTTAGTAACCTATGAAAGTATATATTCTTGGCTTTGTTTTAACCAAAAAGAGAAAAATGAAAAGCAAATTGTCTCCAACTGTTTATCAACACCGCCGGCTGCAGATATTCTTTAAATTTATAAAAATATAGTTTTTTAAGTTTAAAAAACAAATTACAGATTATTTCTAAATTTTTTGGTTAACCGAACTGAAAATCCCGATAACTTGAAATTTTTTATTCAAAATTTCAATTTAAAAATTGTCTATACCTATGAAATTTTGGTAATGGTGCACAATTGTAGGTATTAGACAATGCTGATCATAAATCTGATATCAGGTTTTGCCTATATAAAATGATTTTCACAAGGAAAAATTTTTTAAAGTTGTCTCAATTGTACACAATTACCGAAATTCTTTACTTATACTCTTGCCTGTATTTTTGTCCTTTGTAAAAATAAATTCAGATTAAGCTTTTGTGCCAGTGTTTGAGAGTATTTTTAAAACTCCACACAAAATTTTGTATTAATCTATGTATATTTTAAATATAGTAATTGTCCAAACACTGGCAACAACTTTCCGTACATACTTTATTTTCTGTCTGTATTATATCAATGTTGTATTCATTTTTAAACTTCTAGAGTCAAATTTTTAGATAGATTTCTTTGAACTTGTTTAGCTTTTATTGTATAAATTTGAATTAAAAAATAATGTTCATTTCTGTCAGTATTCCAACAACTGGAAGATTGTTCAAATATCGGGGGATTTTTAAATAACAGCTGGGATGTCGTTGCAGTCAGAAACTTAACTGGCCGCGCGCCCACGCTCGACTAGAACAAGCTTAATCGGTTTCTTTGATAAAATATAAATATACTTATTATCAGTTCATTTGTATAGTATATTTTACCCGAGATTGTAGTTCTTACTGTATTGGATTTGGTTGAACGGGTATTGTTCCAGTTAATCGTAAGTCGAATTTGATTGACTTATCTTTTTTTAGTATTGATTCAATTTTGATAATATTTCTATCATTCGAAAGCCTTTAATAAACAGAATTTTTCTTCAAAAAAGTCAAACATTCCACAAAAAATTAAAATCAAAACAACAAAATGACAAAAACCCTGTTTTGGCGCGTAATGGGAATTCAAACGTGGCTTGTATTTTGATGGCTTGCCGAGAAAATTTATACCTATTTTCCCTTTCATTGCTTGATAGTTTATGTTTAATTTTTACTTAATTTTTGTTTATATTTTAAGGCAACAATTTTTTTAAAAATTAATAAAAAATGCCAGATGCAAAAGATGACTCTTTTTGTTATGTCAGAAAGTAAGTATTTATACTATTTAAAAACTGATTAAAAATTTAAGAATGGCAAAAACAATCGAGAACGATGAAAAACGTTTTGTGTTTCTGCGAAGGTTTTTTTAAGTTTTTAAATAAAAACTTCCAATTTTTCAGTCAAGTAAATTCAGTAGAAGATTGCATGAAGGATGGGCCAAAGAAGTGTCAAACAATTAAATCTTTGGTTATTTTGGCTTTGGAAGAATTTATTCCGATAGAAAATTATAAAAGTGATCCTAGAATGCTTGATTTTTGGTACCTGATGGTAAGTAGAATTTTTTAAAAAATATTTTGAGAATAAATTTTGCGGGCAAAAATAACTTTCGGATTCATTGAATATATATAGTAGTACAGACAAAATCGATTTTTATTGAAGATGTCATTCCTTGTAATTTGGCTATATAGAATTACTTCAACTAGAAGTATAGTACCACAAAATCCGCAAAATTTGTCCGCAAAAATTAAGAGAGGGATTTTTATGTGTTGAAGTAAAATATACTTTTTTTATCTGTCCATTTATTCACTAATATATTAAAAATTAATTTTAGGGCAAATACAGCGTTAATATTGGTATGGAGGGTGTTTTAGAAAATGTTCATCGTCTTGGGTATTTTAAAAATGTTCCAGAGTTTTATCTGATGTGGGCAGATTATTTGGGATCACAGCAAAATCGAGAAAATTTTGACAAAATTGTTCAAATTTGTGAAGAAAATTGCAAACTTGGTCCTTTTGAGAAACGCTTTAAGTATTTTTCTTAATTAAAAAATAAATCTTTTTAAAATTTTTCTTTCAAAGGGCTTTACTCCAAAAACATTTTAAAGAAGATTATTATAATGAAGGTAAAACATTGGATGTCATAAAAATGTTGGCAGATAAATCAGAGGTTGTGAGGTCTGATTTAACTTTGTTTCAACGAAATAAAGTTGTTGATACTCCACAAAATATTATTTCTGGCACAACAATAATTAAAGCAAAAAATCAATCAAAATTAGCAAAAAATACTGACAAATTTGAGGAAGAAAAACAAAACTTAAAGGAAATTAATTTATCACCAAAAACTGCTTCAACTTCAGCACCAATTCATGAAAAATTTTCTGTTTATAAGGATGTTACTTATACAAATTCTATAACTGTTCAAAATACTGTTAAAAATAAAAGGATTTCGGTTAGTTAATTTTGGAATTTTTTGGGCACTTAGTGAGAAACGTTAGGAGAACAACATTGAATCCCTTAGCTATTGGGGGGAGGGGGAATGTCTTTTAAAATTTTTATTTTTAGTATTATCCTGAACTTGATGACATAACACTTGCTGGTGCTCATGGAAAGTTCTCAACGGATATGTTTACTTCGACTCCTCGTCGTTCAGTAATGCCTAGCGATTTTGCTCCTTTGGATTTAACTGAAGGAACTCAATTTTTTGATCCGACTGAAAAAGAAGAAAAGGGTGAAGGAGGTGGTCTTTTTGGGTGCCAATTGACTGATAAAATGAAGGGAAATGAGAAAGGTGTCGGTCTAAACATCAAGAAACGTTTAAGTTTTGTGAGTTTTTAAATATAAATTATCGAAAATAATCCAAATGATTTTCTAGGCTGATGAAAATCAACGAGGAATCTCTAAAAATGCAAATCCGATGGCGGAAGCTGTTGTAAATAAAAGAACTTCGGTTAGTAAAGCAAGGGCGTATCCAGGGGGCGGACTGCTGCAATATATTCTAGAATATAATCCACATTTCCGATCATCATTCTCCAAGTATTTTCTCCATTTCTGCGAAGGATTGGATTTCAGCTTCCCCTGTATACGCCAGGGATGTCACGGGTTGAGAAAAATGTCGGGTCGTGTTTCGGATCTCCAAAATTTTTCTCGGATCGGGTTTCGGGTCGAGAAAAAAGTCCGGGTTTCGGGTAACGGGTCATCGGGTCGGGTTAGTTAAAATTTGAACACGAAGCCAATTTTTTGGAGCTGTTGGAGATATCAGATATTTAGCGGGTTAATACATATGTGTGTGTGATCAGATATTTAGAGGATTAATCCTCCAATATCCGTTTAACTTCAAGATATATCCCAAATCCAACTTTATCCCTCAAATTCTCCGATATTTTGGGATTAACTGCTTCAACTTCAGCACCGATCCATGAAGAATTTTCTGTTTATAAGGATGCGACTTTTACTAAATCTCCTACAACCGCTCAAAATACTGCTAAAAACAGGATTTCGGTTAATAAATTTTTGAATTTTTTACAACTTGATCAGTTGGAACGTCTTATAATACCAGAAGCTTGAAATTCCAAGCCCTCCAAAACGCTTGAAACACCAAACCGTGGATTGACCATTGGGCGATGACTTTTAAATATTTAATTTTTAATATTTATAGTATTATCCTGAACTTGATGACATAACGCTTGCTGGTTCGCATGGAAAGTTTTCTACGGATATGTTTACTTCAACTCCTCGTCGTTCAGTAATGCCTAGCAATTTTGATATTTTATTGGAGGATTTAACTCAAGAAAATCAAATCTTTGATCCAACTGAAAAAGAAGAAAAGCGTGAAGGAGGTGGACTTTTTGGCTTTTTGACTGATAAAGCTGTAATAAAGGGAAATGAAAAAGAGTTTGGAGGTTTGAAAATGAAGAAACGTTTAAGTTTTGTGAGTTTTTAAGGAATATTCCTAAGAAAATGTATTAATTTTTTAGGCTGATGAAAATCAACGAGGAATTTCTAAAAATAAGAATCCGATGGCGGAAGCTGTTGAAAATAAAAGGACTTCGGTTAGTAAAGCAAGAGGTAAAATATTTATTTTTAGTATTATCCTGAACTTGATGACATAACACTTGCTGGTGCTCATGGAAAGTTCTCAACGGATATGTTTACTTCGACTCCTCGTCGTTCAGTAATGCCTAGCGATTTTGCTCCTTTAGATTTAACTGAAGGAACTCAATTTTTTGATCCGACTGAAAAAGAAGAAAAGGGTGAAGGAGGTGGACTTTTTGGGTGCCAATTGACTGATAAAATGAAGGGAAATGTGGAAGGTGTCGGTCTAAACATCAAGAAACGTTTAAGTTTTGTGAGTTTTTAAATAAATATAAATTATCGAAAATAATCCAAATGATTTTCTAGGCTGATGAAAATCAACGAGGTGTTTCTAAAAATACGAATCCGATGGCGGAAGCTGTTGTAAATAAAAGAACTTCGGTTAGTAAAGCAAGGGCCAGGGGTCGGACTGCTACAATATATTCTAGAATATAATCCACATTTTCGATCATCATTCTCCAAGTATTTTCCCCATTTCTGGGAAGGAATTTCGGCTAAACTACAGTTTCCGGATCAGGCTCAGAATTGGACGATTCATATGTCATTCGAAAGAGCTTGGCGAGTCGAACGGCACCAAAATTATTCAGCGGAAAAAATTCTGAGCAGAGTTACAGACCCCTAAACCATAGGGGGGACCAAGCTGTTTTCTGGGGTGAAAAATTCGAATATGCAAATTATACCTCATTTGAAAGAGCTCATCGAGCTGAGTCGAATGACACAAAAATCAACGAAATCAGACGTGATTTGACAAAGTTATGATCGTTTGTTTGTACCCCTCACATAGGGTCTACGCGGAAAAATTTTTTGCCGCTGCGGAGGAAGCCGGGCATGTCGAGCGGAACGACGACCGCCGCTTCGCTACGGTCGCCGCGAGCGAAGCGAGCACGACCGCAGCGAAGCACGGCCATCGTGTAGCGAAGACCATGTCCGGCCTACCCTCCGTAGCAGCACAAAAACAGTTTTTCCGGCGAAGATTCTGTTGGACATAATTTTGTTCATAATCATCCAATCGAGCTGATTTTGATGTCATTCGACTCAGCTCGAGAAGCTCTTTCGAATGACATATAAATCGTCCAATTCTGAGCCTGATTCGGAAACTGTAATTAGGCCAGAATTTCAGCTTCCCCTGTGGGGTAAATGAGTTGAGGTAAAATTGAATGTTTAAAAATGGTAATTTGTTAAAAAGTGAGACTAAAAGACGAAATTAAAATAGAAAACGGGTCGGAGAGGATTGATTTTAAATATTTTTAGTATTATCCTGAACTTGATGACATAACACTTGCTGGTGCTCATGGAAAGTTCTCAACGGATATGTTTACTTCGACTCCTCGTCGTTCAGTAATGCCTAGCGATTTTGCTCCTTTAGATTTAACTGAAGGAACTCAATTTTTTGATCCGACTGAAAAAGAAGATAATGGTGAAGGAGGTGGACTTTTTGGGTGCCAAATGACTGATAAAATGAAGGGAAATGAGAAAGGTGTCGGTCTAAACATCAAGAAACGTTTAAGTTTTGTGAGTTTTAAAATAAATATAAATTATTGAAGATAATCTGAATGATTTTTTAGGCTGATGAAAATCAACGAGGAATCTCTAAAAATGCAAATCCTATGGCGGAAGCTGTTGAGCGGTTAAAGAAAATGGGGAAAAGGCGAGATTGAATTTTTTTAAAAATGGAAATTTGTTGAAGAGATTAAATTATTTAATAAAATATATGTAGTTTATTTATGAGCAATTAAAAATTTGAGCAGATCGTACATATTATAAATATATAATTTTTTGACATTTGTTTTTATCATTTGTTGTTTCCAATAAGTGAACATAAATGGTCTATCCCTTTACGTCTGAATAGTTGAATATTCAGAAATTGATTTCCTGTTAATTCTATTTTAAATAAATTCAAGTTATTTATCTTCAGCAGTTGATAAACTATCATCTAGAAAATTTTAAAAATTAATTAACCAAGTTATCTTTCAAGAATTCAAGAGAAAGGGAGTTATATAGGGATTTATTAGAATTGAGTGTACCACAAATATTTCCCTCAACCCACTTGATCCCTCGATATCACACCCAAATCACTCAACATTCCTCTTAAATTGTAACAGATTTTTTCAGAGCACCAGGCAAAAATTTCGAGAATTTTGGAAGGCTAAGGAGCCAGATTTCTTCCTTTTTAGGAACCGAACCTAAAACTCGGTTACCCGGTCTTTTCTAGGTTCCGGATAACCGGAACCGCCAACCTTAACTCACATTCACTTAAGTGTAATTATACAACAAAAATTAGAAAACTCAACTATTTCCACTAATTTTAGGCCAATTTTCAATAAGCAATTTTAATGCAATACTTGCTTGTTGTACACTTAAAGGGTCAACAGAAATTGAACTTAAATATTTTGAAGTATTTTGTTTATCAGAATCTGTTGTTGTTGTTGCTGATGATACTATACCTTGAATTTGGTGAGAAGGGTTTGATGTACAAAATATCTAAAAAATTTAAAGTATTTTTTAAATTCTTTTATTAACACTCGTAGGTATAATAATAAAAACTAAATAGAAAATTTGCGAACAGACTTAAAGAAATTTATTTTAGAGAGTAGTGTGCGTAATAATATCGCTTAGGCAGCACCCAATATAAAATTTTAACTTACTAAAGGTCCAAAAACACTGCATAATCTTTGCATTGTCATTCCATTATGAGGTTCCGATAAAAGTAAATGCTTCAAATGTTCCATAAGAAATACCACAGTTGTCTTTAAAAATGTTAAAAAAATTTAAATTCCCAAAAATTAAGCTCTCCCTCCCTCCCCCTTCCCTTCCCTTCCCTTCCCTTCCCTTCCCTTCCCTTCCCTTCCCTTCCCTTCCCTTCCCTTCCACTCCTCCTCCCCACCCCCCCCCTCCACAAATTACCTTATTTGGTGTAGGTAAACAATCAACAATTCTCATAATTAATTTTTGATTTCCATCAGAATCATTTGGGGGCATAACACCAGCAGCATCTAACAACATTGCATAAATATTACAAGGTATTAAAGGTTCAGAAAGTTCACGTAAAAAATCCTTTCAAATTAAAAAAAAAATATACATATATATTTACTAGTTAAATTCCTCTCTATGAGTGGATTAACCTCTAAATAATTTATAGTTATTAAGGAATGCTTTATAACCTCTATATAATGTAAACTCGGTTTTATTGACAAAAGGGCCGTTCCCCATAAAAGACAAGGAAATTTATAAATTTAACTTTCAAATTTCTCCATATTCCTCAAAATGATCTCTAGAAATACTCTCCCCTTTTTAAGACAAATTTAAGAAATTTTCTTTATCTAATATATCCTATAAATTACTGGTGGACATAAAACTTACTTTAACAAGACAAGTAAGTAAATTAATATCAGGTACAGGTTGTTCACCAATATCTACTTCATTTGCATTTTCTTCAAGTTGAGCACGTAAATGGTCTTTCCTTTCACTTGCACCACACACTTGAATTTAAATATACCGTTAATAGAACAACATAAATAGTTTTAGTTTGTGGTATAGGGATTAGTGTTATTCAAAAGCGTTTTTTCGGTATCTGTATTTCGGTAAAAATACCGCGGTATTACCGAAAAATACCGTGGTAATACGGTACCGTGAATAACACTGATAGGGATTGCTATTAGGGCATTTACATTATATTTTTCTTAATTTTAATTTCTAAAATTTAAAATAACTTTTCTCTTACAATAATAAATTCCAGAATTATCCAACCCTCTCCTTTCAATTTCAGTAATTAATCTTTGCAAAACAATAGGTACTTCGCTTTGTTCTCGTTGAAGTAATAAATTGAGGGATTGACCGAATTGATTATTATTTGGCCTTTTATTTATTCGTGAAAAACAAATCTTCATTTCCTCAAAAGCTATCTGAAAAATTGAAAAATAATGAAAGAAAAATTCTTTAAAAGTTAGTAGGTGTTCATTAATCAATTACTCTTCTCTTTTTAAAAAATTAACCTTTAAAAGTAATTGCCCTCTTGGTTCTAAATTTAAAGAAAAAATTCTATTTCCACAAAATCCATCAACTAACAAAACATCCATTAGACGAATATCCCCTTTATGGCAAAAACGATGCCTTAATTGTGGATGCCAAGCATAAACAAAAAAAGAAGCATCGTTTGCACAAACAACGTCGATATCAAAACGTTCTGACCAACTTTAACAAAAAATTAATTTATTTAAAATTTTAATAGAAGCGTATTTATTCCCCTTTACATTAAAGGCTTTCATCCCAATTTATAAATCAATTTGTTTCATTAATCCCTCCCTCCTTATCCCTAGGTGAAATTAAGGTAAAAAATAACTGAAGGATCAAATCAAAAATGTTCAAAAGGCTAACCAACATTTAAAATTAATTTTTAAAATTAACCGAAAATATTGTTCAGGTGTAGATATTCCAGTACGGGCTCTGTGTATTTCATCTATTTCAAGCACACAATATAATTTTTTTGAATGAATTCTGTCTGGAACTTTTAAATTTCTTCCCTCAACAATCTAAAGTTTAAAAATTTTATTTTTTTGGCGCCGAAGGCGTCTATAATTCAAAAAAATTTTCATGGAAATGAGAGAATATTTTTATAATTTTGAGAGAAATAATTATAAGATTAATTCAAAAATTCACCGTAACACTTAACATTCCAGTTAAAGAATTCCCCAAACTTCCATTACTCGCTAATTGATCTACATCAAAACCTGGGCCTGCCATACGTAAAGGAACTCTTCTATTCATTAAAGGAGAAACATGTAAACGATCGAGAATATCCTTTATAAAAATATTTTTTAAATTTAAATTTAATTTACAGCTCTCTCTGCAGGACTCATTCCTTCAGCTGTGGTCATTATTTGTTGTTGAGGTATTATTTTTGTTTTTCCAAATGGTGAATTTAAATGCTTTAAATTTTAAATAAAAATTTATAAAAATATTTGTATAGTTATGAAATTATTTGAGAATAACTAAATATTAAAAGATCATCATTATTCTTCCCTTTCTAAAAATCGAAAAAAATACATATTATTATTCCCCAAGAATGTTTATTTGGTAGCTAAATGAGAGCTCTAGTTACTCCACAATTTCTAACCAACCAACTACTAAAATTAAATTAAAAAGACTGATACTTTTGGGGAACCCCCCCCCCCCCCCCCATCAATCACTTAAATATTTTTAAATTAATTAAAAATATTTACATTAGCCAATAAAGCTTTAGAAGGTAAAGAATTTGAACGAATTGCATTACCCCCACCCCCACCACCATCAATTTTATTACAAGTTCCAAAAGTACTCCAACGTGAACGATGTTGTTGTTGATTATTAATTATATCCTCATCTTCACTTGCCCAATTTTTGTATTCTTGAGAGGAAAAAATATCTGCAACAGTTCTGCCATCAGTTACTAAACCCTTTCCTGTTTCTACTGAACCGTTGGACAGTAATGGATGACGAACTGTTTAAAAATATTTTTATTACTTTTTTTTTCGATGCTAGGGAATAAAACATTTGCCAATAGTAAATGACTACGAGGAGGTTCGGATCCTGCCCGGTGACTAAACTTTTGTTGCTAAACTCTTTCTCTAGAATAAAATTAAGAACACCTTTTCTATTATTTCCAAAATCAACATCAGAAAAAGCCCCTCTAAAATTGCTTTTTTGTTGTTGGGGTGAAGAAGGTAAATATTTATTACACCCAATTGTTGTTGAGGGTATTGATGTTGATTGTGGTGAATTATTTGAATAAAATGGAAAGGCAGCATTGAAAGTATAGTCATTACGCCCTTAAAAATCTTTCTAACATTTCAAAAATATTTTTAAAAATTCCAAACATTTTACTGTAGCTCTAGGAAATGGTTGTTGTGGAGGAGGTGCTGCTGTCCACCCTCCACCGCCAAATACTGATTGAATACTTCTTAAATAAAATAAAAATAATTTTTTATATTTCCATTTTTGTAATAGACTAATGGGAATAAATGTTCGGAAAAATCCAAAAAACTTAAATTACAAGAAGGAAGGTTATTAAAATTAATTAATCCTACTACTCGCCTTCTAGGAAGTGAATTGCTTTTATAAGAAGTAGGTAATGTTGCTGGTTGTCTAATACAATAAAGTTGAGAAGGAATTCTAAAAATAAATTTTAAAAAATATTTTTATAATTTAATGAAAAAAATTATTATTTTATGTAATTTAAAAATAAGATAGCCAGGAAGAAAATTTTTAAATAAATTAATGAAAATAACGGGAACCAGAAATTCTCTCCCTATCAGGGATTTCACGCATTGCGGATTACGTATTTTTTTGAATATGTACAGTCAGTCCTGTTTCATATGCATAATAAGGAGAGTGAGAGAATCTAATGATTATGCCGTCACTGTGGTCTACAGACACTTCGGTTAGAGCCCCCCACAGGGATTTTAAATTAAGATAACAATCTCAAAAATAAAATAAATAAATTTATTTACGTATTCTGAAAGGAAGAATGTTGTTTATATAAAGGCAAATTAGAGGAAATAGGTGCTGGAGGTATTATTGGAGGCATTTGTTGTTGACTTAAACTATTTGGTATCATTCCTCCTCCTCCTCCCCCAACATTTTCTCCTCCAAAAACAACAACTCTTTGCCTTCTTTGAATTGGTGCAGAAGACGATGGATGTCTTTGTTGTTGTTGCTGTTGTTTTTCTTGCCAACGAGAATCTAATGTTGCTGAAGAATATGCAGGAAGATGAGAAATATATGGAGGTATTGAGGATATATTTGAAGAAGAAAGTAGTGGAGAATTTTGTTTTGAAGACTAAAAAATGTATGAAGTTGGTTTTTACCATAAGTATTATTATAGTTTCAAAATTTCAAGAATGCAAATATTTTTAGCACTCGTAGCGAAATTTTAAGTATTCTTCCTTAAAAACGGAAAAATAGTCGGCGTCTACCTGGCGGCGCCGAAATGTTCAAATAAAGCCTAAACCTTTGAAAGCCTAAACCTTTTGGATTAAAAGGATAATTAGGCGTTAACAAATTGGCGCCGTGGATATTATTTCAACCAAAACTTTTAAAGTTGACAAATTATATTAACAAATCTTATATCATTCGAGAGCTAACAAATTAGAGTTTAGATTTTTTAATGGATAAAGAGTAGCAATTAAGAATTTTTAAAACAAAATATTAACGCCTAATTGTCTGCGCCGAATTGTCCAAAACATTCTCCCCATAAAACCTAAGCCTTTTTAATTCAAGTTTTAAGTAAAAAGTTGAAGCCAAAAGGTTTAGGTTTTATGGGGGGAACTGAAATTGACAATTCGGCGCAGATTATTTGGCGTTAGGCAATTTGGAAGGTGGGTTGAAATTAAAGAACGGAAGGACTTCCATTGGAGATTTTTTTGTTGGAAAGAAAATATTTTTTAAATTATTCGAAAAGAATGTTTGCCTGTAATTGTTGTTGTTGCATAATTCTTGGGGGTGGAATTCTTGCTGTTTGTGTAATTCCGTCAGTAATTGAATGTGGAGGAGGGTGTTGTTGTTGAATTATATTAGTGGTAGATGTTGAAGGTTGTTGTTGATAATTGGTTGTTTGTGGATATTGACGATGTCTAATTAATGTTTGTTGTTGTTGTTGGGAAGTTGTTATTTCGTTTTTTTGATTTGCCTAAAAATTAATTTTTAATTTATTTTTTTATTCTTTACATACATCTTCATCTTCTTCTTGTTGTTTTTTCTGTTTTTGTTGTTGTCTTACTCGTTTACCAAGCCAGCTGGCAGCTGTGCTAGCTGGTTTTGAAAGGATTCCTGCACCTGATGACTTGATAAAAAAAATAAATTTTTTTCAGAATCAGAATTTCTGTTTTCTGAAATTAATCAGAAAATTCTCCCCCCTCCCTTTCTTTTCTACCTCAGAATCCCGTCTGTCAGATTCTGTAGATTTCTGAAAAACAACAACGGGGCGTTGTTCTGTTGCTGCACGTTCAGCTAATAAACGTTGTTGTTGTCTACTTGCTAATTGTTCTCTTTGACTATTTAAAAAGCTAGTCCTAAGAAGTAATCGACGAGGAATACTCAACATTAGAACAACTATTTTTAAATAAATTAATCAGAAATAAGATGTATTTAGGGACATACCATCATCAATTCCCATTTCTTTAACGGGCACATTATTAACTGCAAGTATTTGATCACCAGGCCTACAAATATCCCCACACTTTTCTAATTCAGAATTTTCACCAAAACGAGAAACAAAAACACCCGTAAATTGATCAATTCCTTTAGATTTTATTTTCTTTTTAAAAATCTCCTCCTTTAAATTAACCAACCATTTCCTTCTCTCAAATATAATCCAAGTGATTGGCCCGGTTTTTTAATAATTTCAACAAGTTGGACTACCCTTACATCATTTGAATAACCACCAGATTTATATTCTGTTCTAAAAAAGTCTGTTAATTATTTTTTAACAAAAGATTTTCTCTTTGCCTGTCAAGAATTCTCGCAGAAAATCCAATTACTCCTTTCGAGGTTAATGTACTTTGTTGTTGATCTACTTGACGAATTTGGCGATAAACTGAATCTGGTAATTCTCGAGAAGCATAAGGCCCAGAAGAGGTGCCAGGCACTTTTTTAAAAATAATTAATTTTTTTATTTAATTATTCAAAATTATCTGATATTATTTTTATAGGGTAATTTAATTAGAATTTAAGAGAATTATTTTTTAAAAAATATTTAAATTGTAATATTTTTGAATAAATTTAAAATAAAAAATTTCAAATTTAAAAAAAACTAATAATTTAATTAAAATAATTCTAAAATTCTGCAAATTTTGTTTTATTCTCTACTACCAATTTTTAAATCAAAATTTTATTTTTAATGGCAAAAATAAATTATTTAAATTAAAAAAAAACGAATATTTTATTCTTTAAATTCTTCCCAAAATTTTAATTAATTAAACATGTGAGGGAACTAAGTAAGAAGTTAATGATTTTTTTCTAATTTTTACAAAAAATTTAAAAATAAGCACCTACCTTGTACACACTGATTAGATTTTTGTTGTTCATCTTTTTTATTAATTTGTTGTTGTTGTTGAGCACTCCAAGGCATTTAAGTGATTTTAAAAAAGAAGAAAATATATAAATTAATTATTTTCTATTATTTGCTAATAAACTTTTTAAAAATAAATTTAAAAAAATAATATTTTTTGAAAAATATACTATGTATGTATAACGGTTGAATGGGTAAAAGAAAGACAAAATAATTTTAAAAAATAATTTAATAAAAATTGTGGGGGTGTTGTTTAAAAGTAAAGTTTTAAAATTCTCGAATTTACAAAAAAATAATAGACTAAGGGGGGAGAGAAAGTCTTTTTTCTAAATTTATATTTTTAAATAATTTTTGTTTTTAAATTTTGTAATTAAATATTAAAATAAAAAATTTAAATTTTTTTCCATATTATTTAAAAAAAATTTATTAATTTAATTGTGTAAACCAGTTAAGATTAACGGAGGGAGGAGGGAGATATAAACAAAAATTTAATTATAATTTATTTAATTAATTAATAAAAATGTTAAAAATAATAAAAATTCTTTTTTTTTAAATAAAAATAAAAATGTTTTATAGGAAAGCTCTCCAAACACTTGACAGCTTTTGGAGAAGATGGGCATTCTGCAAAATTTAAAAAGTCAAGAGTTTATAGAAAAAGCAATATATTTTGGGTTAGAAAATGGCAAGGAAAAAAGAGGTGCCAATAAAATAAACCAAAAATGAGAGGAAAGGAAGAGAGAGGAGTAAAAATACTTTTTTAGTTTTTAATACTTTATGAGAAAATATTTTTTTGAAAATAAAATTTAAATTTATTTAAATATTCTAAAAAGAATAATTTTAAAAATTAATTATTATGGATCAGGGATGAGCCGGGTTGAGAAAAAATGGATCGGGTTTCGGGTCAAAAAAAGACCGGGTTTTGGGTAAGTTATGGATGGGAGATGGAAACAATCATATGAATGAGACCAGACTGAAGCACAGACTGTGCCCTCATCCAACTCTATGATTATTGGGAAGTTTTATCTTCTGAAAGTGCGAACAAAAAATTAATTAAAATATTTATTTTCCTTAAAAATTTTTCAATGATTTTTGGAAATTAAAAGAATATTAAAGAGTAAATATTTGAAGAAATAAATGAGAAAAAGAAAAGATTGTTATGAATAAAATAACGGAAAAATAAGTTAACTTTTTGGAAGAATTTTGAAGAAAAAATTTTTTTAGTTAAAATAAATGTGAAGGTGGATGAGGCTTAACATTTTTATTTCCATTTTTGGAGAGTGATTGATTGGTTTGGACATTTATTTTTCAAGTAAAAGGGAGTATTTATTTGAAAAAAATGTAAAAGGATTTTTAAAAAATTTTGTTAGAAATTAACAAATTATATGTTAGATAATAAAAGAAAAAATATTGCCAAAAATTTTACTTTTTGATCGAGGTTAAAGACAATTTTTTAGTAGACTCGGTCAAAACTTTAAGACCGTCACTCGGTTTTAAAATTTTTAAAAATCGGTTTTCGGTTTCCAACCAAATAATTAATTTATTATTTAAAGAAATCTTTATTTCAATTTTCTGTTTTTTTATTTAAAAAGATTCAATTTTAACAAAAAATCTCAGAATTTTCAATTTCAAAACCAATCTCGCCAATCCGCCTAGTCTTTAACTCACTCCATCGAAATTTAATTAAATTCCAATTTTATATTTAATTTATCCCTCTAAACATTTTTTAAACAAATTTAAAGTGCTAAAAATTAAATTTTTTTTTTGTTTTTTAAAAGAAAAAAATTTTTCCAAATAAAAAATGTTCTACAACAAATCCTTAGGGAATATATACTTTTATAGAGTACATAAATATTTTTGATATTTTTTTCTTTAAATAATTCTTATGGGAATATTTGGAGGATATATTTTTGTGAATTTTTAAATATTTATTTTTAATAAAAACTTGAAAGAAAAATAAATTTATTTTTTTTTCTCACCCACAGATTTTAAATTTTATTTAATTGGATAAATATATTTAGCAATTGTGTAAATACTGTTAATTACTAAAATAAAACATTTTGATTAGATAATATCAAAATTTATCAAAACATTCAGAAAACAATACTAACACTAAATACAGTCATGAAAGAATAAAATATGTAGTAAAAAACAAAGGCTTAAAAAATATAATGAAAAAAAGAATGGCCATAATTAGAGTTACGGGGCTAAAAAGTAATTGTAGTTACACATACATATCTCGATCTATTAGTATATTTCCTTCTTTAAATTTGAAAATATTTTTATAAAAATTTTGTGAAATATTAAAAATTAATGGAGATTTAATAGAATTTTAATTTTAAAATTAAAAGAAAATTTTTTAATCAAGAAAAATAGAAACAAATTAAATAAAAATACTAATATATCCATTGTATATCGATAAAAAAGCGCGGGTCAATATAATAAAATATGTAAAAGGATATATTATTTTGCAAAAGTATTTTCACACTTTTCTCGGCTTTTAGTGTTTTTATGGATTAGCCTAAAGGGGGAATGGGAGAAGTTTATTTTTAAAAAGAGGTAAGGGAAAAATTGGAGAAATGTTTAAATTAATAAAATATATTTTTTAAATTTTTTTGTCATTAATCTTTTCAATCGTTAATTAGCACAAAAAGAAATTAAGAAAATCAAGTTAAATAAACCCCGTTATATGTATGTAATTAGGTACCTATTTTTCTCCGGATATAATAAGTATCCCTAACAAAATCAGAAATTTTGCCAAGAATGGAGAAGAGGGTGAGGCTTTGAAGGAAATTTCAGTCAACTCAAACGTTTGGAGAGAAAATAATATACCTAAATTTTTAAGAATTTTGTTAAATTTTTTGAAACCCAAAAAAAAAATTATTTAAATAATTTTGGAAGCTAAATAGAAAAAATTTTTTCAGTTTCATGGAAAATTGGCCAGGCTATTTTATATAAGAAAAAGAGAAAAGTGCGCTTCCATCTCACACCATTTTTCGCACACTCTTTCTTTTTGTTGTTGTCAACATTTATAATATAAAAAAAATTTTTTTTATAAATTTTTCTCTCTTAACTCATTTTTCTTTCTTTCATTGCGGCAAAAAGCGTATGTGGCCAAGACTAAGACATAAAAGCATTGATTGGCATTACTTGTTTTTAATGGCAAATATAAAAATGCCAAAGAGAGAGGGAAAGAAAGGATTTTTTAGTTTTGCTTTGTACAAAAAAGCTTTTCTAATTTTGGCACAAATTTACAGGCATTTTATGAATAAAAATATTAAAAGGAAGGGAGGAGGGGGAATTGTTTTGAAAGAATTAAAGGATAACGGTTATCTGCTACAATAAAATTATTTTTTTTGCAATTTTGAACGGACTCATAAACTTTCATTGGACTACCAAAAACTATACCAGGGCCCAAAATTTTTGCGCCGAGGCGGAAATTTTTAAAATTTTAAGGTTAAATTCAATTTTTTAACAAAAAAGTTATTTCGTAAATACGAAACTCAACTTCCCTAATTTTTCTGTGCATATAAGTATACTTCCTTAATTAATAAAAAAAATAAACAAAGTTATTTTTAATGTTCAAAAATGTCCAAAAATTGTTAAAGTTAAAACAAAACAAATAATTTAAAACAAAACAATGAATTCAAAACAAAATTCTATTCTTTAGCAGTAATATCTTTCAATTTAAATATATTACGAAGCCAAGGCATCCAACGATTAATATCTAGTAAAATAAAAAAAATTATAGAAATTAATTTTAAGAATGATTAAAATTAAATTTTTGTAATTTTGGAGAACTTGTTTTTCTTTAAAGAAGAGAGAGACTTTCCCAAAAATAACCCTTCCTCCCTTTTAATTATTAAAAATAAAATTTTTTCTTTTCTTATCTTTTCTCCCCGATAACATTTCTCGATTAGCCAAAACAATCATTAATCTAACATGACTTGCATCCAATTCATTTACAATATTTTTAATTCGTTCAGCGCCAGTTCTTTTCATCCATTTATGTACTCGATTATGTTGTCCAAATTTAAGTGCTCTAATTAAACGTTTTTGAATTTTATCGGTAGAATAATCTTTAAAAGAAATAATTAAATTAAAAATTATTTTAAAAATACCTTGTGGACAGATATGCTCTCCTTGTGAATAAACATGAAAATTATCTTCGTCCTTTACACGTTTGGCCATTATTTTGAACTGACAACGAATTAATTTATATCTAGCCATTTTGCATTTAAGCATAATTGATTTTCTATTGAAAATTTAAAAAAATTATTAAAAATGAAGACATTTTATCCTAAAAATTTAATTTCAAAATTATCACAATTTGTTAAATTAATTCGATTTCAAACCCCCCAATTTTTACATATTTCTGAATTAATCTCGAAGATTAATAATTAAAATTTTCTATTTTTAACTACCTATTCGAATCCAATTGATAACCAATAAAACTTTGACATTTATTTTGTATTCTAATTTTATCCAATTCAGCAACATCATTAACAGTACATAAATAATGCCAATCTTTTACGCTTGCTGCTGGATTCTAAAAAATATTTAATTTTAATTAAAAACGGTTACTCGACTTTTGAGGATCTTGTAACTTTCTCTAAAATACTAAAAAAAATTTACCCTCATTTTAAAATAAATAGTCATTAAAATGTTCCCGAACAAATTCCTAGTTTTAGGCAATAGTTTATTGTCATAATTTTCAAACTTTATATCATTTTATTGATAGTTATTATTTAGAACTTGATCTTACATATAAAATTAAATTCCATAAACTTATTCTCAAAAGTCGAATTCTCCAAATAGCGCCACACTTCAAAAACTTACTTTAAACAATTCTGGTGGTTTTGTATCATTTAATTTTAAAGCGTTCAAAGCTCTTGTATTACGTATATCTGTCAGAAGAAAATTGTATTAATAAAAAAATTTTTAGAAATCTTTTTGAAGAACATTTTACACGGAGAGGTTGCGAGGTGTCCGAGCTAAAAACGGTCGAGACCGGGCTCATTCGATAGAGAATATGCCCTTTCTAGCAAGGATTTTTTGCCGTTTTTGCCCGTTTTTTGATCTGGCCGTTTTTTGCCCGTTTTTTGATATGGCCCTCCAAAGTCCCAAAATTTGCCATAATTTTCCCCCTTCAAATATAAACATTAAATAATGGACTAATTTTGTTGGCGTTGTGGTGTAGTGGTGAGTGTGCTTGACTTACCCTTTTTCTCTAAAAAGTTCGATTCTTTTTGGGTTTTATTATTTTATCTAACTGTTTTAAACATTATTTATTCCTTTTCCAACAAAAAAAAATTTTTTTTGTTTGAAAAAAATTTTTAAAATTTTTTAAAAATTTTTAAAAATAAAAAAAAATTTTTTATAAACATTATTCTGACGAGTTATTGGGTGGAGAGGAGAAGATTCTCCGGGAGAATTCGATCATCCATTATCGTCTTCTTTTGGATGTAATACACCTAATTGTTTGGAATAGTTTTATTTTATGTGCCAGCTGTAGTAAATTCTAGTTTTATAACAAATCTAGTTTAAAAAAAATTATTTTTAATTTTTTAAAAATTTTTAAAAAATTTTAAAAAATTTTTTTCAAACAAAAAAAATTTTTTTTGTTGGAAAAGGAATAAATAATGTTTAAAACAGTTAGATAAAATAATAAAACCCAAAAAGAATCGAACTTTTTAGAGAAAAAGAGTAAGTCAAGCACACTCACCACTACACCACAACGCCAACAAAATTAAACCATTATTTAATGTTTATATTTGAAGGGGGAAAATTATGCCAAATTTTGGGACTTTGGAGGGCCATATCTTGGCCAGATCAAAAAACGGGCAAAAACGGCAAAAAATCCTTGCTAGAAAGGGCATATTCTCTATCGAATGAGCCCGGTCTCGACCGTTTTTAGCTCGGACACCTCGCAACCTCTCCGTGTTAGTAAATAAATTCTAACGGTCAATACTCTAAATAGAATCCAAAATTTTTACCGATTTCTCTAAATTCGTGATTGTGATTTCCATGCTCATAAACAAGAATTCCAAAAGATTTTCTAACAGCAAACAATCCAAATGGACATTTTTCCCGAGTAAATCTTAAAGTGCAATTAAGTGTAATTGTTTTGAAGTTTTTATATCTTCTTAAATTTTGTCTGCTGCAATGTAACTGAAAAATAAAAATAACTAAAAAACAAATGATTATTAGGAAAGATATTGCTTATTATTTTCTTTAAATTTTTTAAACCTCCTCCAAGAGCGTATCCCAGGAAAGAGGGGGGGGGGGGGGGGGGGGGTGGGGGACGCTTAAGTATCGAGGCCATATTTTGGGACATAACTTTTTTGATTCTTAACTGATTTAAATTGTTATTATATCAATCGAAAGCTCTAAAAGCAGACAGGATTGATTTGATGTGGCGCTAAAAATAATAAACTAAATTATAGACGCTTGAGGTTCGAAATGCCTAATACCTAAAATCCGATCCCTGGATATCCCTTTATAACAAAAAAATTAAAAAAAAACCTCAAATCTAAGTAATTCCAATTCTTCATCATCTTTTACAGTTTTTAAAAATTTGTATTCAATTTTATAAAAATTTGTTTGTCGAGTAAATTCTCTAGTAATAGTTTGTGGTATATTTTCACCATCATCCTCAGTTTCACAATTATTTAATTTAATTCTTTTAGACGTTACTTGTTGCGGATTTGGAATATTTTCATTTAATTCTTCTACTTTTGATCTTTTGGGTAACGATTGTTGTTGTTGTGAAGTTTCCAAAATTTCTTTTTTAATATTTTTCTTTGATTTTTGTAGCACTTTAGTAGCACTTCTAGTTTGCATTTTTTACAGAAAATTTTTTTATAATTCTAAAAAATACTAAAATTTTAAAATATTTTAGTTAAATAATTATAAAAAACATTCCTAAATTTATTATTCCGACTATCTTAAATAAGAGATGTCCCTTTACTATTTTGGAGAAAGCCGTTGATCTAAATTATACAAGAGTTAAAAGACCGTAATGGACACAAAGTTTTAAAAACAAAATATCTTTCTAAAAATAATTTAAAAAATATAGTTAACGTACTGTTACGTACCATCACAAGCAATAAAGAATTTAAATATTTAACGATTTATATTTACTTAAAATTAAAAAAAATTTTATACAAAAATGAAAACAAATAAATAAAAATTATTTCCACAAACAAACAGTTTTTCGTTTATCACCACTTATTAAAACATGACCAGCTGGATGCCAAGCCAAAGAAAGAACGGGAATATTTCTTTAAAAATTGTAATAATATTTTCATATCACCCCCCCCCCTCCTAGAATCTCAAAATTAATGTTTAGTTTCTTGCCAATCAAAAGGACTTTGTTAGCTTATCATTCTACTGCGAAAAAAATCTTTTTAATTTTTTCAAACCATCCGTTTTGATTGACAAAAAAAAATATTTCCTATGAGAATCAAATAAGTGTCAAATGTGTCAAAAAATATTTTTAATTTCTAAAAACTCACTCGTGGCCTCCTCTAAAAAGAATTTTCTCAAGACGAGTACTATGTAAGCTCCAAATAAAAATATGTCCGTCAGCAGAACCAGCGGCCACATAACTATCACCAGGGCTGATTACAGCAGCGCGGCTATAATCAGATGAAGTTCTGTATTGCTCGGCACTAAAAATAGATTAATTAGGAAAGGATATTTAAAAGATCTTAAATTTATGATACGAAAAAATTTATGGGGAAGAGGGGGGAGTAGACTACAAACCTATAAATATGTAAAGTATCATTTGTACGTAAATCCAAAAGTGTTAAAGTTTCGTCTCTCGATGAACATAATAAATACATAAAATCTAAAATGAGGGTAAAAATTATTTAAAAAATAGAAATAACCAGATGTAAGGCATAATGATGTCATTTTAGCATCAAATTTAACCAAATTAGTAGGTGAATCACCAGGAGCTCTAGTATCCCAAAACCGGATCTTTTTGTCAAAATGAGCACTTATCTAGATAATTTTTTATAGAATTATTTAAAAAATATAATTAACCAAAACAGCACCATAATGATCATTAGTTACCAAATCACAAATTGTTGATCCAGGAAAAAATGTTTTTTGACCTTAAAAGGTAAAAATGTATTAAAATAAAATGAGATAACTAATTATCCCAGAAATAAAATTTTCTGACAACAACAAGCCCGGAATATCCACCTAAAATGATAATGACACGATCTAATTGTAAGATATCTTAACAATAAATCTTTTTCTAAAGATAAGCCGACTCAATGAAAGGGCATTTGCCAAAGATTAATTTAAATAATTATTTTAATTAAATTTTACATCTATTAGTTATTGTATCCCAAATTTTTACTGTTCTGTCATTAGATCCTGAAGCTACTTGACGTCCATCACTCATAAATTTTGCAGAGGTTACTTTATCTGTATGGCCAGTAAATGCAACCTTTTAAAAAAAGAAAATAATTTTTACAAAATTAATAATTACCCTCATTCGTTGATCATCTATCGACCACAACCTCACAGCACAATCATTACTTGATCCAAGCAAATGACCACTTTCTAGATGAATATCAATACGTGTTAAACCCTGAACCGCTCCAGTAAATTCTAGCCTTAAAATTAAATTGATGAAAGAAGTAAAAAGTTTGGAATAAACATGGCTTTGAAAAAAAATAAAATGTGAAAGAAAAGTTATTTAAAAAAGAAAAACATTCATTTAATAATAAAGGTGACCATTCAATTTAACAAAAAATTATAAAAAATCCAACCTTTTTACACAATTATCATTCCTTGGTTCCCACATTTTGATCTTCTTATCAATTCCTGCAGTGAAAAAGAACCGTCCATTTGGATGAAATTTTACATCATTTACATCTCCAATTTCGTTGCATTCCTATCATAAAATAAAAAGAAATGCCGTTTTTTAAAGAAGCTTTACAAATTTAATTCCACATCTTTCAGGTATAATATCTCCAAAACTTTGAAATCTCTCTTGAGCAAAAGCAGAATCAGACACATCAGCAACGCCTTTTTCGTCAGCAGCAAGTACTTCAAAACTATCGTGGATGTTCAAAACAGAACAAAAACTTTACTCAAATTATTTTTAACAAAAAATATAGAGGTGACCGGAAAGCAACAAAACCAAAATTGATAAAAAGGGAATAAATGAGAAAGTGATAAGAACTCCTTGCTTTTGCAAAAAAATTCTTGGATATATTAAAATTAATTAAAATTAAAAAAAACATACGCCTTTGCATCTAAAACAGGATTTGGTTTTGAGGCCTCAGCAAGATCGCATTGAAGTTTTTGTAAATTCAACCTTAAAATTATGAAAAATGGAAGGGTAAAATTGTTTTTAAATAACAAATTAAATTAAAAACAAACTGTTGTTCCCTTTCATTCATTTCATTAACAAGAGTAATCTCCCTTTCTTTCAATTCCTTCATTCTGTTAATAAGTTCAGCACGTTCTTTGTCTGCTTGACTATATTTCGCTTCAACAGCAGAGTAAGCAGCCTAAAAAAATTAATTTAAGCAATCAAAAAAAAATTCATATAATTTTTACTTGCAAAGCAATATGTTCGTCAAAAAGTGTTCGATTATCTGATTTTAACTGTTCCATTTCCTCCTTTGTCCTCGACAAATCCTTTTTTAGTTTCTCAATCATTTCCAGTGCTTTATCACGTCTAAAATATTTTTAAAAAAATTATTTTCTTTAAAAAACCAAACTCTATTTGAGTATTTTTTAATTCTTTTTCAACATTTAAAAGTCGATTAGTTGTTTCAATCAATTGTTGATCATTTACACCTTTTTGAAGACAAATTTCCTCATATTTAGATTCTAATGCTGCTATCTGTTCTTCGTGTTCTAATGAACTTTAAATTTTTAAAAAATTAATTAAAAAATATTTTATTAAAAAACCTTTCCTGAGGCAAAGATGATTGAGATTTACGAACTGAGCGAGAAGAAAATTTTTGTCTTGTCATTAAATGACGCATAGAATCAGCCAAAGATTGGTCTATTTTTAAATAAATTTATAAAAAAATAAAGAAAAAATTACATGATCGAATAATTCTGTCAAACTGGGCACTCTGTTTGTCACGAGCCTGAAGACGATGCAAAATTAATGTTCTGCATTCAGTATGATTCATTTCTTTAGAAAAATATATTAAGTTTCAGAGATGCTGGTATGGCACAAAATATGATAAAAACTAAAGGGTAAAAATAACAAGGCTCATAAAATTCCAAAAATTTTAAAAATTTTAAGACGAGAGAGTTATGCGAGATTGTTAGAGAAAAAACAGAATGCCAAGAAAATAAAGGCGCTAATGTAAATTTAATTGAATTTAAGATCAAACTTGAGAAATTTTTAATTAGTTTTCCTGATTGAGAATGACTTTCTTCCATTTTTGTAATTGTCTTATACTTGCTTATGCTCCATATTTTATTGTTTATAAATATTCAGCACTTTCTGAATATTCCAATATTTGGAAATGTGGTCAAGCAGCTCTAGGTATTTTTTTATATATTTTTTAATTTTTATTATTTTTATTTTCTTAGCTTATTTACTTACTCAATTCATTAAAATGGTATTAGAATGTTTTTAATCCTTTATTAAATTTTTAATTTTTTTAGCTTACTTTGGCTACATTTTATCCTGTCTTGGATTCTGCAGAGTTTAATCCAACTTATGTATTTTTTAAATATTTATTAAAATTTGAAGTTTTAAATATTTACATAGCTCTTTTCCAATTTTTTATGAACTTTAAAAAATTGTCCACACGATTTATTAGAACGTACTTTTTTTTGAAAAATTTTAATATCCCAAAATTTTATCTTAAAGATGACCTTAATTGTTGTCCTTTAATTATTTTTTAATTTCTAAAATAACCCAATTCATTAGCATTCTTAATCATTGTCCAAAAATTTTAAATAATTATTTTAGGAAACAATGAAAAGTGCAGTTGATGTAATGGATATAATTGGTCTCCATTTTACAATGACTTACTCAGGAAAAGGACAAGTTAGAATGCTTAGTGCAGGTCTTGGTTGGGCTGCTGCGCATGCTGCTTTGAATTATTTTGTGTTTTTATTGGTTGGAGCTAGAGCGGCTGGTTTTTCTTGGCGTTATTTACAAACAGCTTTTGAATCGAATATTTATTTGGTTTTTAATTTTTTTAGAGTTTTTTTTATGAATTTTCCCCTTGTATAGCCTTCTTTTATAGCCAATATTTTTTATCCCCTGAGGCTATCACGGGTGATCATTTTTAAATACCTCATAATAATTCCCATGGATATTAGGTGAGAGACTAGCCATCGCAAAAAAATATTAAAAATACATTTTGAAATGTAGAATGTGAAAAACGGGCTTTTAACCTATTTTACTTAATTTTTAAAAATTAAAAGGCTTTCTATATGTGTTTGGCAACGCTTGTTTGGGTATACAATCGACAAAATCAAACTTTATTTTATCGACGATTGGCTTCATTATTGCTGCTTTATTGCATTGGACACTCGCTGATAATACAGTTTTTTTTATAACCATTCTTAATTTTTTAATTTTTAAAGGCTTCTTTCAATTAAATTTACTTTATATTCTTGGCATTTATTAGCAACAAAAGCAGCATTAACTTTTGTTCTTTTTGTTTTTACTTTAATTGTTTATTCAAATGTTGGAATAACAGAAAAATCTTCAACATCAACAAATAGACATTATGAATAAATAAATTGTTTTTTTAATTTTATAATGAAAATAGATTAATTTTTTGGTTAAAAATTTTTTTTCTTAAATAAATTTTTTATTTACTAATTTGTTTAAAAATTTGTATTTTTTCAATTTTTATTTAATTAAAAACCATTTTTTAAATTTCTTTTAAAATTTAAGAAATGAAGCTAAATTTATTTGTAAAAGGAATAGCTTATGGTGTTTATACATTTAGCGCTTTACATCTTTTTGCTGAAAATGTTGGATGTTTTATTCTTTGTCAAGGTTTGTTGGTTGGTTAATTCTTTTTAACGCATCCGGATAAGGGGATAAGTAAATACGGCTTTTGAAACAAAAATAATTACTGCCCGATATAGCCCCTAAATTGTATTGGGGCCAAAAATATTTTTAAATTCTTTAAAAATATTTTTCAAAGGTGATTCAATGTTGCCAACACTTAAGGATGGAGATATTCTTTGGGCAAAAAAATTACAGCCTCATCAACTTAGTGAATCAACAAACAAGAGTTTTGGATGTTTAAATAAAGGAGATATTGTTTGTTTAAAAAATCCGACAGATGCTGAAGAACAAAGTGTTATTAAACGAATTTACAAATTTATGTATAAATTTATTATTTAAATAATTAAAGTGGGAAAATTAAGTATGTGGGAGAATTTTAGGGTGAAATTTTTAGAACAGAAAAATACCCTCCAATTACTCGCTTTAAAGAGGAATCTCCAAAAAAAATTAGAAAAGCCCTCAGATGGTAGTGCATGTGAATACTCTAATCACCTTCTATCAGAGATCTTGGTGGATCACGATCGATCATCGGGCTAGTATCGAACCTACATACTTCTTGCTAGTAGGCAAGGACAGATCCATTAAGCCAAAGTGTACATCGTTGGAAACTTTCCTAATAACACTAATAAACTAAAAAATATTTTTAATTTAAGTCAAAAAGATCGTAATTCTGCTTCAAGTGAAATTGAAATACGTGGAGATAATACTTTTAACTCTACAGATTCACGAGATTATGGGCCTGTGCCTATTGGATTAATTCAATATAAGGCAGTTTATCGGCTATATCCTTTGGAAAGAAGAGGGCGGATAATAGAATATAACTAGAAAGGAACTTAAATTTTAAGCAGCCTTATTTACAATAAAGAATTTTAAATTGTTTTAATCGTAAAATATTTGTATAAATAAAATTATGAACAAATAATAAATAAAAAGGTTGTCGAAATATATTTTTTGATTTAAAATTAATTCAATTTTAACGTTCTTGTTTAAAAATTAATTATCGACAACCACAAAACATAGTCAATAATGTCATTGTTAAGATCGTTGGATAGAAAAGTTGTAAATTATCTTTTGAGGAATAGATTTTTCTTTTTAGTTTTTAATAGTATTTATTTCCTTAGCCAATTTATTAATCAGCTCTGTCAACAATACCTTCAACATTACAATCTCGTTTCTTTTTTAAAGCAATTTCCAATATTGGTTCAGATTGATCCAACTTAAATAAATTTATAGAAAAAAAAGAATAAAATAAACCTTTAATTCTTCAAAAAGTTCAGCACTGTGTGAAGGAGAAACACTCCAAAGAACTTGTAGGTTTGGATATTCACGTATTAGTATTGCGAATAATGAACGAACATTTCGGCTATATCTACTCATTTCACCCTTAAAAAGAAAAATTATTGAAGACAAAATGTTAGAAAATATCGGATTTCCGCTAATATGTCGTTCAAATAGAAGCACCAAGATGGGATTTTCAGGATCCAATTGTGGGGGAACCGTTTTACAATAAAATTCTGATGGTAATTATCTCCTAAGTGACACCTCATACTAATTTCGACGGATGAGAAAAAAGTTTAGGAGATTTTAAAAGAAAAATTAAATCCCAAACTAAATTTAAAAACTTGTTTTACAAAAAAAATTTAAGACAAATATTGCCGCTCATGTATTTATCGAAAACAAAAATAAAACCTGAAAAGGATTATTTTTATTCCTATATTTTTCAGCAGATTCAATCAAAAGAATATAATATTTGTAACATTTCTTCATCTTTAAAATAAAAATTATTTAAAACATTTCTTTTAAAAAACCTGTTCAACTTGTTTAAAAATACGTCCACTAAGCAATGATTGAGTTAAATCATCAGGAGATTTTCTTTCACAACAAATATCAGGAGATAGGATATAATCACCAACTTCAAGCATTGCTGCCATTAAATCAATTCCACGTCTATATAAAACTGTGGGTAATTCACTGTTGAATTCACGAAGATCGACTATAACCTAAAAATTTATTTTTGATTATGATGATGTAAAAAGGGGAGTTAAAAACATATAAAAAATATTCTCATTTCAAAAACTTTAAAATACCTTTTGTCTATTCTCCATATTTTCCTCCTCTTCATCTTCACATAGAAACATTTGGCTAGCTTTTGAAGAGCCTGATCTTTGGTATCTAGTGTCTCTTCTTTGTGGAGTAGTTAAACGTCGTAATTGTGATGTAGAATTTCTACTAACATCAAATTCACGTGGGGCCAAAAGGAGCTAAAAATCAAATAATTAAAAAAATTTTTAAAATAAACCCACAGATTGTTCCTTTATAAGTGTTTCTATTGCTTCATTCTCTCGTTGTAAAGAAGAAAGATAACGTTCTTCTTCATAACTATCCTCATACATTAACACATATAATTCAAGTGGATGATCTTCATTAAGACATTTAAAGGTCTTTAAAAGAAAATTTCAAAAAATGCTTTTAATAAAAATTAACCTCAATAGCACGCGTAGCAGCCATATCTTGACTATACATAATTATATATAAAGGTTTTAATGTTTCTAAACAATTTAATAATTGATATCTACTTCCAACTTCTAAAAATATGAGCATTGAATTTTGTTGATTTATTTGGTTATTTTGCATTTTTGTTTGTTCATTTTGGTCATCCTTTTTATTTTCTGCCAAATTTTGTTCTTCTTGAGTTTTATTAAATTCATCAATAATATGAATTGACTGAAAAAATATTTTTAATTAAACAACAATTTAAACCTTTTCAGCGCGAATTCTAGCTGCAACAGCTATTGATTTATCCAAAGGAGGGTCTAATTGCTTTATTTGCCAATCAGCATCATTTTTTGGCTGTTCAAAATTATCATCATTTTGAAATCGTCGTAGAGGTAATCTACTAGATCTACACGGCTAAAAATGTAAAAATATATATTTTCAAAAATGACAAAATGAAGATCAGGCTTGCAAAGAAAATGCCTAACAAATAGGTCGGAGCGTTTTATATTGCCAAAAGCTTGTAATGCCAAACCCCCAAAAACTGTTGAAATGCCAAAGCGTGGAAAAAAGCTTGTAATGCCAAACCCCCAAAAGCTGTTGAAATGCCAAACTGTGGAAAAAAGCTTGTAATGCCAAACACCCAAAAGATGTTGAAATGCCAAACCGTGGAAAATAGCTTGTAATGCCAAACCCCCAAGATATGTTGAAATGCCAAATGTTATTCCAACACAACGGGGGATGTTGTTCCGATGATGGGGGAAGTTGTTCCAATGACGGGGGATGTTGTTCCGACGATGGGGGAAGTTGTTCCAATAACGGGGGATGTTGTTCCGACGACGGGGGAAGTTGATCCGTCAACGGGGGATGTTGTTCCGATGATGGGGGAAGTTGTTCCGATGACGAGGCATGTTGATCCGTCAACGGGGGAAGTTGGTCCGTCAACGGGGGATCAACATCACACTTCCCCCATCACTGGAACAAACGTCCCCGTCATTTGAACAACATCCCCCGTTGTTGGAACAACTTTCCCTATAGTCGGAACAACTCCCCCAACCGTTGGAACAATTTTCCCCACAATTTGAACAACATTCCCCGTAGTACCGGCCCCTCCCCGCATTCCCGGCCTAGAGTTTTTCCAGCGAAAATTCAATTGGAACAACAACATCCTTGTTGTTGGAACAAACAAAAAATTTTAACAACAAATTCTATCAGAAATAACAAAAAATTTCTAGTTTTGTATTTATTTGGCATTTAAAGCTTTTTTCCACGGTTTGGCATTTCAACATATCTTGGGGGTTTGGCATTACAAGCTATTTTCCACGGTTTGGCATTTCAACAGCTTTTGGGGGTTTGGCATTACAAGCTTTTTGCATTACAAGCTTTGGCATTACAAGCTTTTGGCATTACAAGCTTTGGCATTACAAGCTTTTGGCATTATAACATCATACCCAAATAGGTATATTATTTTCTTTTCTTAACTTAAATTTAAAAAATAAAAAAAAAGCAAACATCTTCTGGAGTTGGTGGGAGAGGCGGGGAATAATGTGAAGTAGATGCACCTTCTTCATCCTCTTCTAGGCAAATAATAGAGTTTTGTGAATTCTTTTGTTGTTCATCCTCGACTTTTTCTTCATTTGATTTTTCATCTTTTTCGTGTTCATAAAATGAAGTAAATGGATCTTCAGGTAACATTCCTTCAGGGACGACTTCTCGAATTAATGGCAGTTTCTTTAAATAAAAAATTATTTTAGTCAATAAAAAAAATACAAACAATATTCATCATTGGACTCCGTCTTTGATTCTTCAAAGTATTCTGACCATTTCCATATTTATGTGAAGTTTTTGGAGCGAGTGGAGCAATACCAAAACAATCAAGTCTAGTTTGTTTTAAAGGTTCGGTAGGAACATCAACCAATTTTCCACGTTTTCTAGACTTTTTAGTTTCCTCTTTCTGAGCAAAACGCAAATCAGCCCGAAGTTCTTGTCTGTCCTGAAAATCAAATTTTTTGCTTGCAATTTAAAGATAAAATTACTTTTTCAAATATTTGTTCATCATAACATGCTATATTTGCTGGATTCCAAAGAGGTTCAATAGGAGGCGCCATTGAAAAACTGTCACGGCGTGAGGGGGCCATCTAGGAATTTTTAAATCTTAAATTTCTTGTAAAAATTACAAATCGTCTAGTTAGAGTCCAAATGTAATGGCGTTGTCCAAATTTTACCAAATCAATCAATTGACGCGACAAGGACTCATTAGAGACAAGTACAAGCAAAGGCGAATCTATATTTTCAAAAAAAATTTAAAAAAAACTGGCTAATTAAAAAATTTACCAGAATTTTGGGTTTTCAATTTGTCAGTAATTTCTTTAATTAAATTACAAAAAACATTCCATTTTGAAGGTGCTAAAATTCAGAGTTTCTATAATTTTTAATAACTTAAACCTGTAATTGTTCTATTTCCTTCATTATCATGTAAAGAACATAAATCGTCAATACTCGAGAAAAGAGTTGCAGCAGATTTGGTGAAAAGCCATCCACTATTGTTTTTGATTGTCTAAATTTGAATTTTTTAAATGAAACAAATCAAAGTAAATATAAAGAAATCTTTGTTAAGTTCCAAATCCAAATTTACCTCTTCATCGTTTCGTAACCAAGAAATAAAATTCATAGCATTTGTTGGATCCAAATCTTCAACCTATAAATTAAAATTATTTTTAATTAAAGAAAATAATTTTACTCAATTTTTGATATAAATTCCTTAAAATTTTCAAATCATCAAGAAGACGTCGCTGTCGGTCAGTTAAACAAACATCATTTTTACGCAATTCTATTTCAAGTTTAGTGGAATATAAAGTCGCATATGGTGCTAATGTGTCAGATAATGTCTCTGGCTAAAAAATTTTTTTGAAAATATTTTCTAGTAAAATTTTCCTTACATCAAAACCTTTAGTACTTTGTTTCAATTCTCGAACACAGGTTGCAATTATATCATGAAGAGTTGATTGTGTTTTGCGTTGTAAAGGTTGTAATTTTATAGACATTTGTGTAAGTTTGGGCTAAAAATTTAGATTAAAATCTTAAAAATAATCTAACCGGGTTCTTCTCAAAACACGCTTTAACTTCCTCATGAAATCGAGGCACTATAACAACTTTTCGAACATAAAGTAAATTTAATAATCTTTGAAGCTGTCCAATTACTCCTGTACTAACAATGTAAAGAGGACGGTCAGTAAAAGCTCTTAAAATTAATTTTAAATATTAATTTATTCTTAAAAATAAATTACTTAACAATTCCATCTTTCTTTTTCTCTCGAAATAAGCGAAGAATAAAAGATTCTTTAAAACCATGAAGAACACTTAAAATTAAAAATAATTTAAAAAATAAAAGAAAATACAAACTCATGAGCTCTATAAACGAGAATACCAGCAACTTTATCGAAGGGAACACGTCCTGCCAATAAATCAACCATTAAAATTCGAGATGTTACAAACCGAACTCCGCCCGATTTGTAGATGATGACACTAAAAATAAATAAAATATTTTTGTTTGTCTAATTATTACAAGATTACCGATCTTTGGCAAGCACATCTGCTGTAATCAATTTTGGTGGTGAATCAGGATTTAAGGCTTTCAATTTCTCCAAATAAAAATGCTGAAAATTTAAAAATTATTTTTAATATTTACAAAAATACCTCATCTTCAGGTGTAGTGTTAATTATTAAATAAGTATGCCGTTGATCACTGTACAAATGCAAATGTGCAAAGAAAAGGCGTTCTAATGCGAGGCCACTAAAATAAAAACGTTCTTTCTCTAACGGTTTTAAATTATTAGAGGTGGCCATTTAAAGATTATTTATGCGGACTAACCCACAAAAATAAAAACACAAATTCCTATTCAATTTTCAATTAAGTAGTGTATTTAACCTTGCCATTATATACAAAACATCGCTAATAAAATTTTCAACCATAAGATTCTGCTCAAACGGGATTAATTTAAAACGAGTATCTTCTTCTTCTTCATCCTCCCCATCTATTGTAATGCAAACATCTTCACAATCATTGGACATTTGTTAATTAACTAAATGCTAAAAGCCAAAACATTCCATATATTTTGAAATAAATTTGCATAATAAAATGCTTTAAAAATTCGACAAATATATTTTTTAATTTATTTTTATTTGAATTTTCAACAGATCAAAATTTAGAAAAAATTTAAATATTTTTTAAATTTAAATGTCCCAATTTTCAATCCAATTTCAATCCGCGTTTCTTCAATTCTTCTTCTAATTGTTTATGAAACTCAGTCTCAACATCCTCATCATCCCAATTGTCTTCCCAAACATTAGCGGTAGGCTGACCTGCAGCAGTGTTTGATTGTCCATTTGCTGTGTTTCCAAAATCTAAATATTTAGGAAAAATTTTTAATTCGCACAAAATTACCAATCCCTAAAAATCTGGTCTTTGCTCATCAAATTCTATACCCAACAAATTCCCAGTTACCATTATTTCTCCCTTCCTCTTATCAAAAAATTTAACATAAAAATTTTAAAACAACCTTCAGATTCTTTGTAAATTGGAAATTCTTCAAATTCCTCTTCCTCATCTTTTGGCTTTGAAGTAGAAATCAATTCAGATGATTGAGTCGATTCAGTGGTTACTGTAGTAGTTCCTTCACTACTTTGTTCTCCATCCTTTGGATCCACGTCCATTTTATTAATATTCCAGAAAAAATTATTTTAATAAAGCCTCAAATTATTTTAAGAAAAAAATTTAAATTATAAAAAAATAAGTAGAAGGTTTTAACCAAATATGTATCTCAAAAAATTGTTTTAATTAATACTAACTTTATCTTCTTTTACATTTAAAAATTAATAAAGAAAAATGAATTTTAAATTCAATATGTAATAATTTTTTAGATATACAGTGTAAATTTAAAAAAATATTTAAAAAAATATTAAATTTACAGAAATGCTTTAAAAATATATTTTGAACAGATTAGTGAATTTTAAAAATAAATGTTAAATATATTAGGATTAGAAGCAAATTTCTTAAGCAAAATATGAAATAATTTTTAAAAAACTAAACAATTATAAATTAGAAGGAAGCATTAAATTAGCAAATAAACGGCTTCCAATTAAGAACAGGAGTTGATAACGTTACAATTAAAAAAAATGTAGAAAATTTAAAAGAAAAACGTTAAGAATTACTTTTAAAAACATTAGAAATAGTTCAGAAAAAATGCCTTAAAATGTAAGTAAACTAACAAGCCTGACAGATTTTTTGAGCCACTGAACCTTCAACAAAGCGATTTCCCTGCAACTTTTGTTCATTTAACCAACATTTAATAAAATTCCAATTAATTACTCCAGAAAAAGACGAATTATTTGTATTTTCAGGCAAAACTTCACAATTAGAAGCTGGCATAAGAAAAAGAAAATAGCAAATACTGCCGCTACTTTCTATTTCTCGTAATGTTAAAGTAGTGTTTGTAATATCACATATTTGAATCAACGCAGTTAATAAAGAAAAAAACATTGTTTGAATTAACTGAAAAAATTTTATTAAACTTTCTTTTGAAAAACAAAAGAAAAACCCTGGAATCATTTATGACAGAATTTCCAAAATTTGTTGAACGAAGAATTGATAAAAGTTCATCTCTTGATGTGATTTGAGTAAAAAGCGTGCAAAAATCTGTAGCAAATGACTGTACCTATAAAATAAAAGGGAATGTGTTCTAGTCAATTCTACAAAAATATTTTTCTTTAAATGCCTATTTTCAGACCCTCCAAAAATATTTTACCGATTCTTCATCAAAAATTCTTTTTCCCCATCTGTCCATCGTTTCTAAAACCATGCACAAATATTTAATAAATTTGTCATTATCTCCTTGCTGTCTCCTTTCATCTTTTGTGCATAAAAATTGTAACCAATCATATACTAATTGACGGCCTTTTTGAATAAGCATTACAATTGGTATTTGGTCTGGAACGAAAATGCAGGTATTAATAAATGAAATATTCTCTGCAAAACGTTCAAGTCGATCAACTCTGAAAAATTTTAAAAAGCTATTTTGAGTGAAATAAAACAAACATTTCATGTTTATCAATATATTCAGTTATAGCTGTTTCCTCAAAAAATCTCAATTTTCTTCGAATATCGCGACAATCAATAAGAGCTAGAGCAGCCTTTTCTATCTTCATAAGAATCAGACGAAGACGTCTTTGTCTAGTTGCAGCAGTTTGTTTTGTATTACCAGCAAAATCAGCAATTGAATCGTCCTCACCGTCATAATGAACTGAAAGTATCTAAAAAATGATTGAATAATTATGTAAAACTTAATTTATATAGAACCTGTCTTGGTTGACAAGAAGATGAATGAGTAGGTCTTCCTAGAGCGCCTGCAAACGACGGTGCAATATAGTCCCTAGAAGGAAAAGTTGCATCAAAAGAATAATATCTCGGTGGTCTTGCATCTTTTTGCCAAGTTTCAGGTGCTTTTTTCAAACTATTTCTTTGCTTCCAAACCTAAAATAAAATTAAGGATTATTAAAATGTGTACCAATTTTCAGCGTTATTTAGTGTGGAATTCTCAAGAAGAGAAACGTCAAATAGATAAGCTATCGAAATACAACTATAAGTAATACTTCGGCTGACGTCCCCCTTTTTCCTGTTTCCCTGACCATTTTGAGCTAAAAGGACACTTTAAAATAAAAAGCAACCGCATAATAATAGTCATCCGTCATTGGATCTCCTGTGCCTAGACATTGAATCAAATGTATTTTAATGAGCCATTCACGTTCTTTAGTAGATAAAAGCCCAGCATATGGATCCAAAGCAAAATCAGCAATCGTTTTTCCCGAAGGAAGTGCTAAACTTGATTTTTTAGTTTGTTTTTCAATGTGAGGATGAAGAGAAGCAGGAACCATTGCTAGCATTGCTGAATATGTATATTTAATTTGTCAAATAATCAAATTTGCAAATTTCTTGCATTTACGAATTTAATTATTAACCTTGCTGACTATGAATCGTTGGTGAGTTTGGAAGATGATGTAGTGGCGTTTGATTCAAATTTTGGCTAGGAGGACGCTGCAATATAGGTGCACCCACTAAATGAGGTGTAACAACGGACTGACGGCCGGATTGTAAGGATGCAGTATTCGAGGCAGCAGCATGTAAAGCCATTCTTCTTGCAATATCAGGCGGTGGTGGATGTTGTAAAAATGCCATTGGATTAAACTAAAAAATCATAAAAATGTAAAGAAAGATAAAAATTTAACCACAGAAGGAAATTGAAGTGACGGCATCCCTGGCGGTATCAAGAAAGGTGGAGGCGGCATCCCTGGAGATTGTAGAGGAAATGGATGTTGTAGGTGTTGTTGCCAATTGGGAGGATAATCTGTCCGCGGAGGAAATATTGGTTGATTTAAATTTTGAGGTGTTCTTTGTTGACTTAAAGGTGAGGAAAGTGTACTAGATAATAATATATCCTTCTCATGTTGTAAGCATTGAATTGACAATTCTTTTTGTTTTTGACCGTGTTCAATCAAAGAATTCCTCATTGATTCTTCAAGTAATTTCCTTTCCAAATCGTTTGCACTAATCGGAGTTGGAGAAGCACATTGTGCAACAACATCGTCAGAATCGGAAATTGCCTCCCTTAGGAACTTGCTTTCCAAATCAGAGCCAAACATTGCAGGAAATGTTCCTTCATGGGCAAATTGAGGCCAGAGATTAGTTAATGGAGAGGGTGACTTTTTATCTGTTCTTGATGACTTTGATTTGGGTGATATATTAAAATTGGACGATTCATACATTGGATGCGAGAACTAAATAATAAAATTTTAATAAAAGAAAATTGATTTAAGAGCACAACTGGGGACCAAGATTCACATTAACGTGGCCTTCAAATAGGAATTTTCGGGAGAGGAAATTAAATTGGAAAGGATGATTAATTTAAAAAATTAAAATAAGGATAAAGAACCCACAAAATGGGTAAAATTTATGACAATAAAATTTGCGTTGAACGTATGGGAATTAAGTTAAAAAAATACCGTTTGTTGTCCTTTGTAAATATCCAATAGAGAATTTATTCCATTAAATGTTCCAGTTCCCCATATTGAAGGAGATAGATCAATGTCCGCATTAGAACTGTTTGTATTCTTTGATCGATCATAAAACATTCGGTCTCTAACAGGCTATAATAATTAAAATTACCGGTAAATTATGCAAAAAAACTTTATTAAAATCTGCCCCTCGTTCAGCAGCAGTCGAAGAAACAAAATGTAAACAATGATCACTTCCCATTTGAGGAATAGGTATTAGGCTAGGATCTGGCGGCTTTGATGATGTAGTGGGCGAATCATCGAGGGCCAAATTTGCTGTCTTAAAAATTAATTTTGATTAAAAAATTTTATTTTAAAATAACCCGAATTGCAAAATCAGCCAAATCACTTTCTTCTGCAGAAATTAATGAAGTTTCAACTCCAAAAGTTTCATCATTAATAGCATCATAAATATCTTCATCAGGTATTGTTCCATCATAACTAAGATCGTCAAGATAATGTCCTAATGGATGTTCAGTGTCAGAGTCGAACTGAAATGGAACCAAAGCTGGATCAGACATTAAAGGTTGATTAAATTTTACATATGAGTAGGAACAAAATATGAAAATCTAAAGATTAAATTATTAAAATTGATCAGTTGAAAAGAAGGAACTAACAAAAAATGGAAATAAAACATTTCTAAATATTGGAAAGATTCTACTTTTGTAGAATGTTCAGAAAAAAGCTGCCGAATCTCAAGACCTCCCTTCGAATGACATTAGGAAAGTTATGGTCACACTCTAAATCGGCAACTCTGAAGCAACCGGGTACAGCCCGAATAATCGCGCGGCCATAACGGCGCAAAGCCATAACATGATGGAAAATTTCCGGCCCTTATCAATTTCGGTATCAATCTCTTAGGCTCGATGAGAGGAATCTTTTAATACTAAATTTGGAAAGATTCGGAAATCTTAAAGCAAGTTATGCCTTGGCGACTTTATGGACGCGCGACTATTCGGGCGTGTCCCGAATCGACCTATACCAATTTTTGGTCATTTTGTTAATTTATTATTTTGTTAAAAATGAAAATTTTCTTTATATTTTGTTTTTGAGCTTTTTTTTTAAATTTTTATATTTTTCCCTCATTTAAAGATTCTAAAAAAACAATGGCCACCGTAAATGTTGCTAAAAATATGTTGGAGCCTGTTAAATCTTTGCCTAAATATTTTGGAAATTTTAAGAAAAATTTGTTCTATTATGTTAGCGATAAACATGGAGATCGTTGGGGTAAATTTTAAAATAAAGTATTTTTAATACAAAATTTAAAATAATTTTTTTTAAATTTAGCCAACCGAAATATGGCTTGGTTTATTATTGCAACTTGGACAACTGTCTATTTTGTTGTTTCGACAAAGCTGGAGAAAAAAGCTTTGCGATTGAAGGTTTATTTTAAATTTTTTTCCAGTGTAGTACATCGAATTGTTTGTAGATTTTTTCAAACAATAAACATTATCGAGTTAGAATTTTATAGCTAAAATGGTAGTTTTTTAAATGGCTATAAACTCTTAAATTTATTTCTTCGCAATAACGAAGAAATAAGATTATTGAGGATTTGTGCATCTTTTCCAAAATTAAAGAACTATATCATCTGTTTTGCCCCCTTAACTGTTTTTTTAAAATTTCTATGTCGTTAAAATAAGCTACGGGGACTCAACCTAACTAGAATTTTTTATCAATATTTGGGTTAATAACCAAAAATTCCTTCTATTTTCCTACCGCATACCATTAATCAAAAATAAATTTCGATTTTTGGTTGGGAAGCTTTGACATTACACAAATCCTTATTAGAAATCTGAATAAAAGTAAACCGTTTCTGGTCGACGGGAAAAGGAAAAATGTTGGGGACATTAGCCAAACAAATTACTTTTATTTTTATTTATTTAGGAAGAAAAGAAGCGTATGAAGCCAGATTTGGTTCGTGATGCACTTGCGCGAGCAGGAATTTCGACAAACTAAAATAAGCAGATGGACAGGAATTTAAATGGATTTGTTAGGAATTTATTAGAATATAAAAAGATTTACTTTGTTTTGGACTTTTACTTGCTACAAGTTTATGTCAATATTTTTGTTTTGGGTAAATCTTTAAATTTTCTATTTCTATATTTATAAATAGGTAAATTATATAATAATTCATAAGCTTAAAAAATCATAGAATTTTCCCGCTTTGAAATTTTTTTGACAAATTTTTGCCCAAAAATGCGGCTAATTTCAGGAAATCGAATCGTTCGTTTAACGGCGTTTCCTTAATTTTGAATCTAATTTTCAAGTTAATTTTCTCAACTTTCGCATTTTCCATTAAATTTATTATATGTGTATATGTATACGTGATTTTAGTAGTGATTTTTTGCAACTTTTCACCTTTGAATTTTCTGTCTTTTTTATTTTTCTTTATATATTTGACCTATTCTTTGTTTAGTAGTCTTTTTGTGTATTTTTGACTGATATTAACTATACTAAGTTAATACTTTTTGTTTACAAATTTTCATTCTTAAAAAGTGAATTTTTATTAAAGCGAAAATTTTTTAATGTTAACTTAGAGAAAAATAAACAAAAGACTTTAAAAATAAAAGAGAAAAATAAAGAGAATAAAATTCTCTAACACAGCCGCGTAAATGTTCTCTTAGCACTTTTTCACGTGCCCGCTCAACTCATCGAATCCTTAACTCATCGAATCGACCAAAAACGCTCAACTCATCGAATCGGCTAAAATTCCTCAACTCATCGAATCGGCCAAAAACACTCAACTCATCGAATCCTTAACTCATCGAATCGGCCAAAAACGATCAACTCATCGAATTTTTCCAAAAGGGGACGTTTGAGTCCCCTGTTTTTATTTTTCTCCCGAAAGGGCTAACTGAATCTTCGTTGAAAAAATTTTTTGCTGCTATGGAGGCTAGGAAAAAGGGCTTTTGGGCATAATCGGGGTCTACTGGACTAATTTGGTCCGGTTTTACCCGGTAAAATCTCCGCATAATTTATTAGGAATGAGATAATGTTTTCAGGAATGAGATAATGTTCTGATAATGTTTTCACTGGCCGGATAAACTTGGATGAGTGCCCGATCAACTAATTAACAAAATTAGTTGAAACCCCAGAAGAAAACAAAAAAAATAAACAAAACAATAAAAAATCTAAAAAATAAACACGGGGACTCAAACGTCCCCTTTTGGAAAAATTCGATGAGTTGATCGTTTTTGGCCGATTCGATGAGTTGAGGATTCGATGAGTTAAGGATTCGATGAGTTGAGTGTTTTTGGCCGATTCGATGAGTTGAGGATTCGATGAGTTAAGGATTCGATGAGTTGTAGGGTAGCCCTTTTTCACAAAGAAAGTTGTTTTTCTCTAATTTTTGCTTTAAATTTAACTGTAAACAATAAACAACCAGCCGTCCGCCATTTAATCGCAGCATTACCGGCCGTGTGCCATATAATCGCACACACTTATTGTTTAAATAAAACGCAGCCATTATATCGCAACTATGAAACTTTAATAGAGCACCTTTTAAGTTAGCACAATTTCCAGACCCAAATACAGTGGATTTAAGGGGAGAAAATAGCTGGCGACTTGGGTAGTAAGCGGCGGTTGTTAAACAGTTATAGATTTATTATCGCAAAATTATTTTTTAATAATTCATTTTTTACAAACTACCTATTTATCTTTATTAAACCATGTTAAATAGTTTTATCAGTAAACACCGAAAGTTTGACCTCTCCGCATTTTTATGGTTTTGTGATAATTTAAATTTGTTAGGAATTAGTTAAGTTCTTGAACAAAAACGGACCGGTTTTGTTCTTTTCTATTTTCAAAAAAACTATATTTTAAGAAATACAAATTTTTTGAAAAGAAAAAACAAAAATTTTACAAACTGTCAGATTTTGGATTTACAGATAGCTTTTGAATCTCCTTAATCTCAAAAAAAATGATTAATTAAATTTTTATGAACCCGCAGAAATTTTCGTTTTATTGACTGCTTTTGTTCTGTTATGGTTCGTTTTTTCTGATGTTTGTTTGTTTTAATTTGTTTTTACCTTTTAATTTTGTTCTGATTTTAATTGTTTACCATATTTCTACCGTATTTAGTTTAGAATAATGTTATTGCCAATTCTATTAAAGATTCGATTTTGTTTAAAAAAGGTATCTACAGAAATCATCAGATATTAAGGCATTCACATAAATCTGTTTTTGCGAAAAACAAAATTAGGAGGGGATTTTGAGGGGAAAAAGGGAGAAGTGAGAGCAAGTAAAAGGAAAAACTCAAAATGGAAAACAAGATAAAAGAGGATTAGCAAAAACAACAGGAGATTTCTTGGCAAAATAGAGATAGCAAGAGATTTGTATATAATCAGATAGAACAAGGGTGTGTAGGTTAATAGGGAACACAAGAGTTCCGAAGGAATAAACAGAACGGCAGGGACTGGGCCGTTTTGGCGCGGGGCCGTTTTGGCGCGAGCTTATAAGATAGCGAGTTCGTTATCAAAAATGATAAAATTTTGCAATAATAACTCTCGCACCTTTATCTAAGTTCTCCAAAAATTTCAGAATTTTTGATCAAGAATTTCGGAAATTGTGGCCAAAAATGTTGATTTTCTGCAAAATGCCTAATTTTTCGAGGTCTATCAACTATAACTTCGGAAATATTTGATGAAAAATTCTGAAATTTCTGGAGGAGGTAGTCAATGATGTTAAAGAAATTTGAGAAAATTTTTATGAAGATAGGTCTCGCCTAAGTACCACTTTTTTGTTCTCGCGCCAAAACGGCCCGGCGCCAAAACGACCCCAACCCGAACGGCATTAATATAGGGTGTAACGGAGAGATTTCTATGTATAAACAGAAAGATCAAGGAATTCGTGGATAATAAGGGCTAACAACGTATTCGGAGATTAAAAGGGATCACAAGGGATTCAAGCAACTAAGAGGAAGATCAAGATATTGGGGGTACAAGGTAGAAACCAAATGTCACTCCCAGCCGCCGAAAAACCTTTTCGCTAGCAAAAAAGAGAAATAGCTATAGTCCAGCAGCTTTTCTAAAATATAAATTACGAAGTAAGGAAAGTAGTTTTTGAGTTTGTACAGAAACAAATTACATCAAATATTTGGTCAAATTTGGATATATGCTTCTTAATTTTTGATATTCGTTCAACCCCATGCAAACGTTTTTGATCCCTACAAATCGTCTTTTATCCTAATTTAAGAGTTAAGAAAAATATCTGTTGTTTTTGAGGGAAACGGGAAAAATGCAAAACACAGGCGAATCAAATGTCTAGCATTTTCTTGCAACCTTTTCAACCAAGAATCACAGAATAACAACGAGTGCCATATCGTTTTTGTGTTATAAAATTTCCGGGCATATTGATATCGTGGATATTTAGGGATTTGGAGTGAATAATAGGACTTATAGAGAAAACAAAAGATAACGAAGGATATCAGGGGATTCTTCCTAATATATCCATAAAGCCTTCTTGATCTTATTAAACTATAAAGGCAGAGTAAAACTATCAAGGCAGATAAACCTACCAAGACAGCAAGCATATTAAATGTCTTGATCAAAGAAAAAAGGGATGGATAAAATAAAATTAGACAATAAAATCCACAAATCCAAACAACTAGAGAGGCGAATTTTGGATAAAAAATTCAATAGTACAAATGATAGCTCATTTAAAAGAGCTCGACGGGTTGAGTTAAATGACATCAAAATCAGCACGATAAGATGATTCTGAACAAAATTATGAACAACTTAACATTCCTTTAATAAAAGTTTTTGTGTTGCTACTGAGGGTAGGACGGCATTCAAAGCTGAGAATAGGTAAAAAGAAATAGGATTAAGTTACGAGCCCAGAACCCAGCGACCGTAGACTCCCTGCGAGGCGCGTGCCGCAAAACCCTGCGCGAAGCGCAGGGTTTTGCACAAGCGCCTCGCCGACGCCCATAAGTACACGTTGACCATTTTGAGCCTCTTTATCTTGGCTCAGGTGTCATTCGATTCAGCTCGAGGATCTCTTACGAATGAGCTATCATTCAAAAAATCGAATTTTTCACCCCAAAATTGTGCTTATCCCCACTATGGTTTTCCGATTTTCGGAGACCTATATCTCGGTCCACAGGCATCACCGGAAAAAAGTCGTTCGTCTTTGCACGCTGAGACGAAAAGAATGGTATGGGTCTTATATCGAATCCTTTCCACCGGTATACTATACTATATCCAAATTAGTGAAACCTCCTCCCCTCAAAACCCCTAGGTTCTCAAAATACATTATTTACACGCGAACCCCTTTTAAACATGAGATAAGCTCTAAACAGAGCAATAAAATCGTTTGTTCTTTTCACGCACTTTGCAGCAAATAAATTACAACTTTGAAAACTTAAAAAGAGCGGTAAGGGGCCGCGCAGCGGCCCCTTACCGCTCGTTAGTAATATATTAAAAATTTGTCCTTGAAAATTTCCCACTGTGTAAGAATACTTAGATTTAAGGAATTTATTCCTGTATTTTTTCAACATAAAAAATTTCTCAATTTTCAAGAATCGGGGGACGGCAGCATCCCTGCTATAAACTGCATAGTATAAAATTTTTTGCCAACATCAAAATTTACCTAATATTTGCACACATTTTACCCCAAGTAAATTTATCTATTTCATTTAAATGTTAAATCAAAATTTTTTATTCTCGTTTTTTTTATTTTTTGTCAGATCGAAAATGAGTCCTTTTTAAATAAAAGTTGTGTAAAAGATTTTTGTTTGAGAATTTCACTTTGAATTTTTTTTATTATTTAATACATAAAAAGACCACCCCCACTCTATGTTAATTTTTTATCTTTTTTCTCGCATGTTTTAATTCAAGTTTTTACATATACACGGCATAATTTTCGTAAATAAACCGCCCTCCCTCGATTAATCATTTTTTAGCATTCCTATTCGTGTGTAAGTATTTAATGGAAATAGAGAACCAAAAATAAATCAAAAACAAATTTTTCTCTTTCATTTTTAATGTCAAAATTAAAAGGAGGGCGCGTTTAACGGACAGAAAATCAACAAATTTCTTTCTTTGGAGGAGGGGAAAATTTAGTTGCTTACAAGTTTCCGTTTTTCTCAATAAGGAGGTTTGTAGGTGAATTATCCGTTAGTGAGATGTTCAAGAAATTATTGTCCATACAATAAAAATTTCTTTCTTTTGTTACTGCATTTTTTTGGGTACAGCCCAATTAGGCGTGCAGCCATAATGGCGCAAAGACATAACTTGCTCTAAGTTTCTGAATCTTTTCAAATTTAGTATTAAAAACGATTCCTCTCTCGGTCTAAAGAGATTGATATCAAAATTGATAAGGGCCGGAAATTTTCCAGCATGTTATGGCTTTGCGCCGTCATGACCGCGCGCCTACTTGGGCATGCAACATTTTTTGATTTCTAAAAAATTGGAGAGAGGAATTTAAGAGGGGAATTCATATTTACATATTTTGACATTTCTAACCGTGGCATTTTGTCCACACATGGTTTAAATTTTAGTCAATTTTGCATTTTTTATAATTTTATTTTTGCAAATTAATTTTTTTTCGTTTTAGCATAATTTTAAATAGTAAAAGCATAATACAAAAATGGAAGCAGCAACTTTAGAAATTGAATGTCGTTTTCTTGGTGATCAAAAATTGCCTCTTGACAACAAAATTGTCGTCAAAAATAATAATTCAAAATTATTTAATGGAAAAATCCATTCCCAAATACCAAAATTTCCGATACTTCCAAATGACTACGAAATTAGAGAACTTTCAGAAGAAGATTTTGATCAAGGATTTTTAGAATTACTTGAACAATTAACTACAACTTTGCCTATTACACGCCAACAATTTATTGAAAGATTACATCAAATGAGAAGTCAACAACCGAGGTGTTATCATATTTTCGTCATTAGGAAGATAAGGTTTTTATTTTTTATGTTTAAATTATGGTTAATTTTTGATTTTTTTGAACTCCTTATTGTAATTATTTGGGACAACTTTTTTTCTGGTTTTTTACATTTATTTAAATATCCAAAGGGGTTGATCACCTTTGTTTATCATCTACGTTGATTTATAATTGATGTAATTTTAAGTCAAAAACCATTTTCTGAGCTTCCAACCCTTGCGAAAATTCATGTGTTTACTGGTATGATCTCGAAATACCAGAGCTTGAAATACAAAGGCTTGAAATACCAAGCATTGTATTCAAGCGTTGTTGGTGGCTTGGTGTTTCTTGCTCTTACAATTAGTATTATAGGACATTTCGTGTTTACCTATTGATTCAAATGTGAATTTTATAGAAACTATATATTATCTCATAAATCTTTAAATCAATAAATTCTTTTAATTTAGCACCTCCCGTATCGTCGCAACCGCCGCTCTAGTTTGTGAACTAAAATTTGTCCACAATTGTGGGATGCGTGGTCGCGTTGAAGACGTTGTTGTTGACAGTTCAGAACGTGGCAAACGCTTTGGACAAATTCTTAATGAATATATTGTATGATTTTATTTTAATTTACTGTTGGGAATATTTAATTTTGGGCCACTTGCTAGACATTTAATTTTAAAAAGGACATATGAATATGTGAGACATTTGATCCCAGAAAATTTTTTATCCTTTTTCATTTTAAAAATTCCAAATTTTAGGTACAACTTGCTCATCACATGGGCGTTTACAAATTATCTCTTGAATGTAAAGACCATTTGATTCCATTCTATCAAAAATTTGGTTATCGACATGACGGCAATAATTTCCTGGTGCAACGCTTTATATAAAGAATTATAAGGAATTAATTTTATTTAAAAAATTTTTTTGCCTATATTCATATTTATGCCTTTATTCCTTTACACTTGTTAGAAAACAATGACCCTATGTAGGAAAAAAAGGGGGGAATCTTTAAAATGGGACTTTTCAAATAAGAGGATAGGATGTTTCACTAATCTAACGATAAGTAACTTTCTCCGTTCTTGGAAATTTGAAATAAATCTAAAGGGGGAAGAGGACTATTCCTGAGGCATTAATTCCAATATAATTTTAAATATATTCTAACATTGTAAATTTTTGGTGTCATATATATGTGCATGGTTTTAAACACCCTTTCTTTCCCTTTTTTCTCATTTAAATTCTATCCCTAACCTCTTCCGTTAATTCATTTGACGTTGTGATTTTTCTTCACGAATTTTTTATAAGAAAATATACAAAGATTAAAAACAATAAATAATAAAATTTACAAAAAACATTTAAATTTTTAAAAATAAATAAAACGTGATATTTGGACTTTTAAAAAGGGGAAAAGAACATTTCTGTCAAAGACAGAAATGTTCTCTTGTGAAAGAGACTGAAGAATATTTAGACGTTACTGGAATGGTCTACTTTTTTTTAACTAAAAAAATTTTACTGGGAGAAAGTTGATTTTTTTGTTGATTTATTATATTTATTAGGGCATAAAACCCTCGTTATTTTTTTATAAATTATATTTTTTTAAGTTAATAGAAGCTCGTTTAGTTTATTGAACTTATATTTTCGTAAAAACAGAATGGAGCCAGAAATCAAGAAAGAAGCTGAGACTGAAGAATCAAAGGGGGAAGTTAAAAATGAAGATTTTGCCGTTAAAAATGATGAAACTGAAGTTGTTAATCAAGATGAAAATGAAGAAATTGGCAATCGAGATAATAATACTCCATGGGTGAAGACTCGCGAAGAACATGACAATAATGAATGTGGGGTGGAGAAGATTAATTCGTACGATAGGAATGATTGTAAGGATTATGATCGAGAAGATTGTTGGGAAAATGACAAAAAAGTTTATGCATGGAAAAATAAAAATTATAGTAGTCCGCCAAAATTGATGGTTACCTATCGTGAACCTGAAGGTTTGTGTTTAATTTTAAGTTTGGGTAGAAGGTTTTGATTTTTACATTGGGTGTGGGATTGTCACTAAAGTTTTTAGAAAAATGGTACAATTATGGAAAGGAAAGCTCGTTATCAGAAATTTTTATTTTTAAAAATTGTCGTTTTAATGGGTCGTTCAATTAAATTTTAAGAAAAGACGGAATTATAATGGGAAGGAAATTAATAATTAGATTATCCCATTTTTCTGTCTAACTGAACTTTAGGTTTCAGTCATTATTTAGTTTACTAATTTTAGAGTTGTCTTAATTTTATTAATAACCGTTATTTTTTATTTTTTAGAATGTCTTGACGAGAACGGTCACCGTTATGTTGGATTAGTTAATCAAGCGAGCACATGTTATTTGAATTCACTTATTCAAACATTGTATATGACACCCGAGTTCCGAAACGCTATTTATAAGTAATTTTTTTAGTTTAACAAAATTATATTTATTGCTTTCTTTAGTCCTTACTTGGGGGGTTTTTTTTTGGGAAGATTTCGACCTATAAAATATTTCGACTTATATTTTTCTAAAATATTTGTAGATGGCAATTCAATGGCTCAAATGCTCAAGAACACAAAAATATTCAGTTTCAACTCCAAAAGCTTTTTTTAACTTTGCAAACAAATCAAAAATCATCGCTTGAAACAAAGGAATTAACTACAAGCTTTGGCTGGGATTCGAATGAGGCCTATGATCAGCATGACGTTCAAGAATTATGTCGAGTTATGTTTGATGCTCTTGAACGTTTATGGCGTAAAAGTGACAATTCGAAGACTATACAGGATTTATATGAGTTTGTTTATTTTTACTTTAATAGAATAAATAAATTAATTTTTTTATTTTATCGAAAGTTTTTAAGTAATTTTTGAAGAAAATCAAAAAGTATTTCTCTTTTTGTCTATACATCAATTACTCTTTGGGAACTTTTTTAAACTTGTCTTTCCCTCGATTGAAATCTTTGTGAATTTATTATTAAGGAAATTTTACACACTGAAACTATCTCAAATTTTAGTAGCCAGATTTAGCTTTCGATAATGATATTTTTAGATAAATTTTTCGAAATGATATAAAATCTTTTTAGAGGAACAGTGGAAGACTACGTTAAATGTTTAAACTGTGGAACCGAGAGTATGAAGAAGGACATCTTTCTGGATCTTCCTTTATCTGTTAAGGAATTTGGAGCTATAACTCCTTACAAGAGTGTTGTAAGTCTATATATTTAAATTTCCAACTTTTGTTAATTTGAGGAAGAAGCGTTGGATGCATTTATTAAACCAGAAATTCTCAATGAAAATAATCAGTATGATTGCTCAAAATGTTGTAGCAAGCAAGATGCTGAGAAGGTTTATTTTTGTTTTCTCAATTTTACATTCGTTTTTCCCAGAATTGAGTATAGCTGGGATAGTTTTTTATAATAATCATTTTTCTTTGTTTAGGGTCTTCGCATCACAGAATTTCCTTATTTGTTAACTATTCAATTGAAACGTTTTGACTTTGATTATGAGACTTTGCATCGTATAAAATTAAATGATCGTATTACTTTTCCCGATTTTTTGGATATTAATGGACATATATATCGACCGCCAGTGCCCCCGTCTCCATCACCGCCAAAAATTAGTTATGCGGCGGCAGCAGCAAAGTTACAATTTTTATTTTTATGTTTATTTTTTTCCTTTTAGGCCCAAGCCCGAACCAACAGACTCTGGTGAGATAACTCCAGAAGATCCATTTTCGTCGGCCGAAGGTAACGGGGTAGGCGAGTTAGAATGTACGGGTGCTCCCCAACTCGATGTGTCTAGTTAGTTGTTTTTAATTTACATTTGGGTTTTTTTATATTTTTTAGACGAAGAGAAATGTTGGTTAAATGTCCATGCCAAGTCAGATCAAGTTTTACAGCTTTTGGAGACTAAAGGCAAATATATTTATGAGCTTTTCTCAATTATGGTACATCAAGGAAGTGCTGCAGCTGGCCATTATTTTGCTTATATTAAGTAGGATTTTTTAATGTTTTAACATTTTTAGTTTATTTTTAAAGGAATATGGATCAAGATAAATGGTTTTGTTTTAATGATTCTTCGGTTCAAGCTGCCTCAAAACATGACATTTATCGAACTTTTGGTGGCTGGTCTTATGGTTATATGAATAATACTAACGGTTAATCTAGTTTTAATATGATTAGAGATTTTACAGCGATTCTGTGTCATTCTCTAATTCTTTGTTCTTATGGTTAGGTTTTAACCTGAAAACAGAACCAAAATTTTTAATACTACAAATTTTTACAATTTAAGCCTTTATTATTTCAAAATTTAATCCAATTCTTATCCCCTTACTTTTCAAGCTTATATGCTAATGTACCGTCGCGTAGATCGACAGCGTAATGAAAGCTTTGTTCGTTCTGTTGATTTACCTTTACATCTGAAAGAATTACAGACTAAACTTGTAAATGAAGAACGGGAACGTATTCGTTATTTGGAAGAATCTGTTAGGGTATGGAGATTAATTTTCTGGAAATTTTAAAAGACAATTATTTAAAATTAAGGTAGTTTTTCGTTGTACAGAGGAGCGCTGTAAACAATACTCTCCTATACAAGTTGTATTAAATAAAGACACGACATTGGATTCTGTTTTTGATATTTTACTTTCAAACTGGAATCAATTTTGCGATACAGATAATGTTAAAGGAGGTAAAGAAAAGCCAGAATTAGAACATCAACATACTGGTTGTGCTCGTTTAGTTCTGTATGTTTTCTTTTAATATACAGTTTCTCTCCTATAAGTATTTTAGTCAATTTTACCTTTAATCTGTAATTTTAAATCGGGAACAGGGCGTCTTGAAAAAATTCCCAGCCTCAACCTCAATTTTAAAATCCGTAAACGCAATTCGTAGAGATAAACGAATCCCTGATCGGTAGTGATGGTTAAAACGGGATGGGGGTTATTTAGAGGCTAGGATTTGGATAGTCTTATTTCTTTTTATTCTTCCATACAGTTTTGATATCGTTCTAACATTAGTCAGCTTATTATCTTAAAATAAAAAAAATATTAAGTTGTTCTATGCAAGAAATATTATCCAAAAAGTATTGGAATATGCAAGAAGTTCTAGTTCAATATGATGTCGCCCCGCCTACAAAGAACGACGATGGGCAAATTGAAGGTGGATATTGTGTTGGAAGCACTGAGGAATTTAAGGTGTGTAATTTAGCTTATTGTTAACATCTTTAACATCTTTTCTGATTAATTTTATATTTAGCGTCCGCTTTCTTCATTAATTACATCTTATGACCGAGGTAATAATATACCAGAGGTCCTTATGATAATTGACACAAAAGCACCTGATGCCGAGCATTTCTGCGAGTTGGGAACGAAATATTCTGTTAGTGAACAAGAACAAGAAGAGTGAGTTTTTCCATTCAATTAATATTTGAAACTTATGATTTGGGATTAGCACAAATAATTATTCAGTACTTTTATTTACATTAGCGCCCAGTATTTTTATTTTTATAAAATAGTTAAGGAGCTTGTTTTTGGGGTTTGTGTACTTCTTCCTGCGTTTTTGTCACTTGGACACCTCTAATGGAGTCAACATCTGAAAGAGTAAGCCAAGACCCCCCCCCCCCCAATTCTGATTCTGAAACATGTATTTTTTGAAAAATGATGAGCGTTAGCGGAAAATTGATTTTTTAGGATTCTATTTTTAGTTTTCAAGCGGGGTTCCTCCGAGACTAATTTTTAATTTAGGAGAAATGTTCGCGAATATATTCGAAGTGAAAAAGATATTGTTCAGTCGATGATGAAAGGTCGTGAAGCTAATGAATCCGAAGATACTTCTTTAAATGTATGATTTTTATACAGATATAATTTATATTCTTTTTTATTTT